GTATTCATATTTATTGTCCTCGGATTGAGAGCTGATTTAGCACTCTTCTCTTTGGGACCGCTTAATTCCGGGACCCTTCCCCTACACTTCCCCATTCACCCCCCTCCCAGTATGCCTTGATCCACCTTTTAATAATCGGCTCCCTCTCTTTGTTTTGCCTCTTCTCCTGCTTTAAATGAATAATGCAGAAGCGAGGAAATGGGGATTAAAGAGGAGCTAAAGCCACTGCCAACTTCTGTGGTGCACAGCTCCACACTGTCTCTCACAGGACCATGAACACATCAGGGCTAACAAGCTTCTTTTTTTCTCTCCTGGCATTTTTCTCAGTTCTGCATCTGTCCCACTCTGTCCTGCTCCATCCCTGCTGTGCCCTGCACACTTATGCCTTCTCCCGCTTTTGCCCAAGTTGACTGAAGATAAGTCTTTCATATCAAGATTGGACGACTTGTTGTCCGCCGTGTTGCGAAAAGCCAGCTTGTACTTTTTTTTGGGTGCCCTTTGAAAGTTGAGCTAAAGGCTCATTGTGATTGTATAAAGGCAAACAGTTATGTGGCCTAACAGTTAAAAAGGTATTGTGTATAATATATTGTATTACAGGTTGCACACTGTTACCCATTTTACCATTCTGTTGATAATTTTCATTACTTTTTGAATGTTTTAAACTAAAATCCTTACATATTTCTCCTTTTTAAAAGGTCACTGATTTTACTTATCATGAAGAGTATTGCAGGTATACACCGATCAGCCATAATATTATGTACCCTGGTGGTCAAAGTGTTATTCAGCTCCATACGCTTCTTCAACTCTTCAACCAGCCTAAAGTGACTCTCCACCCAGTGTCTATTTCTTGTTGAGAGTTTTGCACAGTACAATTGGTGTTTGAGTGTGTAGCACAGGAACATTAAACAAAAAATACATCACAGATTTGAGATGAGTAGGATAGAAAGAGGGTGAGAGATGTGTCTCAAGGAAAAAAAGCAAATTAACAAATAAGGTGTGTGAAGGAAAGTGTGAGAACAAATAAGACTGCTCACAGAGAAAACTGCTGAATAGTCTTGTTAATATCCATTTCTTTCCTCCTCTTGTTCTGCCTAACTCTGTTTCTCCCTTCCCTCCTCTATCATATAATTACCTACGTGTGATTGGGCCCGCTGTGAGAATGTCAGGCTGGAGTCTCACATTAGATGGAACACAGTCAGAAAACAGTGTTTGTTTATACTGAGTGGTTGGTGGTCTGGATGGGAAAGTTTTTTTCACTTTTCTCAACAGAAAAACAACCATCACTTTGTCAGAGAGATAAATGGTGTTCTTGCTAGCTCACTTACCAATACACTGTAGTTCTTGCCAGTTTTTATCTGCAAAGAAATTATATATTCACACCTGGCAGCCTAACTGTAATGCAACTCGAGAGAGCGGCTTTGGATAATTTGTAGTCATTTTTTTGTTTTAAAAGTATGAGATAATAGTTTCACAGTTGAAGATTCTCACTTCACCTTGACACCAAAGGCCCTAAAACTAGTTTCTAGATGGTAAACCGTGAGAATATAAATATTATGCTTTTAGGTGTGTCCACAGTATTTAGCCTGTGTTGATCCTCTCTACCACACTCTAAACACGGGTCTTTTCTGTTGTATATTTGCAGCTGTCTCAGACCAAAGCTCTGAACTAGTCATTGACATGCATCTATGAATAGTTATGAGATTTAGCTTTTAGCTGCTGCTGCCCCACTGATGCCAAAATCCTGGTCAGTCTGCCACCAGTTCTTGTCCCCATGACAGAAAGGCAGGCAGACTTATACCGTGACTTTCCACTGCTGTTTGTACCAACCAAATGTTTTGGAAGACAAAAACTCCTTCCTGTGATGAGTACAGGGCCTTGTGTGGATTACAGTGGAGCAGAGTTTATGGAAAGAGAGATTTAGTAGATTTAAAGTTCACGTGATGAAAGTTTAAATCAATCTGTGTGTTTTGATTTGTCTAGACACTGGGAAGAGGCTTTGCTTTTGATTGGTTGCACATTACTTGAACTGTGTGTGAATGGGATCCCCAGAGTGTGACCTTGCCTCATTTGATTGAGTTTACTCTGTTAATTGTGCTGTTTCTTGGTGTGTGTTAATCTAACATGGCAGTCTTAATTGATCTCGTTAACGTGGGACGTGGGAGGCGAAAGAACGTCAGGGAGCTCAGATGCCCCCTGGTTATTTTGACACGTATATAGTCAGAAACACAAGAGGGTTAGGGAGAAGAGTATGGGTGCCAGCCCCAATCTAACAAAACACAAGGCTGAAGTGCAAAGAATCACTACGAGAGGCAGGAAGGCCGCCTGAGTGCTTGACTTGTAAAGTCCCCTATGACACTGAAATCAAAATGCCACGACAACCAGCTAGTCAGCCATCCAACCAGCTTCTGTCAAATAGACCCAATTTTCACCTGGTGTTAAAGTCCCCATGCATATCCAGGATGTTTCCAGATTATTTTAATAGGGCTTGAAGCCAAATTACAAATATTAGAGACTTAAGTACATACCTATTGTTGGGGCTGCTGTTATGATGAGCATAATTCGTGCTAATGAAGTTGTTGACTGGAGAAACATTTTTTAAATTTGATTATCAGGATATATATTTGATATATAACAGTTTTTAACAATTTGCACGATCAATACAATTTAATAACATAATAACAAACTTCCACAATACACAAGATTTATTTTTTCCCTGTTAATAATTTTCCGGTCACCATGGTACACAGTATCTGGGTCAGTGTAGTGTATTCTAATGGTGCTGTCTGTTTGTGGTAGTCAATCTTGTGAACATACTAATTCAAAAACAACTCATAATGCAAGTTTCACTTTGAGATCACATGTTTCCCCTATAGAATATGTGATTGAATCACATTGTAAAGTACATTGAATAGATCTACATGTTAATGAGGAAAACAGATTTTTTCCCCCTTAGTGCCAACCTTAAACCACTCAGCTAACATATGAAAATAAATAGACTGAGATAAATATTTGACCGGTAAAACCTTTTGTTAACTTAACAAATAAACTCATTAATGTGATTGTGTTTAAAATGTTATGCTGATCTTTTATTTTGGTGGACTGGAACCATTGTTTGTGTTTATATGTTAAGTTAAATATGAGAACCAAAAGATTCAGGATTGGACATTTAACAGTGTTTTTGTAATTTGCCTTTTTTGCCTCTAGCGGTGGTGCTTTTAATTCCTTATTATTTTTTTTACGTTTGAATTGATTTAACTTGTTTGAAACAAGCTTTTAATGTAAATTTCAGAAGATAATATTCCCAGTATAGTCAATGCATTCCCAGGAGAGAAAAAGTGTTGTGCAAACACTTATTTTCATGATCTTCAAAGCTCACATGAAGGCCAGCGAACCTCCGGAAAAAAAGCCGAACTATAAAATGTAAAATAAACAACCACAGTATTGGTTGTGTGCGTGCCTGCTCACCCGCACACATACAATATATATGCCTTCTTACATACACATACATACATACATTCATTCATTCATTCATTCATTCATTCATTCATTCATTCATACATACATATGCCCCCCAACACACACACATGCATTTACGGCATATATATGTATGTATTTGGCAGATGTCTAATTAGTATCATTAGCCTTTAATAAATTGGACTGACGACATCAGCAGAGAGACAGTTCCTCGATGCCATTCTCCTCTCCATTGTACCAGGGGATTTTTAATTGGCCGGGGAGGTTTGAGGCGACGGAGATAGACAGACAGTTAGTAATACACAAATGACAAACTGACAGATCTGCAGATAGCTGGCCTTCACTCTAGTGGAAAAACATGCAAGATTTCCCTTTGTGTGGAACTTTAATGCACGTACATTTGTGTTTGTATTCATATATATATATATATATATATATATATATAATGTAAGACATTGCAGACAGACAACAGATAGTGGTAGAATCCTAAATCCCTACTCTAGAATGTGTGTGTGTCCGTGTGTGTGTGTGTGTGTCCGTGTGTGTGTTCGTGTGTGTGTCCGTGTGTGTGTGTCCCCATGTGCACACACTCAAACATTACAGCAAATATGTGTGCACACCTTTTCTTAGCTTAATTTTGTATGTTGACAACACCTCACCTCACATATGTGTTTACCTGTGGATGACACATGGATGCTGTTATGCATTCATTGTATCCCGTGTAAATTCTTAGTAAATTGGTGTTAATTGTCCGACTATGTAACCATATTATGTGCATTACAGTGTGCACTGCAAGTGATCCTAGAGCATCTGTCAAAATCTGACTTCTTCCCACATACATGAGTTGAGACTCTGGAATCATAAGCTAATTGCATGTGTGAATATAATTTTTGCATCATACTTTTTTTTCAAAGATTTGTGTAAATTATTAATTCAGGTAACATTTCATATTATGGCACTGTCTGTTTTAAGTGCGGTGATAAGCCAAGCAACTGGTGGCGGAATATCTTATGCAATTAGCTTGCTTCTAGGCTACAAGCCAGAACATGCAATTATACAGAATCATGGCATACACCCATACCCAACACACTCGGTGTGACCTATATTTTCTCAGAAATCAGGAAATAAAGTGGAACTGCTTAAACCTGTAATTCCCATGAAAGGTTCCTTGGAGGAATGCCAAGGAACCACAGAGTGGCATTATCTCTGCTTTGTTCAGATATTGCTGCGTGCTGTAACTTTGCCTTGCTGCAACTTGAGAAGGACCCAGACAAAGAGTGTCAAATCCACAGGCATGACGTGGGATCCTGTTCTGGGGAAACAAGACACTCTGGCAGCAACAAGCACGCAATAGTTTGGTGCTGAACAACAGAGAACAGTTGATTGAGATTATTATTTTTTGTTGTGAAATGTTATTGTAGAGTTCAGTGGTATTTTTTAAAGGAAATGATTGCGCAGTGTTCTGTCTGATTGTCGACCCTGAGTCGACTAAGCAGAAGTTCTATTTTTGTTTGTTTGATTCTCAGAGGTGCAAAGGATCAAGCTCCTAACACCATGGATATGGACACGCAGCCACAAGGACAGCAAGCAGCCGTGCCAGTCTTTCAACCCCAGGTAGACTCCACACACAGACACACACATGAACACAAGCCAAGCTGCCAACTAAGGTTTCTGAAGACACATAAGGACACATAAAGGGAGATGATGAAAATTGTCAGCTACCAGATATTTTGTCATACTATTTATTTTCAGGTAGTGTTTGCTTTTTTAAATCTCTTTTTTATTTAGGCCATTGTGACCAATGTGGCAAAACAATAAGCAGGTCTGCTATATGGCGGGATAATAATGATGATAATTATTATTATTATTATTATCAGTTCCAGTGACCCTTACAGGAATGAAAACAGGCAATTTATCTATAAACTGTTTCTCAGTAATTTTTTCAAAATGTACCTGGTTTTATATAAAATTACAAACACCATCATAAAAGATGTCATCCATATGGTCCACCCCTCTTGCTGCCAGTTTCTATTTCAGTCATGTCACATTTTATCTTATTATGTACTGAGTGATTTTATAAAATTTAATAAGGATTGTGGCATTACTAATTGTTTCCCTGTAGATTCATTGACAAGGGAGAAGTATTAAATCATTTATGATGCTATAATCCTTTCCTCGATTCATTGCAAGCATAGTACCTACCATAGTACCAGCTCCTTCACATTCTCAACTGTAAATATTCCTTATTACTCTTTTTCCCTTTGCATCAGTCAAGTTGTGCTTGCAGTCTGAGCATCCTGCAGTCCACTGTAGCCTGTGTGAGAGATAGACAGCAGTGGATGAATGTTGAGTTGTTACTATTGATCAGAGCTCTGGAGGTTGGCAGAGCCTGGCCTCCCTGCATGCCTCTCTTGGTTCGATACAACTCAGGTTTGCTCTGTGCAGATCTGGTCATTGTTGGATTTTAATACCGCCCTCCAACATCAGGCCCATTGATTTCTTTCCAGAAGGATGTTTTTGCCTCTATAACTATTGAATAGACTTTAAACAAAGAGGATCATCCATATGCCCTAGAGTAAATGTGGATTTTTTTTTTTTTTTTTTTTATAGAAATAAACAACACTAAAAATAGGCCTGCACTCTCAGTTGTTGTTTTTCTTGTGTATGCCAGGGCACTGCAACATTAACACTGGAATTACCAAGGGGGTTAATTTATTCTAAGATGTGTAATTGCAAAATTAAGGATAAATTGGGTTGCACACAGAAGAAAGTCAGATAAAAGCTCTAATGATTAATTTCACTTAGGCAACACCCCCCCCACGCATATACACACACAAGCACTGATCTCCCAACAGCTGATTATGTGTTATTGTTCAGGCTTAATGATTTCTCTCTCTGTTTTTCAATCTATTTCTAGCAGTTTACATCGGTGTTAATTCCAGGCCCACTTTTTGTGCTTAAGTTACTGGTAGCACAGTGAACTTTCTATGTTGCGTCATTGTTTTTTACTCTCAAAGAGCACGGCTGAACTGATTTCACATTAAGTTAGAGATGGAGAGAGACAGTTAGAGTATGTAGATGGCTGTCTAATCAGCATCCAGATGGGTGTCTTTCAACAAGTCCTGAATCTGTTTCACACTTTCCCAAGGTTCAGTCTGCATGGTAGCACAGGGGAAAAAAACCCACCAGCCTCCTCCTGAAGAAATCTGAATTGTATATCTGATGAAGGATATTCTGTATCTCTTGCAATATCATTTCTCTTGGTCCCGGAGGTATGATGCATATGCATTAGGTAAACGAGATGAGCTGGTAAGATGTGCATTTTTAATGGCGCATTTGCTCTTTGAGTGAGTGGGAGGGTTGTTGAGGAGGCCCCCTCAGATCAGATTTTGATAGTCACTGCAGAGTTTGACAGACACGGATCTGTCTGTAAGCGCCGAGACTAGGCGGTGCAGTTGTGGAGCAGATTGAGAGGAGAAGAACGAGAAGCACCTTTGGGGTGAATCCTGCCGGTTTGACTGCCTGGCTGGCTCACTGGCTGAAGATGAATATTGCATGGTGCCGTGCTCAAGGGGGCAGGTGACTGGTGAGGGTGGGAGTGGGCCCCCCTTCCTGCCTGTTTCTGTCTCTGTCTCTCCTTGTATCCCTCCACAGTAATCCATTTTTGCGGTGATCCCCATCCATACTTAAATTCTTGAACAGTAAGTAAACAAAACAAATGACAAAATCTCTTCTTCTCCGTCCTGTTTTGGTCAGCAAGCAATAAAACTGTTCATCACAGCCAACATCTGGTTAGCAGTATGAAACATGCAGTGCAGTTATTTAGCTAGGTTACAATTGATTTGTATATAATTTTTATTTTTTGTTGCCCAGCAACTCAACAAGTAGAAGTCTGCAGGTCATAAATGCTAACTGTTAACAAGGTGAACAGTACTTTCTAGGGTACTGCACTGAATGTTGGTCACTACTTAGTGATTCCAAACTTGTCTGACCAAATCAACATGAATACAGGTAATGACAACACCTGTATTGTATGATCAGCTATATTAAGATTTAAAATGAGTGATCATGGGTCACTCTGGTGGACCATGGGTTAAGGCACATGAACTACATTGTCCCTTGTTTGTGCCTGGCCTGGGACGACCCTTGTATTGCATTTGTATGCATTTTTGCATGTGTTATCATTTTTTACTCGTTTTCTCTAATCTAATTATCGCCATCCATACCAAAATGCACGACCACAGTCGTCACTCTGGAGACAGTTCAGTCTAAAATGTTGGTTCAGTGTGCCAAAATGGAGATATGCGTTCTTGAATTCAGCTGGCTTAGTGTGGATCTCTCTCTCTCTCTCTCTCTCTCTCTCTCTCTCTCTCTCTCTCTCTCTCTCTCTCTCTCTCTCTCTCTCTCTCTCTCTCTCTCTCTCTCTCTCTCTCTCTCTCTCTCTCTCTGTGTGTTTCTGCATCCCCCTCTGTCTCTCTCCATGGGAGACAGCACCTCTCTGCCGCCGCTGGCCTTTCTGTGGCAGCCGTTGGCACTGCTGGGCTGTCACATCACACCCTCTCCCCTCTGCTGCTTGTCTTCTCCCCCCTCTCACTCTCTCTCCCTCTCACTGTCTTCCGCATTCCCTCTTCCACTCTCCATGTGTCTTGTCAGTTGTGTTTGGCAATGGTGTCATTATTGGGCAGCCCGAATCACACTTCCTCCGATGAGCTGTCTGTCTGCTCTCCCTCTGTCTCTCGCTCTCCTCTTCTCTCTCTCTTTTTCAATCCTACTGCTAGTGAGTTGCCCATGGCGGTTGTATGTCACCTTTATACCCAAGACACGCTGTCCCTCACAGACGTTACCCATAATACCTTGCATGGCTGCCACTTAATCTCCATCCCCTGCAGCTTGTCCCCATCACCAACCAGAATGACGTGAGTGAAAAGAGTAAGCACACCACATGGTACAGCACAGAAATTTAAGTCAAGAAAAGATGAAGAAAGTCTGTGTTATGAAGATTTTGAAAGAGATGAATAATCAATGGGCCTTACAAATGTTTCTCTGTCTCAGCCTTTATTTATACTATAGGCCTGGAGTACGTGATCAATTCTTACATTGATGACACAATTGACCTCATATCGATGCATCTTAGAGAATTTGCTTTTATAGTTTTTTCCTTAACATTGATATCAGAAGTTTGTGATGGATTTATTTTCAAGCCAAGAAGAATCAGTCATGTATACTTGGCAGCATTTGTGCCATGCTTTACCTATTCAGGTAACAAGACCTGTTCTTTTCAAAGGTCCACTGGCAACCCTTCATCTTTGGGCTCTACCATTATATTTGTCAATCAAACATACATATACAGTCAATTTTAGTTTCTGACAAGCGGTGCTCTGTATATCCCCCTCCTCACAGTTTTGTTCACACTGACCCCTGCGTCATTCAGGGTCGTTCCTCTGTGACTTCCGTGTGTGTGTGTGTGTGTGTGTGTGTGTGTGTGTGTGTGTGTGTGTGTGTGTGTGTGTGTGTGTGTGCGTGTGCGTGTGCGTGTGTGTCGGGGCCTTGAGATTCAGCTGGGAGCTCCTGATTGTGTGACACCCGTGTGCGGCAGATGAGACGGCCTGTCAGTCAGCTTTGGCCTGGCTGCCCTTTGAAGGCCAGGCCAGGGGGCGAAGAGGTGCCGCAAATGGCCTGTGAAGTTTACATACACTGCCCACTGCTAAACAGATTAGCTCTAATGAAGTGTCTAATGCCGGGGCCGCTGGCTGACATAATCCTGCCTGGCAGCCCGGCCCCTTGGCTGCCAAAAAAGCCGCCCTCCCTCCAGCCCTCTCTTCCGCCCTCGCACGGCCTCTGCTGCCACCCAGGGCGACTCCACATGGGGAGGTGCCCACTGTTAATCATGCCGGACAGTGTGCGATCTGACATGCAAATGTAGGTCATTGCATATGTAAATGTGTGATTACGGGGCTGGCATGCCAGGACACATTAGCAAGACTGTGCTCTCAGCAGGCGGTTGTCACAGCGCTTTAGAGGCTCATGCTAACATTTGTCAAGCTACCACGCAGCGAATGAAAGCAATGCCCTCTTGTTCTCTCCCTCTCTATCTCCCTCTCTATCTCTCTCTCTTTCTCTCTCTCCCTCTCTCTCTCCCTCTCATATATACACCTCGAACTGTCCATCCTGCATCCTTGTACAAATGCTTCTGTCACTATTATGACAAGTCATCGCACAATATGGCCACACTTTTAATGTGGCGCACCTGGTAGATATTTACATTTTACCTCTCATCTTTATAAGTTTGTGGAACAATATGTTATTATTGTCAAAGCACTCCGTGGTAGCTATTAGGAGAGCAGTTTTTTCATAGCTGCCGTAATGTTGAACAATGGGTTGTGGAGCAGTGTGTCATGCTCTCTGTCAAAGTGAGTCTCAGACAGGTCGGGATGATGGTTGTGTCACGCTGAAAAATGCACACACCTCAACGGTGTTAAGTGTTAATTGGACAGGGCATCTAATTGGCTCACGCCTCTTCCTTTGGCTGTCGACTTTAAAGAACAATGAAATGGCCCCCACCCCTTCCTGTCTATGTGAGTGTCTTTGTATTTGTTAATAAATGTATGGATTAAACTTCGCTAGACTTCTTTCAGTGTATGGGATAGTATTGTCAGCATGGATCAATTGATGAGTGATGACAGCACTCCTCTTCATTGTTGTCAACATTAAACATAAAGGCTGTATCAAGGCTGTATTAAATACATTATAGCATGATCTTTTAGTTGACCACTAATGCTAAAACAATGTGTTTAATTATTCAAATGCTGGTTCCAACATCTCAAATGTAAGCATTTGATGGTTTTCTTGGTTTTATATCTTTGTAAATGGAATATTGTAGGTTTTTTTTATTTTGGTTGGGTTTAATAATTTTTCACTGAATTAAAATCTAGTTATCTTCCTTTGTAGTGACTAGGCAGTTGAGGGAATCCTGTAAAGCCTCCGGTCTGTGGTCATGGTAACTTCGTCAAACTGCAAAAGGCAAGTGAAGCAGTTTGACAGAGTTACCATGAGTGTGATGACACTCCCGTCTTGTGTGTGTTAGGAGATTCATTTTTGACCTTCTCCCCCTCTTCGTCTTCGTTCCCTCTGTCCTAAGCTGCTTGCCCCTAAGCTGCTCCCACCGCCACATTGGCAGAAGCGCTGGTGACATGTGGCATTCTGATATCTGTCACCTTCTGTTTGCTCCCGCCGACGCCTTGTACAAGTTTACCAAAAGGCTCTAAAGGTCAAGCAGCCTGCTCTGTGCTTTTTTTCACACATCATATCCAAGGGGCTCATTTTGGTTTATTTGTGAGTGTTTTTTTATTGTGGAAGGTGAGTGTCTCAGCCTGCGCAGCCAATCGTGTGGCGAGGAGAGGAGTCCTGTAATCTGTGACCCAGTGCCACACTGTCAGTGATATAACTTGGCAGACAAAGGACGGAAGAGGACTATAGATTCCTTTTGAACTTAAAAACCAAGTCAGATGGAATCATAAAGTGTCCGCATTTATGTAATAGGATATTTTATCCATCCCCGTAGGGAAATAAATATTTTTTTCACTGCTACTTCAGGGAGGTCAGAGATGTTTTAGCCACAAAACAGCACCCATGAAGCCGAGGGTGAATTATTTGCATGCTTAGCGGATGTAAGGTATGATTACAAAATTGTATCAGTCGACATACCGGATCAGAAGTTAATGTCTGGTACCAGCATGGCAGCCACTTCCTAAAATACTGCATAGTGCTGTCCTGCTGCCTGTAAAAAGTTAGGTGCAATGTTGACTTGCTACTCACACTTTTAAAATGATAAGGAAAAACCTTTGCAGTTCCAGTCCTCTAGGAGCTCTTTGGGTAGCTATGTAAATAACAGAAAATAAGGACTTTCTTCCACCTATAGGCTTTAGTGAGGTGATGCGGTGCTGCAGTTAAGCGTGTGCACATTCCTCAAGACCTCTCACAGAGTGACATATCAGCCTAATGCCAGTCAAATCATCAGCAGCCTAGGGCAGCCTCTCAGCAAAACAAACTACAGAAACTGGGGCCTCACCGCAGTTTCACCCACATCCTTTCCTCTTTCATTAATGTGGAGATGGTTGCAGTTTAATAGTAAATACATAGTTATTCCAAAATGTCTGTAAATCATTTGTTTTTATTCGTTTATTTTTGTGTGTGTATAATTATTATTATTATTATTATTATTATTGTTATTATTATTAGATTTTTTTTCCTCCCTTGTATTATGCGCGTGCGTATGCTGTATGAACAATAGCTTCTGTGCACAAATGTTAATAGAGTTGGTTTTTGTCTTACAGAAACCCTTGCAACCAGATATGGGCCATAACTCGCTGGCAAACTTCCAGATTGAGAAGAAGATTGGACGCGGCCAGTTCAGTGAGGTGTACCGGGCGAGGTACCTGTTAGACAACACGTCAGTGGCCCTGAAGAAAGTCCAGGTAAGACACAGTAGTATGTATCACTGATAGCCAATATATTCAGCCAGAGTGAAATGTTGAACTATTCTAGTCTCTAACAGCCTTTTTTATCTATATTAATGCTTTTTTGTTGTCCTCATGAATGGGCCACCCCAGATGTGTTATCAGTCTGTCAGAAGGTCTACACAAACAGCCAAATATATTCACATTAATGCGCAATTTAACACTGGGAATTCACCTCATTCTACTGTAGTGGAAGGTTATAAAGCCACACACTGGTATTTTCTTATTTTTGTTTGTCTTAAATTAAACAATTGGTGAATACACAATCTGACAGTGATGAACCGTTACCACTTAAACATGCATGTTATTTATTTATATATTTTTTATGTATATTTTTTTGTGGTGATGCAGTATAACTGTGTTGGCTTATTTACCCATATAATATGACTCAGTTCTCTTGGTGAATGTGCACACATACAATATTTACTGACTTGTACACATACACACACCACCAGGAGGATATGGTGCTCTGTATAACACTTACCTCTCACACAAACACACACACACACACACACACACACACACACAGACACATGCTCACACTCACACACCTTACACAAGGATGTGTGTGTGTTACTTAGATGTGAAACACCTGTAGTCACTCCAACGCCACCCTCTAGATAACAGCAACCATGTTTTCTGTTTAGTGTTTTTTTCCTATTTTCTCTCCATCTCTCCATCTTACCACTCTTGAATATGTCATAACACCCCTCTGTCCTCTCTCTCTCTCTTTCTCTCTCTCTCCCCCCTTTTGATCTCTTGATAGATATTCGACTTGATGGATGCCAAAGCTCGGCAAGATTGCATCAAAGAGATAGATCTCCTTAAGGTAAAGAACCAGAGAAGAGGGAGACGGCGTCATGTGCTGTGCTGTGTTCTCTTAAGGTGCCTCAGCTGAGACCTTCCACCACAGGAAAACAATTGATCTGCACCAGACGGCTTGGATTTGTGTGTTTGTGTGTGGGCGCATGCATGCGTGTGTGTGTGCGCTTCCTTGCATGGTTATGAATGCAGAGGGGTGTTTGAGTATTTGTGCACACAAGTGAGAATATGAATGAGTATGTGTGTGTGTGAGTGACTGTACAGTACATGTGTATTACTGTCTCCTTATGTCTCTGAGCTTGTGTGTGTGCGCACAAGGGTGCACCAGTGTTACATCCCTCCAGGCACACATTGACTCTTTTTTTTTTTTTAATGCCAAAACTATTGTTGTTTTTTTTATCTTTTTGTAATGTTTAGAGCCGGGCAACAGTGCATCAGCAGGAAAATTTAACAATCTCCCTCATGTGTCTTGATGTTTTACCTCCTCCCTTTCCTCATTCTTGCTTTACCTTTTTTCCCCCCAATGAAGTGGTTTCAAACTATCATAAACATATGTCGGCTGGGTTGCTCTCAAATGCTAATGAACAAACTAATGACAGCTTCAATATCCCCCCCCCCCCCACCCCGCAGGATCCTAGATGCATGTTAAAGTTGTGTGTGGTTGTGGTTTGATTGTGTGTATCAAGTGCGCATTCATGCACTCCTGGTAGTGTTTCCTTTCGTATATGAAGCCTTTCTGCGCATGTGTGTGTACTGCAGGCAGTTTGTGCACGTAAGCACACTCACACGTACACATTAGGGAAAGAAAACAAAACCAATTAGTTCGTTTCAAACACATCAGTGAAGCTCCTGGGGCTCTTTGGGCCAATCAAAGACAACGATACTCAGATGTAGGCAAGACCCTGTAGAGAGCTGTAATCTGAGTAATCATTGACGTGACTGCATGAGATAGCAGGGTTCGCCTGGATATGTATCTCTTACTTCCTAAGGGGGGAGGTCAGGGCTGGGTTAAATGTCACACCCTGCCAGGTGACTACGGCTATCATTTCCTTTATGCATCTCCCAAATTTCCTTTATTTCTCTCTTATTATATGGATCCTCTTCCTCCATAGCTTTTCTCTGTGTCCTTTCCCTCCTGCTTGTTCCTATCTCTTCCTTCTATAGCTTATTCACCCAGTTGCTATGTCGTTCCATCCATCCCTCCTCCTTTCCCGCTCCTGGTATGTCAGAGCTTTTTGTTCCTTTCTTTTCATCCTGTAAGCTGATTGCTAGTGAACATGGAAGTTATGCCCGGCCCTGCACTGCCCAGCCAGCCTGATAATAAAGGGCTGAGTGTGAGAGAGAGACAGTCCTTCTGCCTTATCCCCCACTAGACAGGCCAACAGGAGACACAGCCAAATCAGAATAATGAGAAGCACACTGGCATGGACCGACTGGAATGACACACATACTGGCTCGTGATCACACACACACACACACACACACTCACACACACTCACACACTCAGTCATGGCCTTTCAACAGTCTGCCTATTTGTTTGTTTGTCTGTCTGTCTGTGTTTATGTCTGCTCATTCATCTGTATTTTCCTGTTCTGGCATGATGATTTCAACTTGAGAATCTCAGTTCTCACTCTGTCCTTTTGTCTAAATCTTCGCTGATAGGAATGTTGGTTGCAGAAATAGCCTGCTCCCTGCCAGTCTGCTAGTTTCACCATTCTTGAAATCCCACAGCTGTGTATTTTCTCTCGCTTGTGGTTACTATTGAGCCTGGATTGTATTCTGAAGACTAATGATCTGTCCTAATCAGCAGTGAAAGCTGTAATGATGTCTGTGTGTTTGCTTCTCTGCGTTATGTGTTTCTGTAAAAAATGTGTGTGCGTGTGTTTGTGTGTGCATGCATGTCTGGGTTATGCGTCTGATTAGATTACACCAGCAGTTAACTGACAAGATGGAGAACTTGCAGCAGCCACCTTCATTTACCTGATACATTTTTAGGTCTCTTTATGAGCAACATGTTTCTTTTGCCAGTTTAGTACATACTTAGTTTATTTTCTAATGGACGAACAACCCAGAATACATATGTACTAATTTTCAGTGAAAAATATCGATATGTTGTGTAACAAAAGGCACTTACATACATTTCTGCTGGTGATGATCGAGCTGCTTTTACTTACTTGCATCTTTCTTTGCTGTCTTCACAATTCAGATTTCTTTTTTAACTATTGTTGTTCATATTCCTACCAGTTGCATTCCTATGAGCATGTAATTTCCTTTTATAAATACACTTTAACCAAATTTATTATCATGGTTAATTTTGCACCATCAGATTACATTAGTCAGTATCTTGTTCTTCTTTGAAACACATCATCAGCTCAGCAAATATATCACTTGCATGATTAAGTAATTACACACGCTGGTGTGTAATTACATAATCATGCAAGACTCTATTTCCCAATGAATGATTGTTGTATTGCAGTAAGCTCCCATCCATCATTTATATAAACATCTGCATGTGAACATATCTCTTTATTTCTCTGTATCCTCCGCCTGAGGTTCAATTTGTGGAAGAGGAGTGGGTTGGGGCGGGTGTAGGGGGGGGACTTGTCATCACTCCCTGGCTGTGCTACAGTGTGGAGCCGTGCAGAACTGCCACTCTGAGCCAAAAATACATCTGGCAAGAGAGGACAAGGGAGGGAGAAGGAAAGATGGAGACATGAGGAAGGGAAAGAGAGAACGAATGAGAAAGGGGACTGTGGAGGGATGCAGAGATGGAGTGGAGAGTGTAGTGTTGCGTAGTGTACTGTACTGTGCTCTCCTTTCCCCTCTTCTCGGCATCATCCGGAGCATGAACATTTCTTTAATCACAGCAGAGAAAGCAGAGCGGAGCCGAGTGGAGGACGCGTGTCACACTGCTCCGTCTGCTCGCATCACCCCCCCCTTCCTCAACATTGCCACGCCACACAGCTCCATGTCTCCAGCTCTCCACATATCACCATCTCTCCCTTTTCCCTCCACCTTTTTCTAACACTGCTCACCTTATCCCTCTCCTGTTCTTTTTTCTTCCTTACCTTTGTTCTCTTTTCCCACCTCTTCACCCCGCCCTGTCTCCATCATTTATTTTGCTTGTCTGTGTCACTGTGTCATTTGTTTCTTTCCTTTCATTGCACCTCCCTGCCTCCCTCCCTCTTTTCTCTTCTTGCTTTGGATGGATAGAGACTTTTTGTTTACTACAGGGAATGCTGCTCGTGCCTTATTGACCAACCAACAGGAAGGAATCTCAGCCAGAGATGAGCCTGGGATGCTTGTTTTTCTTACTGCCAGCCATGTCAGCCTGTCAGGCGTGTGTGTGTCTCACACATGGGTTGTTGTCATCACAGACAGAGGGGTTGTTGTGACATGTCACCCAGCTTTGTCACACTGGAGGACAAAACCGTCTCATTAGGTCCACACTTACCAAATATGGATTCCAAATATTCAACTGTTTTGTTTTAATTGGTGGTGAAAGTACAGTGGATTGCACAGCTCATTACATGAACCTCTGTTATTTATCAGCTGATAAGGTTGTTTTGATATAAATTCTGTAACTAGTTGCGTGAATATGCTTCTGTCTGTAGTTTCTACAAGGAATGATTTTTACAGCTGGATTAGGTACTGTGACCATGGAAGCTTTTAGTGTGACAAGTGTCACCAACATGTAATCTGTTTTGTGTTTTCTTTCCATGACATGTCTTTTTTTTTTTCTCCCACAGCAATTGAACCACCCCAATGTGATAAAGTACCATGCGTCTTTTATTGAGGACAATGAGCTGAACATTGTCCTGGAGCTGGCAGATGCAGGGGACCTCTCACGTATGATCAAGGTAAGGAAGTCTCCACAAAAGCAAACAAACACACAAACACTTTTGTCCAGACTGCTGGAAGTGCAGTTGATTTGTTCATGTGGTCATGAAATACTTCAAGTAACAGTCAACCACAAGAGCCATAAAGGACGCAGACTCAGAAAAGAATGGACAGATGGTCTTGGTTTATCAGATAAACCAAAAAAGTGTTCTTTATTATTTCTTATAAAGGGAACTAATAGTTACTCCAACACCATCACAGACATTTGGTGTCAAAACTGCAGACATGGCCATTTATAAATGAAGCGATGGTGGCAGGATGTCTGTGGTTTGTTGTTATTACAGGATTTTGACTACCTGGACACTGACTCAATCTGAATCATCCATTCCTTACTGAAACCAAAAACCAACTAATATATGGCCTCCTGCAACCCCCTTTAATCACAGTGGCCTGTGTTGTCATTTGCCTAGACTGAAAGGGAAGTTGTTAAGACTGAAGCAATGATTAATGGTCATAAAGTTCCAGCATGTGTTGTATGTATGTATGTAGTACTGAGCATAACTTCTCTGGGTTTAATCTTACGTTTTCCTAATATCTTTTACACATTAAATCTTGAGGTGAGGTGAGGAACAAAAGCTGTCATTTGTGGTAATATTATAATGAAGGATCTTGGTAAACTTAAGGTTTTAATTGTTTTCTTCTCATGTACATTGTTATTTTTTGCCTCAATACTGGCCACATGTCATTCAAAATAGGTCTGCCTAGCTTTTTATCTCGGGCTAAATCTCCCTCAAAAACTAGATGTAATAATTTTAGTGGATCTAACCAGTAAAATCAACACTAAGTCAAAATAGAAGCAAATGTATACAAGAATAAAGTAAATAGCATCTGGCTTTGAGCCACATGGATGTGTTGAGTTGACCATGTCTTAAACCTGGATCAACAAGGGTTTCTGCAGAGGGATGTTGTTTTAGAAATAGGAGCAGGAGACGGAACAGAGTTGTTCAAAAGTGGTTAGCGATTACATCCTAGGCTCACCCTGTTATTCATCTTTGAGTTAGACCAAACCCCCAGTTATTATAAAAACCTGCCAGTATAGCAAATTAGTGGTGTGCATGTAAAAAGCCTGGTCTTCTCCCATGCATAAATGATGCCGCAGCGTTGTATCTGCACAGCTCGACAAGCTGTTTGCAGTCATACTCAGCAGCTCCACATCCGCACAGTTCAACACAGCAAATTAGGAGTGGCGAGGATTAGCGGTACAAGAGAGTGAACATGGCAGGCTCAGCACACATACAGCAGTGATATATATCCAGTACACACACACACACACACACACACACACACACACACACACACACACACACACACACACACACACACACACACACACACACACACACATATATATATACACACACTGAATACATATATATCGTATACTGTGTAAGCAAAGAATGTGCAGACACAACTATAGAAACACACTCATGCAAATGTTCAGAGATACACTTAAAAAAAGACATATCATGGCAGCCTGAAGAGGTAAGATAACAAACCACTGAGCGTCAATGCTATCTTAGCTAAGCTACAGAGGATGCTGGGAGCATTCAGACTGTGTCATCTCCTTATGGCTGCTGACAACGTACAGTCTTACACACAAGTACACGCCCCTCCCCTGCACCATTTGTCTCCAGCACTGTTCTAAATGATTTGTTTTTCTAATGTAACAGTGGCAGTCCAGAGGTGCGTGCCATGGATTAGCCCCCCCCCCCCCTTGGGCCATAATGTGAAGTAAACACATTCATACAGTGTGCCATATGTAAAATAGAACCCCACCAATGCATGAATTTAACATTTTTTATTCTTTTTGATTTCTCGTCCTCTATGCCGCTCTCTCCTTTCTCTCTCCCTTCCTCATTCTCTATTACTTTATCTCTGACCATCTCAGAATTCAAATGAAATCAAATGGTCCTTGATTTGCATGCACTTACAGAATATTGCATGTGCAGTGTTTGCTATTAAAGGCATGGAGAAGAGGGTGGTGGTGTTGGTGGGCGTCTATGTGCTCCCCCATTGACATCAAACAGTCCTCTGATATGGAAATGGGAGGGCAAGGAAAGAATGGCTTCTCACTAAGGCTTTGTTTGGATGTAGGCCAAGGTCTATCCCTCCCTCTCTCCATCTATCTTTCTCTATCCCTCTCTTTCTCTCGCAGCTTACTTCATTTTCTGTATCTCTTGCCATCACCTACAACCTTTCCTTTCCTTTTTATTTCCATTATTCCACTATTTGGTATCTTCCCATCCATCCATCTCCCTCTCTCTCTTTTTCCTTTCTCTCAATCTGTCACTTTTGCTCTCTCGTATTTTTTAGTAGGGCTATGGATCAGTAATTTTCCTTGTCCTGTCCTTTCTCCTCCTTGACTTTTGACCTCACTAGAGAAGACAGGTTATTCTATTTCTATAGTAGATAAACCTACATCCTACTACACAACCTTAATGTAGTGCCATTAATAGTGTAGCCTTGTCAAGAACACACACTGAAGAGAGACAGGATAGGTTGGAACAAGAAATGTAGAAAGTAGATTACTCAAGGCCCCTGCATATCTTCCAGAACGCACAATCACACGTTGTATCTCCACGTTTCTCGAGAATATGTGCATGCATACAGACACACAAATATACAATGGACAAAATAATAGGAATACCTTAAAATACAAGTTCCATTGTAGTGCTTTTGTTGAAGCTAGTGATGTTCTTGTGTTTTTGAGACTGTCAAAGGTTTTCAGTCTGATCGTCATGTTCGAGGTTTCAGTTTGTAGTGTTGCTTAGCAGGTATCTCACAAAATATCTTTCAGTCAGTGTGGTGAGAGCAAGCTTGTGACTAGTGTTGTTCTTTGCTAATTTAGTTTTCCTGTTTGTGGCTCATGTTATCATTATTTGGCAGATTTGGCCTGATTTTGACTGATGCACCAGCATAGAGTTGTACTGGGCCTGAAATTCAGCGTTCAGAGAGTCTGAGATGGAGAGGTCTTTAATACGAGTGTATCATTTAAAATGAAATATCTGGAGACAGAAGCAATCAACCTCCAAGGTATACAGGGGCCTATACCTTCTCAATGCATTTATATGAATGTACCTAAAATACAACATAAATGATTGTCAAGGATTTTCTACTTTACTTGATGTTTTAAGGTCTGATTTATCTAGTTAATTCTCTGTTGATATCGTTTTTCTCGGTAAGAGTCTCTGTGAAATCCTTAAATTGTAATTGTCATGTGCAGGACTCTGGCATCCAAGCTGGCTAAAGTCCAGACTTTTCTTTCTTAGCAAATAGAACCATGAGGACACCCCATAAAATCCTTCTTTTAGTCAGAGTTCTTGCATGCTCTTAATCGTACCCATCGTGCTGTTTGAGGAGGACTTCCTGTCCTCACTTGATGATTATTCTCACTGTGGATCAATAAGCCATTATGCCTTAGTTGAAGCCCCGTCATCATTGTGGCTTTTATGGGTACGGGCCTCACTCTTGATGATCTAGAACGACTCACTCAGCCCTCCAAAATAAATAAATAAATAAAAAGTCTAAACTAAAAACAACTGGAACCACTGTGCCACTGAAAGCTGTACTGTACCTAACAAAAGAGCTGTGTGCCAGATGGGAGAGTTTTGGAAGGTACCACAAATTTCTTTTCTCTGTTCCTGAGAATTCATGTGCTTTCCATTGTAGGCCATTGAGAAAATGAGACGGAGCTTGGTTAGGCAAGGGACAGACTGAGAGGAGAGTGGTCTGGGTTCCATTAACAGTGGAGTCAGAGCTGGGGACTGAGGCTGGGGATGGATGCTGTATAAACACACACAGACATAAACACTTTGCTACCATCTTAAAGTTGTATTCCGTGCCACATAAGACCTTTCCCATTCCTATTAAAATATTTTATTTGTTCCGTCTTTCAGGTATGCTAATGTTTAATTTTCTGTTTGTGTCTGTGTGTGTCTGTGTGTGTCTGTGTGTGTCTGTGTGTGTCTGTGTGTGTCTGTATGTGTGTGTGTGTGTGACAGCACTTTAAGAAGCAGAGGAGGCTTATCCCAGAGAGAACAGTGTGGAAGTACTTCGTCCAGCTCTGCAGTGCTCTCGAACATATGCACTCCCGGCGAGTCATGCACAGAGGTAGCGTTGATGTACACACACACGTACTGAACATAAACATACACCTACACACATATTTGGCTTATTTCTTCATTATAAGTAAGAACATTTATAGAATATAACTCTCCAATATGGACAAGGGTGCACTTATAAATTGAGCCAACATTAACAATTTTTTTTTTTAAGTTTTAGACTAATAATGTAAAGTACATACTATTGACACGTATTATTAATGTTGTGACATGAAAAGCACTAGCATAAATCAATTACTTTTCAGAGCCTGAAGTTTAAGCAAACCACAGGGAGTTTTGTCAGAAGACTTTTTATATTCACTTATAGTCATTTCTGTCATGATGTTAGAGTAGTGCACAGAGTTCCTTGATATGGGGTGACACACTTCCCTATTCCACCAACAGAAATTATGCATGTTTGATAATGTTTGAGACATCCCAGACAAGGTGTGCATTGACCCTTTCTTGACAATGCAGCGATGGGACTTGCAACCAGCCTGGGACTGGTCCTATTGTCTAGTGGACAATTGGCCTAAACTAGGAATTAAATGGAATGTGGTTCTTAATGTACCAACAATTAAGAGAGTTACCAAAATAGCCTGTGCTTGCAACTGCGTCACCATAATACAGCGGTAGCAAAGCTTGTTGACTGTGATGGATTATCTGTCTCAAACAAGTTTCAAGTCTCTGCAAGTACATTTTTAGTAGCTTACTACATTGAACTGAAACCAATGGATGTCTAAAATTATGTCTAAAAAAAATGTTAAAATAAAAATGGAACATAAAGTCAGTGAATTTTCTTCAGTGTGAATGACCTTGTTGCATATGACAAAAAGCTTACGTGTAGGTGTTAAACAACACATAGACCAGAGAACACAGTGTTTATGGACACACATGCTTTCAGTAGGGCCCAGTCAAAGTCCTGGATTCATGTGCATAGGCTGCTAGACCCACACACACACACACACACACACACACTGAGCTACAGGTGTTGGACTTCCGTTGGACTGACTCTGATTAGGGCACATGGTAACTAATGAACCCTGAGCTCTGGGCTTTAATGACCACTTAGCAGAGACTGCCTATTCAAAGGCCGCTTACAATTATATTAGAGCAGTAAATTTCAAAGGCTGATGTGTGTCACATTAACATTACTTTAGAAAAAGCAACAGAAATGGTTTACTAACGCCCACATTAACTGAATTGAATATTTTCAATAATACACTTTAAATATCATACAATCATGTTTCCTGAGCAAAGACCAAGAATGAAACTTTCCCAAATTAATCTCCATCACAGTGGACATGTACTGTTTTTTTGTTTATGATCATATCCTTGTAGCATTGGCATTATTGTCCCTTAAATTCTTTGTCACTAATATAACATTCATGCATTTAAACATTTTGATTTTTGTATGCAACCAATTCACCATATCCTCTCCTCACTTCTCTCCAGATATCAAGCCGGCCAATGTATTCATCACAGCTACTGGAGTAGTGAAACTAGGAGACTTGGGACTGGGAAGATTCTTCAGTTCCAAAACGACCGCCGCTCACTCGCTAGGTAATTTACAACAGTCTATACGTTGTGTGTGTTTTTTTTTTTTTTTTTTTTTTTTTTTTTTTTTTTTTTTTTTTTTTTTTATATGTATGTGTGTGTGTGTATACTTTAAAGCAGACACTCTTCTCTTATGAGCACACAAATGCATATACAGACAGTTGGACACAGCGGCCCCCAGTAATCACCCAGTGCTGGATGTGTTTCATTAGGCTTGGTGAGCCCAGAGCCATGTGTCATATAGTCATACTGCCTGGCCACGGCTGTGCCCAGCCCCTTCATAGGCCACTTAGCGACTTCCTGTTGCCTTGACCTTTAAACCTAACACAGATGAAGACTGGGCAGAGGCCTTCGACACACAGCTCTGATTGTGACTATGTGCCGTAAAACAAGCCAGCCGACTTAACAATCAGGGTTATTGTTGGCATTGATGGGTGTGTTTGTCACTTGTAGAAATAAAATCATATATCTTTTTTTTTTTTTGTTCAAAGAAGTGAGAATTGTAGCCCAAAACTGCCACAATAATTATGACTCGCTTCCTTTTGGTTTAGTATAATGCGTGTGGTAAACCTGTGACTGTACAAACTGACAGACAGACTGGTACCACATGTTTCAATGCATTCTTTAACACATAAGGTGTTTAATGACTATGGACCTTGTACTGTAAATCTTTAGGAGTCAAGCCCATAACTTTAAGAAGAGAGTAATACAACATTTAAGTGATTATTGATTTCCACAGGAATAGACATAGACATTTGTACAGCTTAAAGCTTTGTCCTTTCAGTGAAAACCTGTAACTTGCCACGCTTTACTGGAGACATGGGGTTTAACACAAATGCACAGACTCACATACACACATCTACTTTAGTTCACGGGTGTCCTAGTGTTAAAAACACATGCATACCTATTAACAAATTGTTAACAGCCTGTTCATACCAGCCTTCATCACTGTGCCCTACTGCACCTTTTTGTTGTTTAGCATCATAGGGGATAATGCTGCAAAGTCAGGATAGAGAAGGTGCATGATGAATATATTGTTGTGAACTACAAATGTTAAGAATTAATCCAGAAAAATAATTAACCTTTCCAGAAATAATCAAATTTATGTATAGAAAATAATGCTTTCTGCCCTTTGTGTAGAAAGGCTTGACAGTCACATGTGGCAATGATTTACTGTTGAAGACGATAAATTCCAACATTGTTCAAGGCACAATTTTAAACCAACATGTCTTAAGAAATGGAGACAGGGCATCTTGAAGATTGTCCTTAACAGTGTCAGTGAAAAATGCCACCACAAAAGCATATTTTCTAGATTTAAGTCCAACAAATCATGTTTTTGTACAGTAGTCATTGAGAAATTGTTTGTTATTTTGTGTTAGTAGTGTTAAAATTAATCTCTTAATTTCACTAGCAATGTGCTTATGCAGTCGAAAGTCCACTGTAAAGTGTGGCTCCGATCATTTAATGGAGGTGGTTAGACTGGTTTCAACATAGCCTATTGAGGTACGTGAAGGTGCTATCCAACATCCCCCTCTGCAATTTCAGCTGCTTCATGATGGAAAATGTAGAAAAATAAATTCCATGGACAAATATAAACGCTGTCATTCGCACAGTCTCACTTCCCTATGTCAAACTGTTATTACCACAAACAGCGTGCTATTCTCAGCCCCTGTACAGCAGCAGCCCAGCCTTTGAGAAAGTGTGAATCACATGATCAAGTCAACAGAAGCCCTATCAACTAAGCAGCCTGCAGTGCCAGCAGAGCTGGGTGAAAAGAGTCTGTGATTGCTCATTAAATGTTGAGTCCACAGCACCCTCTTTAGGCTGACAGAAGATTGGCAGCCCCACAAGCAGAGGGGTCAACTGGAATACCCTCATCATTAATCTGAAGCAATCAAGACTGCTTCGTTAATCTCAGAAAACTACACAAACATGTAGCACCCCTTCCACTGGACCTTAGATTATTGCACAAATCACCACAAATATGCATGTTATGATATGATACATTTCATATCACCTTTGGCTGACCACTGAACTTTATATCCTTTTAAGAATATTTGAAATATATGAGGGTGTCGGTATTCAGTAGATGATCTTGTAGAAGCAGATGTCCCTAGGTTAGCATGGCCTATTGACACAGGGACCCAGAGTGCGTCTTCCATCCACCCTCTGTTCCTGGCTTTCCCCTTGGGTTTGGGTCAAATATCTCCTCTCTGTCTTTCTTTGTCACCTATCCTTCTCTCCTGCTGCCGTTTTACTGTCTATCTTGTCCTCACTTCTCCTTCCCTCTCTCTTGCCCTCTGGTGCCTTGACTTTAAGTCAGAGAGAAAGACGAAGGTTAGAGAGAGAGAGAGCAAAGGAGAGAGAGAGAGAAGAGAGAGAGAGAGAGAGAGAGAGAGAGAGCAAAGGTGAGAGGAGAGAGAGAGAGAGAGAGAGAGATGTCAGAAAAAAAGGAGCATGAGAAATAGAAGAGTGGGTGACAAAGAAACAGAAAAAGAAAGGTAGAATGTGCTATGTGCGAGAGGAGAGAATGTGACAGAGTGACACAGAAAAAAGAGGAGAAAAAAGAAAGCAGAGGGAAAGAAAAAAGTTAGGAGGGGAGAACGAAAGAGGAGAGGATATGACAATGTGACAAAAAAATGAAGGAAAAAAAAGGAAAGCAAGAGTGAGAGAGAGGGATAGAAAGAAAGTGTGTGTGTGTGTGTGTGTGTGTGTGTGTGTGTGTGTGTGTGTGTGTGTGTGTGTGTGTGTGTGTGTGTGTGTGTGTGTGTGTGTGTGTGTGTGTGTGTGTGTGTGTGTGTGTGTGTGTGTGTGTGTGTGTGTGTACGCGTGCAATCGCGTGCCAGCGTGGGTCTGTAATGAGCCCAGCCACCCAGCTGAACAGTTGAGCAGGGTGGTGGAGATGAGATGGAGGTCCAGGCATACAGCCTGTCAGATCCCAGGCTTTCAACTCAGCCGCTCAGCAGCCTGCAGTCACACACACACACACACACACACACACACACACAGTTTTTTTTGTCACTTACACACTCTTGCACACACTGAGAGACACTCAGACTCTTTGTCTCCTATACAGATGTATGTATCAACACAAATTCATGTGCATATCCATATGGGTTTGAATGCATGCACGCACAGGCATTCAGAGGCAGGTAATTGTGCACATTCACATAGGTTTGCAGCATACATGCAGCATAGACACACTCAGTGATACATATACATTCACTCTCTGGGACATGAAAGTGACAAAAATACACACAAGCATGCAAAAGACACACACTAGACACTGTTCAGTGCCGAGGATGGGTACACAGGGTTATGGCAAGAGCTGGATTAAAGAGAAAAAGAACAAAACAACGGTAGTAAGTGGAAAGTTGATGCAGTCATCAGAGGAATGAGAGACTAGCCAATTGGCAGTAATAAGTAGTATAATATACCTGCAATTAACACCTGTAATGAGAGAGGTGTTAACGATGAGTACCGGGGAAAAGGGAGGAAAAGGAAAGAAGAGAGCAGGAGGGAGACCAAGAAACAGAACGACTTCAGGGAAGCTGATGTTTTTTTGTGACGATTTCAACATGTATATAAAGAACTTGGTTTTCTTATAAAGGCAAGCAAGCGAATCGTGAAACGGAGAGGAGTAGGTGAAAAGCCAAATGGGGGGTGGGCGCTCAGCAGGAAATATAGAAAACCAAGAAAAACCTAATGTGAATGTAAGGGAATCCAGAGTATGCCTTCTGACTATGAGATTAAGTCCATTCTGGCTGTGCTGCTGCCTTCAACTTAACGTTTTATTTGTTAAAATACGATAGAGTAGAGGTTTCCAAACTCCTGCCCTTTGTCTGGATGATAAATTCAGTCATAGAGTTTGAGAAATTTCAAACTGGTAATAAAGCACGAATTACAGAAGGCTTATACCATTAATGGCAAGTTCCTATAAAATGCTTCACAGTGTTTGAACGGTCCTATAAAAGCTTTAGGTTTAAATCTGTGACAAATTGCAGCAAGGCTGTGCAATCAAATCAATAAATGTATTTAAAAGAACACTAATAATGGTTCATTTAACAGTACATCCAGCAGGGGGTTGAAGTGTGGGGTTCCTTATACTAGATCTCACCTCCTATACAACAACGATTACCCTGTTTCGCAGAGAATACACTGTTGTCACAGCCATTCACAATAATGGAAATCAATCCCAACATGACTTTCAATTTATTTGCATGAATAAGTAATGTGCCCTTAATTTAGCATGCTGAAGGAGCCTGAGCCCAACGCTGCTGCCTTTTTTTTAATGCAGCTATTAGCATAAGAGAGGCTGATTCTTTTTAATCAACTAATAATGAATGTTAGGGGAGCTTGTTCAGACCGCACCATGAGACCTCACAGCTCACACACACACACACACACACACACACACACACACACACACAAACCACAATACCAACCTGATGACCAATTAAAATGGCAATCCCCAGTCCCCTGTTTATTCTTCCACTTGCTCTCTCTTGCTTCTTAACTGCCTGTGCAGATGCTGATTATTTTTGGAATGACAGGTAACACTTCATTATTCAAAACCACACATTTAAGATAAAAGTGTGTTTTCTCAACCCAATTAGATCTGCACCAAAATTAAAAGTGCTAGCTTTCATTTCAGTTCCCATAGACTTCAAATGTAATAGCTCCCTCCTGTAATAGTTTTATTAATTGCAATTACATTAGTTGAGTTTTCTGCCGACCTGTTAATGTGCAGAACGGCTCTGGAGAGTTTGTGTATGTGTGTATGTGTGCGCACATGTGAGTACATGTGAGTATTGCTGGTGAGTGAGCAGTTATGGCTTTTTCCTACCATTTTCCTTTAAGCTGACTTTTCGCCTGAGTTCTTTCCACTTGAGAGCTGTTCTCACCTACCCAGCTCACTTCAGCTGTTTGTGCCTTTTGTAAACTCAACAAATACCAGTTACCCTCTATGAAAACTCTTCCTCATTGCTCTATCTACTTGTTTCCCAGTGCACATTTTGTATGTAGGCTTGAGGCAAGACTGTCTGCGTTTTGGTTTATTTAGAAATTCTTCAAGATTTTCTTTCTGTAAAGAAATAAAAAAGAGAAAACAGTAAATTACATTGAATTCAGCTTTTACATTTACATTCCTTTGGCAGAGGCTTTTGTCCAAAACAATGTGAAAATGAGCTTCAACAGCTTTCTCAACGTAATTTTTATTCAACCTCACATGCAGAGCAGAGCTATGAAAGGTCCCTCTAGTTTTCCCTTTCAGCCTGTGGTGTCAAGTACTGTTTAAGATTTAATTCCGCCAATTACTCCACAAGCTTCTTTCATAAATGTGTACACACTCAACTGTAGAGGAAGGAAGCGAAATAAGCTGCTGTCATGTTTGATTGGACTGAAAACCTGAGAATCCCCCTATGGCGTAGTACTGGACACCACAGGCTTAGAGTGAACTGGGCATAGTGAATTTCAGTAGAAAATAGTTTTAAGTCATAAACAATGAAAAAATAAAACCATGCAATGTTAGATCATACTGTAATTCAGTTAGTGTTACTTTAGAAGTTGAAATATAAGAAGTGCAAGAAGATGCTGATTACTTTAACATGTAAAGCACAAGCTCAATAGTGTGGCCTATGTGCAGCAATGCTACTGATGGATGTTGTACACCAACTTAGCAGAGCCTGTGTAGATGTCTTCTTCATATTTCAGTAAGCCCTGCATTCACATATTTCCTTGAGAGGATGTGGAATGAGCAGAGTCTGAGAGCTGCTCAGCATCAGTTAGAGGGCTAGTAAAATTTCCATCCTTTAACCATATGTGAATAACATAAAACCTCTGCTGGATGTGCTTGATAGACTTTTACATGGGAAATCACAGCAAACAGAAAGCAAAGCAGCCAGTTGGATTGAGCTAAGAAAGCAGCAACTATCCAAAGCTGCCTGCAGTGTGTTAAGGATGTGATGTTAAACTGAGGTTCCTCTTTCTGTCCAGTTGGGTGAAGGTCTGATTCTCTGGAGCTCTGCCAGTCGCCATGGCAGTTTGGGATTCTTGAGTTTCCAAACCAGAACCAGAAACGGGCCAACTTTTAAGGCTCCACCGCTGCTCCCTGGGCGTACTCTCTGACTACTGTTTCAGATCATTACCGAGCCCCAGTAATCAAAACTGATTTATGTATATTTAGTGTGTGCAAGTATGTCTGCTGTACATATGTATGCGACTTTCTGGTACTTGTACAATTGCATGCACTGTACGGGTGTGCATGATGATATCTAACTTTATTAAATATAATCTTACTTGAGCTTACTTATAATTAACAGAGGCAGTGCATTCTAGTTTTCATTTCAACTCCTGCTGAAATATGAGTGAGTATCCAAACCTCTGAATGTGTCACAGTTTGAGATTCCCCCTCTATTCCTCACCTGCTTTCCTGTACTGTGTCAGTGATGTTGATGAACTGGGGGAAGCATGGGTTTGCAATGCAAAATGTTAAAGCTCACTCTCTCTTTGTCCTGTTCTCCTTCTCTACCTCTGTCTATCTCTTTTGTCCCTTTCTCTTGCTCCCCTCCTCTCCTCTCCTCTCTCTACCTCCCCCCCTCACTCTCTTTGTGTTCCAGTGGGTACTCCTTACTACATGTCACCGGAGAGGATACATGAAAACGGATACAACTTCAAATCTGACATCTGGTCGCTAGGATGCCTGCTCTACGAGGTAAACTATGGGAATATGTGCACACACTGTCACCTTGCAGTCGACTGTAGGAGTGACATGAGAACACATTGGCTCAGACACACACATAAACAAACAAACCACCCTCACCTATAATAGACTACTGTGAGAAAATATATACAAATATATACACCACCTGCACTTTCACACATGGTTATGCTGTATTTACATTCACCTTTGCTACAAGTCCTAATGTACGAAATAAAAAACACACACGTTTATGGTAATAATGTATTCAAATGGACATATTTCTTTACCTTCTATCCCTCCTGTTCCTTGCTTCTTTCAATGTGGCCTGGCGGAGCTGAGGCCTTAAGACTCTTTAGCCTGGGGAACCTGCTAAACGTTGAAAAGCCGGGGAGTGAAGGGAACTGACATGGCCATGTGTTTTAGATAAGGCCGCCCAGTGACACTGACTAGTTTGATTAGTCAGGAGCAAAACACCACAGGGCTCTGCTGTAGACCACACTGAGTGGAAACAAGCCCAGGAGGAGGGAACAAAGAGGAAAGCGAGAGAAGCAGAACAATGATAGACATGGATGATAGCAGTCAATCTGATGTTTCATCTTGCCAACCTTCACATGCACCGAAAACGCACGCACACATTTTCAGAGACACACAGTCGGCCAAGGAAACACCCACATTTTCCTCCCCTGCTCTCTCCTAACTCCCCTGAGTTGCTGATCACTTGGGCTGCATTTCAACGCACCAGTGACTACACCTTCTCTTCAGCGCCTCAGGCATAGAGGTGGAGAACGCGCAAGGAAGAAGTTTTAGCTCAGCTTGCAGGTCATGGTTGCTCAGAGACCACAGCCCTTCATGCTAATTAGTTCCCCACAATGCACTGCGGCAATGCACGGCTGTGGTTGGCTGAAAGCGGTGGGTGCTGTAGGTCACATTCTGTTTTTGTACTTTTTATGTGCGTGTGTGTTGTATATGTGTGTTTTTTACACGGAGGATGCTACTTTTACTGTTGATAAAAACCAGATTGCTCAAGTTTATATTACTCCTGTTGCATAGTTTCTGCAGCTATCATGATTGCGTAACCACATCAGCATTTTTGATTAAGTCATTTTGTTGTGGTTAATTTTGTTAGGGTGAGTTTGGTTAAGGTTTTTATTTAGTTCAATTTAAAACTAATCAATTGTCAAACATTTGGACACTATTTATTTCTAAGATTTTTGCCTCTTGTTTGACAGCGACAGCAGAGAAATAAAGACAAGGAAGGAGAGAGGGGTATGACATGAAACAGAACCCACTAGACACCCTGAAAAAGTCCCTTTAAAGAAATCATCAAACATTTGGCTAGGTTTAATTGTAGTTGAAGATTCTGTCCGTTGTGTAACTTGACTACTTCTGTTTTTTTTTTTCAATAGTTTGTTGAGGACGCTGTTCATTCTGAAATTGTCACAGAGCTGCCTGTGCATCCTGAGCATTGATTGTTTCACGTTTTCAGATGAGGCACAGTCCATTGATCTTTTATGAGTTTCACCCATGGGACAGCTGCTTGGGGTCACAGCCTGTGCTAAAGACTGAAAAAGCAAGATGGAGACCAGAGATGAGGAGAGGGAAGGAGAGGGCTAGAGAGCAAAAGTGAAAAAATAGAGGGAGACTTGTTGCTCCCTGAGGAGGTCAGGAGGCAAGGAATAAAGATGTAAGGTGAAAAAGTTTAGGAATCTATATGGGAACAATATAGGAAGCTAGAGAAGGCAGTATAAGTCTTCAGAAGGAGATAGAAGGTTAGACAGAGAGAAAGAGCAGAGGGGGAAGAAGTGGAAGGGGAAAATAACAAATAGCGAGAGCAGGGTTATAGATTGCTGGAGAGAAGAGGAAGATGGGGGGGTGCTCATTCAGAGAGAAGGTTCTGTAGGTACAAGAGCAGAGACAGAACTCCAGCCATCAGGTCAAGGTGAGCCATGCATGGAGCCTGTGGAGATAAAGATTTTACAACCTTATTGTTACCAGAGCAGTGCTCACCATGCCATGCATATTCTCTTTGAAGAGCAAACCCTTGCTTTCCACTCTTCTTGGTAAGAGGGCTCCACAGTGCATTCAGTGTCAGGAAACTTGCCTCTTTTTCTCTGAAAACTCTCTCCTCCATTCCTCTTTGCTCTGTTCTCCTCCCCTCTGCTATGTTCCCCTCCGTATGCCTCCCTTTTCCTCACTTAACCTTCAGGCATAAGGAATTCACATAAAAAAATCCACGCCTGATCCCTCTAGTACTCATTGATTTCACTCTGAACATACAGTGGGCACTGTGGATTGTGCTGGTCTACGTGTGTGTGTGTGTGTATCCCAGGGAGTTTGGCTCCTTATGTGTGAAACAGCTCCATTTGAGAGAGGCTGCCTTTTTCATTCTTGTGCCTGGGGGCTGGGTTAGGGTCCGAAGGGTCCATCCGTCAATACCCGGTCATTGTATCAGCGTCTATCTTTATCTTCCATTCTGTTTGATCCCTTTCTGCTCGTGTCCAACCTCATTACATCACCTGACCCTGCCCTGTGCCCCTCACCCAAACCCCCTACGCTGTGGTAAACAGGGATGCTGCAGTTGCTTGGGTAGTCTCCCAGGGTGACCAGGAAGGTAAGGAGGGGGTTTTGTCACACACCAATCGATAAGATTGCGGTCTCCTAGCACTCTCTCCTCTTGCTCTCAGTGAAAAACCACCTCGTATTTGCATTAGTAACTCTCACCCGCTTCTTGCGTTTTACAGACACTGTAGGTCTCCAGCTTGGATGGATATTTTGTGGTTGCTGTGTTTTGTATAAAGGTTAGCAGAGGGGGAGAATATCTTGAAAAGCTTTACTGGAATGTGTCTCCTTCCTGTAAGAGCTCAGCCATCCATACCTCTGACTGTGCCCATGTCTCATGCCTCCTGCCTTATTCCTCTCCCTCCCCTCTTGTTTTGCTGTTGGTTTTATGAGGCCCAAAAATGCTTGGTTCTCAGCAGCTGGCGTTTGCATGTGATGAGTTGGCCCTGTGGCTAGCTCTCTATATGTTTTTGAAAATGGGAGTGGGAGTTCTTGCAAACAAAGCCTGCTGCTTGCGGATTTGCCTTTGTATCCTTTTATCTGTTTCAAACACTGCATGTAGTTTTTAATACGTTACATACATGTTCCTCCTACCAGTCTCATTAACAGGGTGTGCCAAATCTAGGCCATTTGTGTACAATATGTCAGGTGCCTTCCTTCCTTCTCTGCTCTGCTTTCAGCTTAAAACATTAATAACATTTGAGAACAAGACCTTCAATTCAGTTGTATCTTTATGAGTCCACTGCACAGTCATGTTTTGAAACTTTAGTGTCTGAGTAGTTTTTGATATTTTGGGACCACTCTCATATCAGTTTGTTAAATATGAAGTCCCTGTAAAACCACAAATTGTGTTTACACTTCAGCTTTTGTACGTATTATACAAACCAGATTTCACTGAAGCTTGAACTTGAATAAGTGAGCTTTAGAGGTGCTGGTAGCATGATTTTGTTACCTTTGGACAGAACCAGGTTAGCTTACGGCCGTTTCCAGTTTTTGTGCTAACTAAGCTACCACGCTGCTGGCTGTAGCTTCTTATTTAATGGACAGACATGAGAGGGGTATATACTTCTCATTTAACTCTCAGCAAGAAAGTACTAAAGTGCATATCCAAATATGTTGAACTATTCCTTTAAGTTCCACAATTCAAATACAGACACTTAGCTGCAGTGAGATGGGGACATAAGAACACATAGAGAATGTGTTTTCCTCAAAAGTTCCACCCAGTGGAACAATCTGGCACTTTTAATTCATCCTTCCATTTATATCTTCACGTCTTTCTTCCTTTCTTCTTCCCTTTAGTGTGTTGAAGTAGAGCAGTGATGACTCCACTGGGTGTAGGTATATTTTTAATGACTGTCCCTACACTGTGACTTATTGCCTTGATTAATATATCATCATAAAACCACATTAAGGACCAGTGAGCACATAAAAAAGTCATGCTTTCCTCACTTGTACAGTGTGAGAGACTGTGTGTGTGTGTGTGTGTGTGTGTGTGTGTGTGTGTGTGTGTGTGTGTGTGTGTGTGTGTGTGTGTGTGTGTGTGTGTGTGTGTGTGTGTGTGTGTGTGTGTGTGTGTGAGACAGAGAGAAAGAGTGTGTGAGTGTGTGTGTGTGTGTGTGTGTGTGTGTGTGAGAGAGAGAGAGAGAGAGAGAGTGTGTGTGTGAGAGAGAGAGACAGAGAGAGAGTGTGTGTGTGTGTGTATAAGAGGAGAACGTATATTAAATGTAGATCTGTTTTTCATGTGTGAACAACATCATAATCGTATGTGTGTTTATAAATGAATAAGTGAGAACTTGTGAGAAGCCCTTCAGTCCCAGCCTGAAAGAGCTCCAGGGATAAAGGGGGGTGGAAGGAGAAGACGGGAGGCTCTCGCAGCTCCTTTTAATTGGCGTACAGGGAGAGAAGCTGGAGAGAGAGAGCGGGATCAGTGTTAATTAAGCTGGAAGGCCCCATCCAGACCTTTTACACGGACAGGGATGCTGGCTTTACATGCCTGGGCTGGGGAGAGTGCAGCCTGGCCAGCTGAAGAAGAGCTGAGGAACAAAGGAGGGTGTGTGTGTGTGTGTGTGTGTGTTTTTTTGTGTGTGTCTGTGTGTGTCTGTGTGTGTGTGTGTCTGTGTGTGTGTCTGTGTCTGTGTGTGTGTGTGTGTGTGTGTGTCTGTGTGTGTGTGTGTCTGTGTGTGTGTCTGTGTGTTTTAAAGGGTGTGCGTGTGTTCTGCCACCAGCAGCTCACACCCCTTAGACAGACAGCAGGCATGCGTGTGCATTGTATGTCTTTCGAATATCAATGAACCATACACACACACACACACACACACACACACACACACACACACACCCACAGTCTCATACTCACACACCAGGGCCTCAGAGGTCAGGGAGTGAGTCAATCATCTAACCCATTGCGACGACACAGTCTGAAAAAATGAGTGTGTGTGTGTATGCATGTGTGTGTGAGTGTGTGTGCGTGCTCAGAGCAGGGGGCCGGCAGCTGTCAGGGGCTAGGAGCAGCAGGCACTAATGAAGCAGATGAATAGTGCAAAAACTCCCAAATACAAACAGGACAGTTGACATTTTTCATCTGTCAAAAGCAGAAGATGCATGAAAATACGATGGGGTCTTGTTTAACCCTTTGCCTCCTGGTGTCTATAGTTGGCTGATTTTCTTCTTTTTCTCTCTGTTTCCATCTCTTTTTTTCTGTCTCGCTTACTGAGAAATGTATAGATTTGGAAAGCCCACAGACATCCACACTACCTGTACTGTACCAGTACTAAAAGGTGTACATATATTTGTTATAAAGCAATTAAGAGTGTTTTCCCACACATCCCTTTTCAAGTCATTGAAGTAAACTTTTACTGCAAATAGTCAGCAATTTTTGTGCACACTCCATTCCAACTCCATACCCTTTTGAAAAAAAGCCAGCTGATTCTGCCTGGCACTGCCCTCTAGTTTTTTTTTCTCTCTCAGTCTGTTTGTTGGAAAGTGATTTAGCTACTGACATAAAAGTGCAAGATGTCCATTGACCTTTCTGGTAAATTTCTCATGGTAAAATCTATAGTTTTCTGACCTCCCTGGACTGATGATGTATTTATAGGCTGCAAATAGCAAATTTGCTGGTGATTTACTGGTTGGAGGTTTAAACAATTGAATAAATTAATGTTAATATTGTTGCAATTATTTTTGTCTTTAATTTATCAAGGGCCAATCATGAATGATAACATAACAGGTAGTTTAAAATAGTGGACAGATCATTTGAATGTGATCTCACCTCTCAGGCATCTGTACTAATGTCCTTTTTAAAATTACATATTGTACTGTATTTGTGTCTTTACGTGCTTTTTAATGGTTGGAACTGAACCAATGTAAAAAGTCTTTTGTTTTCCAATGATAGAAATACTTTGTATTAGCTATACTTAGTTGGGTTTAGTGTGTAACATCTTTATATGGCAGGAGATCCTGTTTTAATGAGCATTTTACATAACATGATGATTGTTTTGTACATTGCAACACTTTGGTGCGTTTGGTAGCACTCTGGCTCTGTAAGACTGTGGCATTATCCCTCTGGAGATCTCTGTTAAAATCTGCGTTTTCAAGGATGTACCATTGCTGTATGCGCATTTGTCCATGTGTATGTGTGACTGTTTTTGTCTCTTAATCGCTGCCGAATCAAATTTGAAATCTTAGGTTACAGATAGAGCATCATTGCTGACACACACAGGAATACACATTTCCTCACACATCTCATCACTGTCAACCTCCTGCTGTGCCAGTCTCAGTAGTCATTGTTGGAACAGAGGGAGAAACAAAGAGAGGGACTCCTTCTTTACTTCATGTGTTTTTGTGAGGATATACTGTATTAATGCGATTGTTTGATTAAGGGCGTGGATTAATGTGTGGTGGTAAATTATGTCCAGAGGAGAGATGGCCTACTGAGTTCCTGCTGCCGTCATCTTGACATCTCAGTGGAAGCTGTTACAGAGACTCTGTCAAAATCTGCCCGATAGGGAAGAAGAACTTTTCTGTCTCTCTATCATCACTGTGTGACAAATCTTTTTTAGTGAAGACTGAAATGTGGAAGCCGCTTACACGTTTGTGATGTGCTTGGCAATCTTAAAGAGTTATATTTAAGTTACATCTGTAGTTATATTTTCTATTATAGTTTGTAATATTTTATTTTGTGATATCTTGTACCTCCACTTTTGTACTCTCTTTCGCACTGCAGTGCCCTATGCTGCTGTGTCAATCTTGAATTTCTCCTAAGGGGGATCAATAAAGGAACATCTTATCTTAACCTATCTTATCTTACATGCAACAAAGTGAGCCAATTTCACTTGGTAAAATTCTTTTGTTGTAGAAATTCTCGTGACTTCACTGGTCAAATGACCAGTGAGTTTGTTTGTGTAATGCTGAGGTAGGCAGGCAACCATTTGCAAAGGAATGAATCACCTAATGTTCATATGTCCCCATTGTAACTAAAAAAACAGCTTCTGTTATTCTGCCTGTATTTTCTTTATGGTCTTATTCACACACACACATATATATCGTCTTTCTTGTGTCTGATATTGTGGAAGGTGGCACATTCACACTAATCTACCATATTCTTTATGGAACGATTCCATTTGGATTCATATGTAGATTCTTTCACTCTACCAATTAACAGACTGTCAAACACATACTGTACATTCTCCGTTAATAATGACGGTACACCTGGAAAAAATACCAAGTAAAAATAATGTGTAACAAAATGTCATCTGCGCACTATGATACACATGTTGTTTTCTTTGCCTTGTCCTTTTTTATTAGGAATAGATGCTTCTTGTTCCAATTCATCACCATTTGTCATCATTTACCACGTACAACATTTCTATAAGATCACATTCAAGTTAGAAATGTCCCACAGTACTGCAACAAAACTGCAGGAAACCTGAAATGGCACTGATTGTCCATTAATGGTCCTAGATCCATATTCACATTGGTCCAGAAGACTCCTGTGGAAGTCATTGAGATGTACAGCAACATTTCAACTTGCTCAGAAGTGCCTTGTGGCCTAGAACAGGTGCAAGGCATGACATTGGAATATGGATTTCACCTACTGTATACATAAATGATAACCAAGTCAACAAGCTCCAACATCATCACAGACACTGACGGCTATTCCAACCATGTTTATTTATCATTACTCATGCAATTTGACCCAAAACATGAGCATTTATTTAGAAAATGCTGAAACAGGAAATAAAAAAGAAGAAGAATTTTAGTGTCCTTGTTATGCAAGTTTGCTGCAGGCATCACCTTGCGCCTGCACATTTATAGGAAGTGAGTCAGTCACTAAGCCTGGCAAAAATGGCATGCTATATTTTCTATTCTTAGAAGGCAGCAGGGATTCTTCACCTGTTTCCACTCAGCAAAATCTCCTTATCCTTTCCACTCTTCCTTGCCATTCCCATCTGCCTCTCCTCTGCTCTGCTTGCTTGAATTTGTTTTCCAGAGGATACAGTTCCCTCGCTGCTCCAGCAAACTGAAAAATTCTCTCTCTCTCTCATATGCCTGCACCCCTCTCCTCACATTCTCCTCTTCCTTTCTCAACTCTGTATTTCCTCTCATTCTCATCACTAAGTTTTGGAAGCAGTGCAGCAGAAAGTACCAGCAAACTAGAAGAAAACATACAAGCTAAGAGAAGCTTTCATGGATTTTGGACTACTGCTCATTCCACTACAAAGAACATAAAAAAATGTGTACTGATTTGATATGTTGACAAAACATATCGACTTGTTGTCTGACTTTATTTGTGTCTCACTCACAAGCACTCCCTACTTTAATCAATAAGTCATATACCTCGATAGCAGTAAACTGTGCAGGTTCAGTAACATACATTACAGTCTCTTCTGTGTAGCACCTGTTGAAATTTTGACTGGGTGTTTCAAGTTTTTACTTTGTTCTCTCACACACTTTCCTCTTGTCTTCTCCACATTTCTCTCAACATTTCCTCTCCCTGTTTCCTTATATCTTATATTTCAGATGGCAGCCCTACAGAGTCCATTCTATGGGGATAAGATGAACCTTTACTCCCTTTGTAAGAAGATAGAACAGTGTGACTACCCCCCTCTTCCCTCAGATCACTACTCAGAGGAGGTAAGTGCTGTGTCCATTGCCTTTTACTGCTATGGTAGGTAGGTATGGACCTGCTCAGTATTTTAAAAGGACTCACGATAGTCTCAACTCCTGAACTCCTGGAAAAGAAACTTAAAAGAAATCCTTAATATCTTTTAAGTGAACTACTGTTTTAAGCAGTCGTGACCGGTTTCTCTTTCTCTGTGCCAGTTTGCTGATTTTGACTTGTGTTGACTATTAAAGTAAATTTTTTATATGTAAGTGAAATCCACCCAACTGCATGAGCTACAGTACTGTATGATTTTGCTCTGTGATCAAAAGGCCAGCTATGATTTTAACCGTTTGAAAATTAAATGCACATATCAAAAGCATCTGGCCATGCTACAAAGTTGGGTGAAACTAAATAGGCTGGAGTGTCATGTTTCCCTAACTAAATGTTAAATCATCTGCTGTAATTCTGCATAGATTTACCCGTGCACAGAAATGTAATGTAGTCGGGCTGTGGTTAAAGATCGCCTTATTGCTGATTGCCAGAGACGTGTGTATGAATGCGCATGGCTTTGTGTTTGCATGCCCTCTTTTTTGTGGGTGGCATTTCTTTCCAAGATTTCTGTCTTTTTCTCTTACATATCAATATATTAAGTCAAGTGTACACACTACAATGTTTTCCTACAAACAGAAAGTCTTATTGCTTGATAATTAAAAGGCAAAAGACGTCCGCTCGTGTGTGTGATCTATTTAAAAGAACATACCAGTGTTTTTCCATGTGCCAGCCCTTATACTGTAAGTTCAATTAAGGAATTGTTTTATAGATTAGTCTATGTTACAACATAAGCTCACATCTGAGAGCATTTGACATTTTCTACTTTTAAACAATTAAACAGTTATCAGAATTGTTGACAACAAATTTGCTATCAATGATCCAATAACTATACACTTTTTTTCCCAACTGTACATATACTTTACATCACCGTTAACCTTTTTGCAAACCATTCTGCACTGTTTTAAAAAAGAAAAAGTAAAGCCTACATGTTATATACTTAGGGAAACCCCAGAAACATACTGGTCAGTATAGTCCCTAATGAAAAAAAGTGATCAACCTATTGTGTCCTTTTATCTCTATGCCCTCCTCTCTACTATCAGTGTATCTGCATATGCAAGTCCACAGTGGCTAATTTTAAGTGGCCATCCTTTTTCATGTCCCTCTAATAGTAAACCCTGAGAGAAGGGCTTTTAATATATTGTGATTTACTTCATTAGGTTGATAAAGGCTAATTGCAGAGGTGTCTCAAGCCTCTGTACTGTTTATGTGTGTGTGTTTTTATGTGCAGGAGCAATTGTGCAAGTGTATTTTTTGTTACAAAAGCTCCCTCTCCACACAGACACACACACCACACTGAGCTTCTGCGTTGCCCCACATGTCACCCCCATCCAGGAGAAAGGGAGACAAAGCGAAAGAGAGAGGGAATGATAGAGCGAGAGACAGGGCGATGGAGAGATGGAGATGAGGGGGGTGCCTGCAGCGCCTGTCTGGATGTAAACAATGCTCCTGAAGGATCGGCAGCAAACTGTCAGCTGCTCATCTTTGTTGTGTCATTTAACCATCTCCGTCTATGCTTCCCCCCACGCCTCCCTTCAGTAACTCCTACTACCCCCCTCCCTCCACCTGACACCCCCCACTCCCCCACCCCACTCGCCATGCAAAGAAGCGCATGAATATTTTACATATCTGCATCTCTTTCTCTCTCCCCCCCTCTCCATCTCCATTCTGTGGGACTAATTCTCAGACTGTCTGAATTTGCATCTTTTTCTCACTTTCTCTCTCACTCAGGCACACACACACACACACACATATATAAGCACAGCGGCTGACGAGAACTCGTCCAAGCCGGTGCCACGCAACAGCGGCCAGGAAGTCGGGAGACGGTTACCATAGCGACCTCGCGTAGATGTTATTTTTTTCTTTCCTCTCCATCTTTTATTCTCTTCTTTTTTTTTAATGATGGCGGTGGCTGTTCCGCCTGCGAGCCTGTCTATCTATCTGCTCCAATCAGCCGCTTCGCTCGGCTTCAAGTGTAAGTGCTGTCTCCGGATGGCAATGGAGTGGCAGCAGTGTGTGCATGCGGGTGGGTGTGTGTGCGTGTGTGTGTGTGGGCTCAGGTAAAAGTGGATTCAGCAGACCAATAAGCGATTAGTGCCCTAACCCAGCCTCGTGTCTTTGTCTCAGCTCGATTACTTGTTGCCTTGTTGTTATTATGGAAAGAGCTCATTAAACGACGAGCAGGTGTCTGTTAGCAGAGGCTTGTTCATTTCTGAAGCTGCTCTTTTAAAATCCACAGTTCGGTCTCACTACAGTGTCATTGACTGTTATTTTTCTCTTTACCTCCAAACCAACAACCCCCTGTCCCTCTCCCCAGCTGAGGAACTTGGTAGATATGTGCATCAACCCTGACCCGGAGAAGAGGCCGGACATCACCTATGTGTACGACATTGCCAAACACATGCAGAACATGACACAGGGCAGCTAAGCCCAGAGTTGCACACACTACAGCTTGCAGAACTCCTCCCCACTTCCCTCCTTGCTCTTCATGCTGGACTCGTACACATCTATCAGCTTTTATACAAAAATTTACTCCAGAGTTTAGCTCCTTGTGATAAGTAATATGTGTAACTGTATTTTCAAGGTGATGGCACAGTCTATAACATGACTTGCACCCATACCTTTTCTGCCCTAGGATAAAGATCAGAGAGATAATGCTTTTTTTGTCCGATGGACCTCCCATTCCTTAGACTTTAATAATGTTACAGCACTGAAACTCAATGTATTGTAACTCAGTGATGTGTTTGTATGGCTTTAAAATGCATGTCCTCTGTCTTTTGTAGTAAAGCCATTTTTCAGCAATGCTATTTAAAGCAGATATACTGGAAACTTGTAAAATTAAAAAATGCAAAGTTTGGTGTTACCCGTTACTTAACCTCAAAACAGGTAATCAATTCAAATGTCCTTAAAAATTATCTGTTGCGTCCCATGAGACATGTGGTCACCAAACGGCACAAAAAAGACTTTGAGAACAATGGTAAAATTGGAGTGAAGAGTTTTCCAATTAGTGGCAGCAAAACTGAGAGACACTGAGAGTGTTATTGATGGTTGAAGCATTGTTGTGTTGCACTTTTTACCCTGGTACTGGAAGGCTGGCTGGGTGATCATGTCTAATGAATGTATTAGGAAAGGAAGGATCATGTAGAGAGTAGACTAGAGACACGCTTGGGGGGAAAACATGGGCAAATGTCTCCACAACACTTTGAATGTAAGTCATTTTGACACTTTTGTATTGTCTTTGAAAACATTCAGAATGTCTCTTTTTTTTGACAACCTAGAAGGAGTTGTAGATGCTGTAACAAAAGCAGTTTTAAGTCTGCTGTTTACCTTAGTCACTGACACCAAAAACATTTTCTCCTTGGTTCAACTTAAACAAGGTATTACTGATTTTGCTGGTAAAACCATGAAAAAAAGTCAAAACATAGTTCTCATTGTGGTCCAGTGGATGCATTTGACCCACCAGAAAGACATTGTGTCGACAAAATGTTGTGATTGTAACTGTTGCTGTGTAAGTTTGCGGTGTAGTTGTGTTAACAAATATGTTGAAGAGATAGCAGATTCTTACCTTGTGTAGCCGTCCACGTCATGAGTAAAACACAGCTTAACATATGTCCTCAGCTGAGATACCAAAGAGAAAAGTCAAACGTAAAGAGAGCAGTTTATATGTTAAGGTACCTTTTTATGAAAACCATATGAAAGACTTGTACTGAAAAAAATAAACAAGCGCCAATGGGACTTTTTTTTTTTTTTTACTGTAAATAGAGAAGAAGTTTTAATACTGTAAGATTTTAGTGACCCTTTATTCATTTGGAGGAAGGAACGCATATATATATAATTTTTACAGCAGTGAATAGGTTTACACCAGGGTGTCACAAATGACTAGCACTGACGACCACTGGTTTACATGACAATGATACCACATGAAAGGTATAGTAAGTAAACAATTATTGATAACGCTTTATTTCAGTGTCTTATGAATTTGCTTTTAACATTATCAAATAGCCTGTTAACCGTTAATTCAGATATTGTACATGTTCTCATTTTTTTAATTAACATTTAATAATGTGTTATATATACAAAATCAAAGCTTGTAGTTGCAAGAAAATGTAAGTTATTTTGTTTTGGTCAACAGAATATTTTGATAGTGTGTTGATAGTAGTTATTTGTCTGAGACGTGCAAATACAGTGTTTTACAATTTTGTTTGCAATTGTACACCTTGTTGTGATTGTTGTTCCTTTGCATAGCTTCTCTCTGCAGTAAAAAAAAATTCATTTCAGTACTTAGTTTCAGTAATTCTTCCTCATCTTCACTGTTTATTTCCTATCTCTATGCTCTCTTTACAAGAGCAACTGAATAGCACCGAACATTATTAGATTTGCTTGAAAGAGCTTTTTAGATATTTGGATTTGATGCTGTACAGATCTCCCTAAAGAAATTGGTAGTATATAACAGGAAAAATCCCCAAATGTTTATTCTTTTGTATTGGCTCAAAAGACACATTTATATTGATGCTTTCTCAACGCCAAAGCACTATATTCAGTTATAATGAAAACAGCCCAGGAAAGAGAACAGATATTAAGTTCTATTCTGTCATTTAATGTCAGGAAACAGTTCAATATGATTTCATTTCTTGTCTTCTTTTAAAACTAAATGCATATATCTTGCTGTTGTCTGTCACCTTGCTAGTTAAGAATGCTTTATGTGGTGCAAAGTCAGGTTGCAATGCCTTAAACTATGTGTGTGCAGTAATGGTTATATTTCTGTTGATGCACAGAAATGGAGATTCAGGTTTTATTTTTTTTTTTTTACTCCTCACTGGGGGGTTGTTTATAACAAACAGTGCTCAGTCATTTTAAGGATTAGGGCAATTTCTTGGTAGAGAAAATTTTTAGTCTATAGTATATGACGGTGCTCTCCAGTGTCAAGTTGGTATTGAAGAGTGCAGGGGTTTTCCAGAAAGTCAAATATTGGAATTTATTTATTTTTTTGGTAGTTTCGTTTTCTCAACATTTCATTTAAAATTAAGAAATCCTCATCACAAACACCCTGTATGCTAAATAAATGTAATAAAGCTTTGAAATTTCTTTTGGACATTAGAGTGAGTGCTTGGAGCTCTTACTAGATATTCTAGATACTAGATAATATGTTTCACATCTCATCAAATCTCATCAGGCATCACTGTTTGAACGATTAGAGCATCACTTGATTGTCAAGAAATACAGTAAGAAAATAAAAGTCACGCTGTAACATTTATGCAATGCCAAACATTATCAGGCCCAACCAGTATGATTTAGATGCAGAGCTGCAGTAATTGCAGTTTCACACCTGCAGTTATGGACCACTAGGGGCATTTTTAAGGATGGACTGAACTTCAAAGTCCAGAATGACCCTTTTACCTGAATTTACAAGTTGGGATGTTTTACTGTGATCAACTAGCAAATCATACTAGCTTAACAATAAGTATATTCCTATGACTTCCATTTTTTCTGTAACACACCATGTTAGACAATATAACCCAGACTGATAATAGAACATACATTGGAGTTTATGTCTGGATCCATTAAGTCTTGTAGTTACTTTTTATTGGCCTCGAAGTTCATGTTATGTACATTATTTTCCAATAATACAAGGCCATCTTAACATCAATAGAGTGTAAATGTAATGTCATCTTATATTAACTAACTTTAGAAGTTGCAGAAGACGGCATGAATGCACAGTTTAATCACTGATAGCACAATGGGTTATGGGATACTAGAATAGTCTGTATACTAGTGGCGACATAGACTAAGTCCAGTTTAGATATTTTCCGTATGTATTGTTTATTGGTAAAAATAAAGAATTTATCCAGACAATTAAAACTTGGGGTTCATCTGTCTGGTTGTTAAGTGCCTGAAAAGGCTGCATGATACAGATGTGTAGAAAGAAAAAATAGATGTTTTTTTTCAAAAGACTGAATGTAATATTTATGATGGGTATAGGTCATACAAATACCAAATGTAATACCTCAAAAACAAGACAACATACAAAAAAAACAACTGTAATAAAAAAATAAGCCAGAGCACCACCTATAAAATGAATTTCCTGCAGGTGGTGGAAGTATCAAAAAGTTCATCAGCAATTGCTTTCCCTGCTTATAGGAGGTGACGTCTACATGTCTGTGTCTGACCTTAACAGCTGCTGCTATCACTTTCTTTTTGTTTAGGTGTCATGTGTACAACTGGTAAGACAAATATAAATGGACAATATGACATGATCCCAAGAGAACAACAAAACTTTAGGTTATTATAGTCTAAAAGCCATACTACAGATGGCATTCTATACTTTTTGTCAAACTGTTTATAACTTCAAAGCTTTTGACTTGAGCTCATCTGCAGAGAAGGCTGTTTTAAGATTATCAAAGACACCTTTTATGGTCAGGATCTAAAATCGTAATAATGTAATATTATTTGATATGACTTAGAATTGTGTAACCCTAAATGAGACTAAGTTTATCTCATCAAAATCCTAAAAATTAAAAATTCAATGAGGAAAGAACGGTTCCCCTTTGTCACAAAGTATACATAAAAAAAAAAGTATATTTTGTTCAAGAAAGTAATAAAAAACCACAAAACATGTCTCTCAAACAAGGCATTAGCAGTCTAAATCATACACTGTAGACTCTAAACAAACCAGTGTAAGCAGATTAAAAGAACTACTACATACAGAACAAATTTATAGGACGTGGCCGTAATCAGCTGTTTTTGTCCAAATTGCAAGTTATTATGATTTGCAGTAGTTATACTGTTGTGCTCTAATACAGAATTTCTAATGTATGATATTTCAATTGATGCAAGTATTGCATTATAACAGGAGACTATGCATTGTGCCAGTGAACAATGTAAAAGACAGTGTGAAATAAAAACTCAAAACAACAAACGTAACAGTCATGACAGTGAAACCATTCAAAATTATCTATAGTTTGTGTGCCTCAGTACGTAGATTTTGTAGCCCACCACAGCCAGGGCCACACAGGTGATGATGGCGACGAAGACGGACAGACGATGAATGAAAGCTATCAAATTATAATCATCGTCTGTAAAATGATGGTTAATATTAAAGTTTTGACATTTATGATTAAAATACAATGAACATACATTGAATTGTGTACTGGGTGTTAAAGCAAAATGTGTCAAAATGATGAGTTTAGCAATTTGTGGTATTAATGAAAATGTCACATACATGAAGTGTCAGTAACCTTTATCAGTGGTTTGCTCTCCCATCTTCCATTGAAAACAGTCACCTGCAAAGACATAAAATCTGTTTATCAGGAAGTTTAGCATTTAAAGAAATAGGAAAAATAAAGTTGGAATAATGTAGAAACCAAAAATTAGTATTATACAAACCTTCACTTTGTAGGTCGTTAAGTAGCTTAGATCTTTGAATTCAAATTCACATTTATTCAGACTTTCTTGTTTAAGGTTCTTCTCATTACAATCATTAAGACATGCAATGTATTTCTCCTCAGGTCCATTTAAATCTTTTACACGTTGGCAGGTTACTTTAATCACATTATGCTCCACAAGATCCACCTTGAGGTTAGTAACTTCTCTCGGTACTGTAAGACAGTGAAGAAAAACAACATATTTGCTGTTTGATACAACGCTGTATTTTACTTATCGTTAAAGTGATATTTGAGTTTCTGATAGCAGCAGTTTTAACACTGATTAGTGTGTTTCTCTATTGGTCGTGCTAGTTGTCTGTAGTGATACAAATACAAAATGTGCAAGAAAGAAAACAATTCATTATAAAGGCAAAGTAAAAAAGGTATAAAAAGTTTAGAAAATAGTTATTCATCAGTTTAAATTATTATTCTGTATTATTCTATGCCTTTAAATGACAAATACATTTTTGAAAACAGTTTTAAACCAGTTAAACAAAATGGTACTTAAAGTAAATGTTTTGATTCCACTTTAAAGTAAACGTTTTACAAATTCATTCCTAAAGTAAAAGAAATAATACAATTAATTAATCCATTGAAATGAGTTTTATAAATTTAATGTATTCATTACAATTTAACACTGACAAAGTCTATAATATTATAATACTCTGGTACCACACTGCAGACTTTATTCACCACAGTACCTGTGATAAATAAACTGATCAGAACAGACTGAATGAACTGAACTGATAAATTACACCATTTATATAAATACATATGGATATATATAAATATATAATATGAATACAAAAAATGCATTTAGAATTAAAACTACTATAATTAGCTAAAATAATAACCAAATAATTAATTATAATTGATGTTCCAAATTCATTTAGTATCTATATTTCTTGTACAAGAGTCAGAGACGTCACATATCAGTTTTCTCCCCAAATTCTTCCAAAACAGTTTCAACTCTTAAAAAGTGTTTCAGAAAGTATTTACTTTTACTGCCACATATCATATCATATTCATATTCAACTATATATGAAATACACAACCTTAATAAATAAGTAGTCAGGATATAGTCTGTTTGTATTATTCAGGTGCTGACTGTAATTTTCACCAAAAGATCAATTTTGTACACTTACCTCCAATGTTCGTTTCCTGTCTAATTTCAGTTGATTGGCCAACGTCCTTGTTGTTGTAGGTGGGTTGGACTTTACAGGTATAGTTGGTGTAGGGTTTCAGTCCAGTAAAATAACATGTTCCTCCTTGTTTGTTAACTCCAGCTTGTCGTTGGTCTGTTGTGTTTGATTGAATAACAAGGCAACAAAGACACAATTAAGGAAAAATACAACAGCAGATTGTTTTGTTGGTTAAGTTACCTATTAAGTGATAACAAACTGGATATCAATCAATCAAACTATCTCTCTATATATATGTTCCATGGATGATTCAAATGTCCACAGTATATTTCACTATTTAGGTAAACTGACCAGTAAAATAATCTTCAAATGCTTAATAATCAAAGAGTGAATCTAAATGATTTTACTTACCACTGTGTTTCGTCCCACAACTGCAGTGATAAGAAAGCTTCGGAAGATTGGGAAGATCTTTACAGTTCCTACTGGTTGTGGTCCAACTCAGATTAATGGAGGTATTGGTTGCTCTCGTGATTTTGGTTGTTATTTCAATATCTGTTAGAACACATTAGAAATCAGTAACACTGAGTATCTGGTGTTGTCCTTTTATCCATAGTTATCTTATTGTTCTTATGATTGCACTGAGGTAAAGTGAATATCACATACCACACTCAATGTTGAACTTGATAGCAGGTGTGTTTGTTATGATGACATCACTGCTCAGGTTCTTGATCTGACCAGTACAGCTGTAGTCTGTGAACGGCTCCAGCTCCGACAATTGCTTGGTGTTGTCGGGATTTCCATTTTCTGAGGAGACACAAGGATGACAACGTTTCTTCAGCAACTGGTATTTGTACCTCAGTGCCTCTGAACTGTGATCTTTTGGGTTTACATTCAAATTCAAGACACATTCACAGCAAATCTTCTATTTAAAACGGAATGCACAAATCAATATTTTGATTCATCTCTGAGACCAAAAGATACAATTCATATCACTTTAAGATTTTTTGTGTCCTTGTAATGAAAGTGAAATATGATACAGTTCTTATATCTCCTTAAGTTCTACAGTACGACTGCCTGTATATGGAAATCCATTCATAATGTTGGTGAGAAAGTGTCTTTACTTGTAGTCTCTCCACTTACCCTGACAGGTGTAATCAACAGTGAGATCACAGTTTGGAGGAGTGTTGGTTTTATTTCCACAGGAAGTCCAGTTGGAGCCGTCTGATTTATTTCACTTGGATTTAAAAAATCTGACAAGAAAAAAACGGCACATACATTAAAGATTATTGAGTAAGGTCGGCACCAAATATAATTCAAAATACAGGAGGGCTCTACTGTACATACCAACACTGATGCTTTTGGTAAGGCTAAAGGAAGAGCTCACACAGTTTCCTGATGTGAAGATTGTTGTCAAATCGGAGCAAATGTCATTGTAACCAGGTTTGATGCAGATTGTGTTCCTGTCACTTTGGCATGGCACAGCTAGAATAGTATTTGGTGTTGAAAATGAAGACCTGATGTCCCATTCACTCCGGTAACAAACATATCCAGGGATGCAGCTGAGATCTTTGATGTTTAATTTACCTGAAATACACAAGTCATGCACACATTACTTCCTGTTTTATACTTTCTCACTCACTTAAGTTCTAGTTTTATTTTATGTTTATTTGCCAGTACTATCAACGAATGCAGCCTTATGCTCACAGAAAGTACAGGACAACCATTATTCTTAAATATGAATCAAAATAGATTTCTACATATTTAATTCACTTCACTGGTTTGCTATTGGGCTGTGAGTGCTGCCTAAAAGCCTCTAGTGCACAGCAGTACTGTGGCTGAACACGGCCATGTGACAGAAGCTGCTGTGCTGCTTTTGCTATGCGGCCAGTATAGATGGAGTGTTACATAAAAAGACACCATTTATACGTCATGGATGCTTTTGGTGAGGCTAAAGGAAAAGTTCTTCATAGTTTCCCAAAGTAAAGGTTGTAGATGCATCTTAGGAAATGTCAGTGAAATCTGATTTGATACTGTGGAAGAGTTTTTCAGTTATGCTCAGTACATATTATATAGGTTATATAGGTTCTCTTAGTGAGAATAAGAAACTGTGATCAGTCATCAACAGAAGTCATCCCTCCTATGGTACTAAGCCTCGATTTATTTGATAGACAGGAAATATTATCTGGTCAGAGATGAAACTCATCTCACTACTGCTGGTACGAGTGCTGAATCTGACACTTTGTGAAAGAACGAAAGACCAACGTCTACAAGTTGCGCATGAAACAAATTAACTATTCATTTGGTTTATTCATTCACAGTGAAAAATAATATTAAAATGACAAATGTAATTTAGGAATTGATGTTCCCATAGACATGCTTCTTATGACTTCTGGGTGGTGGATTGCAGCCAATTTGGTCACAGATGGTCTGAGACACCCAAATCCTCCACATCATCTAACTTACTCTGTCCCATCTCTGAGTTGTTGTTGTTGTTTTTTTTATATACAGGAAATGTTAACTCTGGTTGGCAAGGAAACGCCCTACTGCTGATAAGACATATGCTGTATAAGAGCACAAGACCAACATTTACAAGTTGCATTGAATATAAGATTAATTACTGTTTCACAGTCTGACCATAGTGCAAAAATAATCTGAAAAATGATGATCATGATTTAGGTAGTGATTCTTCTTATTGCTAACTGATCTTCAGGTTGATGGATTGTAGAAATGTTTCCTTGAATGTGAAGACAGTCTGGTGTCTGTTTGTATATATCTCAAATCACACTTTTGCATATGTTGCATACAGAGCAAATAGGATGCCGATAAGTAGTCTTCTCTTCTATTACTTATAGGCTTTTCTTACATTTATAAGATTAAGAAGGTTTTTTTTTTGTACTCACTCATTTTATCTGTCATCAGATTTTTATCTCCATCAGAGTTACAGGGCCTTTCCCCACCACTGCTTTCAATAAATATCACAGTGGGGTAGGCATAGGCAGTACAGGGCTTCAAGTGTGTGATTTCATGTGACGACGTTTGAGCAGAATGCTGAAAGGTGAATATTTCTCAATCTCAGGTCGGCCTTCTTCATTCATTTTCAGGGCGTATTTACCAGCGATGGAACTTGTGATGTTGAGTTGTAATCCAAAATAAGTTGTTGAACCAGTGTAAGAACCTAAAAAAAAAAACCAACAGTTAAATATTAAAATAATAGTTAAGTAACTAGTCAAGTTAAGTAATAGTTAAGTATTTGTTCGTGTTGACGCATTCTTTTAGATGTGGGGAAAAAAACCAGGTAACATATTTAACATATGAGATTAAAAAAGTAATATGATACTCACAATGTGGAGATTCCGCAGCTAGAAAATGCAATTACATTTTTGGAAGTTAGAAAACAATAAAACAAGATCATATGTTTATTCATTTCTAAAGCACAAGTACAGATATATTTAAACTACCTGTGGCCCATTCTTCAGCCGTTCTACTCTCCTCTATGTTAATTAATAATCAGTATCTGAAATACTTTCTGTGTTTTTGTTGCTATTCTCTGAGCTCTTCTTAATTTGTGTTTCTTTTGAAGAGCATCCTCTCAGTTTATTCATCTTAAACCAGTCAGTGTTTTGTGGGGGGTTTTTTTTGTGTTTTTTTTGTGTATTTTATCTCTTCATACCGCAAATACAGCTCACTCCCATTCAAGCGGGCCATGTCAAGCTTTGTGCCCACTTCCATCAGACTCATTACTGCCTGTTTGGCTGCTTGGATTTAATTTATTATTTATTTATGGACATTCTTAGGAAACCCTAATCTCACTGGTGGACATTTTAAACATTTTAAACTGCAAAAGTTTTTCTACTCTTTTTTTTGGTTGTCTGTCCTGTTATGCGTAGTGTATGCGCTGATTCATTTACACAGATTAAGTTCCTAAAGAATAAATAGCTAAAATGGATGATTTAGCATCCCAGAGGTCTATTCAAATCAAATCTAACATTGTGACATCATTATTGTTAACACAAAATCAAACAACAAATCTGACTCTTCAAATGCTCTTTAATTTTTTCAAGGAAAGTTAATTAAAAAAACAAAAAAAATCTAAAAATTTAATTAGCTGTAATTTCATTATCTGGAAAATTGATAATAATGCACATTTCCTATCATGCAGTGCTTATTAATACCAGTAAGATGTTTTGCATGTCAGCATAAAGCAGGTTCTCTTATGGTTATTTGTATTTTAAATCAATTTGTTTATTTTGATTTTCTAAAATCTTTTTAATAATGAAGAATAGGCGGTCATTATGGAGCTATTATATCAGACACACCGTGTTGCTTTCAGAACACAAAATTATCACAATCTATAACAAATTTCAAACTGTTTTTTAATATTTTTAATGCGCAAAGAAAATCTAATTTGTTAAAGGGGCCACTTTATGACCTAAATACTCTAATTTAGATTTAAAGTTGCAGGCAAGATGTGTTTTTATTATGAATAGAATAGAATTAACTTATTGTTATTACATATACTGTACAGTCATACAGTTCAACACATCATCCTCTGCATTTAACCCTCCCGAAGTACGATGAGCAGTGGGCAGCCGCTGTACAGTGCCAGGGGACCAACTGCATCTAAGCAAGTACCTTGATCAAAGGCACTGACTTGAGAATTAAGCGAACATGCATGTTTTTAATGGTGGGGGAAACCGAAGCACCCTGAGAACATGCAAACACAAATAATTAAGAGCATGAAAAATGTTTCAGTTGTTGTCATATAAACAATCACTTACTCACCAACCATATGCTACAACAAATTATTTGATTAGAATATAGAATAAGCTACAGCTTTTTTTCAAGTTTATATATTAAAATGTTAAAAATGTCTTTTTTTTTTTTTACATCTTGAAGAATCAAGGGGAATAGATACAAGGACATGACTTAATAATTTTTTTGTTTAAAAAAGCACATTGCGTTGACATTGAAGATGGTTACTTACAGATGGCCAAAGCGATTATTGCAGCCGAGAGCAGCAGGATCTTCAGACCACAGAGACCTGCCATATCCAGGACTTCGGGTGTGTACAGCTACATATGTATGAAGTTGTACTCTTTTTTTAAAAAAAATTATATTATATACTAAGAAAGAAAAGTCTAATTTTGCTTTTCAACAGAGCTTTCTGTCCAATTGCCCACACCTAAATAAACCTCACTCCAGATTTCAAGTGAAATGAGTGGGCGTGATGTCTCACCTCTCTACTCAGAATCTGCCTTTACTTTGGTGACAGGAAGCTTAATTTCCTCTATGTCACTGCAACCAGGAAATCATCTATTATCCAAATCTGAAATCTGACTATCAAGACGATTTTGGTGAGTTTTATTTTGTTTGTTGATGCACAAGGGACCCTTTAGCATCTGTTTGAGATGCCTTTTTAATTCATGGTTAATGCCAAACAATCGCAGTTAGTTTAGGTTCTCAAGTGACTCAATTAGCTAATGTAACATTATATAACTTAAAACTTTAATGATGTCGAGGGGCATGACAAAACCTCGGTATTTGATGACTGAAAGCGGGCTGGTTTCTTACATATTACAATGTGCACATCAAAGCGACAGACAGGCTGAAAGTAAAACAAAAGCAAGCATAATATTGGAGCTATTAGCTGATAACAAAAGATAACTACATTTTAGAGTAATTTCTAAGATGTCAAAAAGACCTACTACATGCTGAACAACACAAGCAGAAGGCGTAAATGATGATTTGGTAGGCAGCTCCATTACACCTTCTTCATCAGCGAGCTTCTCTATGACGCCATCCTGGAGGTCGTGCATTGACATAAACTACAACAACAAACAAAAAGGAAATATAACAACATGATGTTTGTTACTCCTCAGCAAAGAGATTGTTGATAACATATTATTCAAAAGTGCTACAACTGCAAGTTATTTGTTTTGGGGAAATAATACACTCTTCCGAATTGGTAACACATAATCTAATAAATAAGTAATTTGTCGCTGCTGTTTTGTTACCTACTCAAAGACAACTGTAGTAAAACCGAGAAAGCTTAAATGTACTCACTGGCTTCTGATTCAAGCATCATGTCATCATTCACATCACTGTGGAGAAAAGAGAGAATAAAAGTGTATTGGAAATAATATAGAATATTTTATGATGGGCTACACACTGTAAACTGTGGATGTGTCCAAAAGTACTTCTTAATTAATACATTGCTCTACATTTACTGTCTGAAATGTATTATGTATATATACATGGCCCTCAAATTGTCACGGCACAGCCAAAAAACTAGTATTCACTGTCTTCTGCCAATAATCGCAGTAATGCGACGGTACATCTGTCATTGATGGTGCAGAATGATGATGGTATAGAGTCGAGTAAAACTCATGTACGACATATTTCTTCAGCTGTAAAGTCATTACCGTAAAACAAAGCAGAAGCAATGAGACAACTGATGCAACAGATCAGATGCAGAGTGATCCTTACTGGGACTTTCTGCACTTCCGAATGTAAATCTTGTAGAAAAGCAGAGCCACAGGTATGAGGATGATGAGGAAGACCAGAGACCCAATCAGAGCTTTGTCATTATCTGTCAAATGATGGGAGAAAAATATCAATGTGGTAGCATTTATGTTAAAGATACAATGTATAGAAAATGTTCTGTATGTCAATCTGAACAATATGAGACAATTTGTGGTATTAATTAGAACTGCACATACATGAAGTGGTTATAACACAAGATGTATGAGACATGCATACAGCATTATTTCTGTTAATGTATTTTCTATGTCTTTAACCCAGTTCTCACGGGTTGACCAGCAATAAAGCCCTGTATTTTAATCAGGACCTCTTGCTAATGCCTGTCACTGGAGGAGCTACATGTGTTGCTCCTAATTTCACAGTGCCGATGTCTAATTGTGCAACTAACTAACTAACTTCACTTTATACTTTTTTATCCTAATAATGTGGCAACATGACTTGTATTTATGAGATAGGAAGAAACCACTAGTGTCTTTAGTGGCAGTATTATGATTGTTCATAAAATATGAAACGTTTCTCTTCTGGCTTTATTTTGAAAGTGAAACCGGACGTTGCTTATTTATTATCCTAATTCAGTCCACCTGGACGTGGGTAAATGTGTTGTTGCTAACTTGACGGTGCCACGGTCTCCTATCAATCAAACATCCCTGCGCGTCCAAAAGTGACGCTAGAAGTGTTCCTACAGCATCACTTCCTGAAGTGTAGGGCCACTGACCAAGCTGCAGTTTTTGACACGTTGGGAATGAGAACAGATGTTGAACATGCTCCTAAGTTGAAACTAAGTAAAATCCAAACACTCTGCACTCATTACATACATACATGTACAAATCTACTTTAATTACATTCATTGCAAAGTAAAACTGTAATACTGGAGAGAAATATTGATACTCACACTGTGGAGGTGGAGGGGCTGGTGTACTGGCTGAAGAACACATTCAATTGACATTAGAAAAGGAAACAACAAAATATTGATATATTATTATAAAACTTTGAAATACTCGAGCAGAGTATACAGAGCTACTTCAAGTGAAGCATGTGTCTGTATTTTATGTACTTGTATAAACCGTATCCTATACTAGTGTTAGTAGCTGTTGTCTATGAATAACACAGTCTAAACACAATCTAATATAAGAAGAAATAGAGTTGGGTTGTAAATTAGAACGTTCCAACCTGGGATGGTTGTAATGACTGTGGTGTTGGGCGCAGTGGTTGGAGGCGAGGTCGCATTGTGAGTTTGGTTTGTTTGAGAGTCTGGTTCCCTGCTGGTTGAAGTGTCTGTGGGTGAGGATGAGGTGTTTGCAGGAGAAGAGGCTGTAGGAAGGAGAGCATGCTGGAGGTCACCTTCAAGTAGAAATACTTTACTGCCAATAGTCTTACCTCACACAATAGCACTACTGGTTCAGGATAATATGCTGAATGCAACGCTAATGTTCCCAGTAAAACTGTAAATGGAGGTTGAATACATTACCAGACGTGGTGTTTGAACTGGGTGTCTGACTTGAGGACTCTGAGGTGAGGGTCTGCGAGGTAAGTGGAGGTATGTGGGCAGTTGTTTGGGTGGTTGAAGACACGACAGGAGCTTCTGTCATGGGGGGTGGAGTTGAGGCAGATAGGGTGGTTACTGAAGGTGAAGTGGAATAGGTGCGTGGAGGTGAGAGAGTTGAATTATCTGCATTCCAAGAGAACAAAAATCAGGCCAAACTCAATGCCACAATGTCAGTTTCAACAACATTAAAAAGTACAACATGTAGTATTTTCCCTCCAACAATGAACGCTTTCATGCTATAAATTGTTCAAATTCCATTAGTTTGAGCTAGAGGTAACCAGCAACAGATCTCAGGTTCAGTATAACTACAAATAACATGGAAGACGTTTGGAAAGGAGCAATCACAACGACCATTTCAGGCATTTCAATTAAAGTAGGAAGTAGGTTAGATTAGATTAGATAAGATTCAACTTTATTTTTATGGCACAAAGTACAATTACTAAGACAACGAAATGCATATGGGATATGAATAAAATAACAATATAGATATAGATATCACGTAGAAATGTGAATACATTTCATTGTGTAGCAAAACAATGGATCATTACTGTATATAACTTATGTTTAAATATTATAAACACTATGTATCCTCACTGGAATATATTCACATAATTTGAGGACCCTTAAATCATGGTATAGATGATACACAGCAAGTTATTGTTAGTTTGCTTTAGCTCAGATTCAAAGCAAGCCATTTAAGCAATAAATAAAAAAATTTAATCTCAACCTGCTCTTTTGCAGTAATGTCTCACTACTTCCTGCATTGCAGTTGAATGTGAGTGAAAACTGCAGTTTGTAGTTCCTCATGGTTTCAACATAAGCTTTAGCAAAGCAACATTTTATGAAATGAGCACAAACTAATTAAATCAACAATTTAAATGTTTTGTACATAAATAACTGTGTGTAGGTAAGGGTAACTGTGGTCCCACATTCCTCCACCAAAGGATTGTGGACAAAATGTTCACCTGGTTATCATCTAGCTAACCGTAAGGTTTTCACATTTAGTTTGAAACATTATTAACATTATATATGTTTGACGATCATACTCATTTCATGAAATTTAGATGGCTTCAGGCGGGCCGAGGTGAATGTATTGCACAATGTATAGCACAGGAGGAAGCATAATTAGCATAAAACATTTTATACAATGAGATAACAATTAAATGTTACATATTCGGTACCATGTGTGTGGCCACCCACCTGTATCATTTTGACCTGGAATTACAAAAGAGTAAAAAAAGTGTAAATCATTGCAGTTTTTAAAGAAGAAATTCAACAGTATTTATTCTTAGTTACTCATTTTAGTTTTGCATAATAATTCACTTAATTCACTTTTAATTTAATAATTAATTCACTTCACTGGTTCGCTATTGGACTGTGAGTGCTGCCTAAAATCCTCTAGTGCACAGCAGTACTGTGGCTGAACAGGGTAAGGTGACGGAAGCTGCTGCTTTTGCTATGCGGCCAGTATAGATTACACCAAAAGACACCATTTATATGTCACAGGTGTTCTTGGTGAGGCTAAAGGAAAAGTAAAGGTTGTAGATGCACATAGATTCTCTTAGCACAAATAAGTTTAACTTTCTAAACTGTGTTCAGTCTTCAACAGGAAACAGTACAGTTAACACGCTTTGATCTGTCTCTGAGTTTTTCTGTTTCCCTCCTACGGTACTAAGCCTCGGTTTATTTGATATACAGGAAATATTAACTGTGGTCAGAGATGAAACTCATCTCACTACTGCTGGTACGAGTGCTGAATCTGACACTTTGTGAAAGAACAAAAGACCAACGTCGACAAGTTGCGTATGAAACAAATGAACTATTCATTCGGTTTATGTGACCATAGTAAAAAATTATATGAAAAATGACTTTAGGTGGATGGATATGCTTCTTATGGCTGATTTATCTTCTAGTTGGTGGCTTGTGGCAATTTTGGACCTAAATCCTCTGCATCCAGCAATGGTCAGACCACGAGTAAATAATATATACAGTGCTACTGAAAACTTTCAGTCAGCCTTACAGTGGACCAGTGGAAGTCATTTTTTTAGATTTATAGTATAGCATTCCTCAGACAAATGTGCTGTTACCCTCTTCCCGAGGAGGAAGATAATATTGTGATTATTTGTGCAACACTACTCTCAGCATGATTGACCTATATGCGTTCACTTTGGTAAAACTAACCTGGTTTGACCTGTTTCGAGTCTGTCATTTCATTGGTTAATTTAGCCAACAATTCTGTGCCACATGATTGAAATATAAAAATATACAATAATAAAAATATAGTCTTTTCACTACACAATTGATTTCCTCAAAAAAGTATATGGAATTGATAAACATACACCTGTTATTTTATATAAAAAGAGTAATGCTAATCAATAGAAACTCCAAAATGCTCCGGAGGTTGACACACGTTCAAGCAACACTGTATATAGCCTAAGGTATGGCCACGGTTGTGAGTTGGACATGAAACATTCTGCGCACAGTTAAGTCGATAGTTCCCAAAATTAGCATTGGATTTTATGTCCACATGAAAATTTAAATCCCCCGAGATTAAAATTTTGTCAAAGTTCAAAATAAGTGGTGAGCTCTGGTAGCTGAGAAACAGCAAATCTAGCAGGGTTCGTTTAGAATAAAAGTATTTTTTTCAGGAAATACTTTGCATACAAGGTGCTATATAAAGCACGTTGTGTTTTGAAAGAAAATCCTGTCTCTAACCTCTACATCATTCATGTAAAATTAAGTGTTCGTTTTGAAGATCAGAAAATGTTTCCGACAAAGTAGGAAGCAAAAAGGTGAATACGTTTCATTGTGTGGTAAAACAATGAATCACTACTGTATATAATTTAATAAATATTATAAACACTGGAGTATTTTCCTTTTTTCCCATTATTTAATAAAATACGTAAAAATTAAATTTCAACCTGATCTTTTGCGTTAATGTCTCATTACTTCCTGCATTGGAATTAAATGTGAATGAAAATTGCAGTTTGTAGTTTCACATGGTTTTGAAGATCAGAAAATGTTCAAATGAGGCGAGACACAACAGGTAATCATACATGGGCCTTAAAATGTTAAATGTTAAATAAATATGGTATACATTTGATTTTTTTGTACAGTGCTTATTAATACCTGTATGATGGTTTCCTGTCAGCATAAAGCACAAGACTCAAAAGCTGATTGTTATTTGTATTTAAAATCAGCTTGAAAAAAACTTCTTTACGTCTTGAAGACTCAAAGGGAAAAGATAAAAGGACATGACATCACAAAACCTTTTTATTTCCATAATCCCTTTTATTAAAAAAGCCCATTACATTGATATTGAAGATGCTTACTTACAGTCGGCCAAACCGATGATTCCAGCCCAAAGCAGCAGGATCTTCAGACACCAGAGACCTGCCATATCCATGCGGTAGGGTGCATGCAAGTCAAGTGGGGACAAAGAGAAGATGTTCACACAAAGAAGGTGTCTTTCCTCTTTTGTGATTAAAAGTATTGATAAATGTCTGTCATGAAAACATCATTTCCTGTTTTTTGGCTTGACGCATGCTCAGTGCACAGCTGGTTTGAAACTCTAATTTAATTATTGTCCTTCATACCTATTGGATAAAGGACACCCTATTCTTTGTGAAACACTGGCTTTGTGGCTATACCGAATCATTTTCCAAAATTTGGCTACTCTGGTGCCACAATGTATGAAAGAATGCAGAAAAAACTCTTGGTTGTTAGATAAGCCACAATAAAGTGCCCTCTAGGGTCCCCTTCCACTGGATAAAACGTGATGTGGTGCCCTTTAGGATTGTAACCCTAAGTCTGACTAAACAGTTTCACCATAAATGCATGTACCATGTACCGAGGCTGAGTCCTTGCTGCAGCGGCCCAGGGTTCGAATCCGACCTGCAGCCCTTTGCTGGGTGTCATCCCCTCTCTCTCTGCCCCCCTTTCCTGTCTACCTTCAGCTGTCACTATCAATAATAATAAAAAAAAAGGCAATAAAAAGCCCCCCCTCCAAAAAAATACTTAAAAAAAATATAAAAAGACCTGTTGCGTGAGACATGGGGTCACCAAACGGCACAAAAAAGACTTTGAGAACAATGGTAAAATTGGAGTGAAGAGTTTTCCAATTAGTGGCAGCAAAACTGAGAGACATAATAGAATGTTATTGATGGTTGAAGCATTGTTGTGTTGCACTTTTTACCCTGGTACTGGAAGACTGGCAGGGTAATAATGTCTAATGAATGTATCAGGAAAAGAAGGATCATGTAGAGGGTAGAAAACATGGGCAAATGTCTCCACAACGCTTTGAATGTAAGTCATTTTGACACTTATTTTTTGTCTTTGACTTTTTTTGACAACCTAGAAGGAGTTGTAGATGCTGTAACAAAAGCAGTTTTAAGTCTGCTGTTTACCTTAGTCACTGACACCAAAAACATTTTCTCCATGGTTCAACTTTAACAAGGTATTACTGATTTTCCTGGTAAAACCATGAAAAAAAGTCAAAACATAGTTCTCATTATGGTCCAGTGGATGCATTTGACCCACCAGAAAGACATTCTGTGTCGACAAAATGTTGTGATTGTAACCGTTGCTGTGTAAGTTTGCGGTGTAGTTGTATTGGCATAGCAACAGCTTATTTGAGGATTTTCAGTCAGGATTTAGAGGATTCATCACAGCACAGAGACAGCACTAGTTAAAGTTAATAACGGCCTTTTAATTGCTTCCGACAATGAACTTGTCTCTGTACTTTTGTTAGATTGTTAGAGACCTGAGCATCAAATTGGCATTAAAGGAACCGCACTAAGCTGGTTTAAGTCATACTAATCAGATCGTTCTCAGTTTGTCCATGTTAACGATGAATCCTCCTTAAACACTAATGTTAGTAATGGAGTTCCACAAGGTTCTGTGCTTGGACCAATTCTATTCACTTTATGCTTCCCCTAGGCAACATTATTAGGACTCACTCCATTAACTTTCACTGTTATGCAGATGATACCCAGTTATATCTGTCGATGCCCGATGAAATTAATCCATTATCTAAATTACAAGCATGTCTTAAAGACATAAAAACCTGGATGAGCTGCAAGTTTCTGATGCTAAACTCAAACAAAACAATTAAATTCTTGTACTTGGCCCCAAACACCTCAGAGACTCACTGTCTAAAGATATAGTTACTCTAGATGGTATTACTTTGGCCTCCAGCACCACTGTCAGGAATCTTGGAGTTATCTTTGTTCAGGATATGTCCTTTAATTCCCACATTAAGCAAACCTCAAGGACTGCCTTTTTTCATTTATGTAACATTACAAAAATTAGACACATCCTTGCACAGACTGATGCAGAAAAACTAGTCCGTGCATTTGTTACTTCTAGGCTGGATTTCTACAACTCCCTAGGCTACCCCAATAAGTCCATTAAGACCCTCCAATTAATTCAGAACGCTGCAGCACGAGTACTGACAGGAACTAGAAAAAGAGATCATATTTCGCCTGTATTAGCTTCTCTGCACTGGCTGCCTGTAATATTCAGAATAGAATTTAAAATCCTCCTCCTCACCTACAAAGCTCTTCATGGTCAGGCCCCTTCATATCTTAAAGAGCTCCTAGTACCTTATTACCCCTCTAGAACACTACGTTCTCTGAATGCTGGGCTACTTGTGGTTCCTATAGCCTCTAAAAGTAGAACAGGAGCCAGAGCCTTCAGTTACCAAGCTCCTCTCCTGTGGAACCAGCTTCCAGTTTTGGTTCGGGAGGCAGACACCCTCACCACATTTAAGAGTAGGCTTAAGACATTCCTCTTTGATAAAGCTTATAGTTAGGGCTGGCTCAAGTGAGTCCTGAACCATCCCTTAGTTATGCTGCTATAGGCCTAGACTATCGGGTATTTCCGATGATGCACTGAGCTCCTCTCTTCCTCTCTTTTTCTGCACACATTAATGTCCCATTAATGCATGTTACTAACTTCACTTCTTCCCCGGAGTTCTTGTGCTTTCTCGTCTTGCAGGTTTTCACGGATCCTGGTGGAGCCTCCTGCCATGGTCCTGCTTGACTCCCACTGCTAATATTACTGATATTATTGTTATTATTATCATTATTATTATTATTACTATAATCGCAGCTTATTGTCCCCCATCATTGTTGTTGTTTTCATCGTCGTCATCTTCTTCATGTTCATCATCATCATCACCATCAGTCACTACTATTAGTGTAGTTGTTGCTACTGTTGTTGCTGTGCACCTTTGTGTGTGTGTCTCTCTCTCCGCCGGGGACAGCCGGGCCCTGTCCGAGGTTCCTGCTTCTTAAAAGGAAGTTTTCCCTTGCCGCTGTCGCCCAGTGCTTTCTCGTGGTGGGAACTGTTGGGTCTCTGTAAATAATTAAGTAAAGGAGTACGGTCTAGACCTGCTCTATTTTGAAAAGTGTCTGCTGTGTCTAATTTTTTAAATTGTATTTATACAAATAAAATTGAAGGGAATTGAATTGAATTATTGTTAACAAATATGTTGAAGAGATAGCAGATCCTTGCCTTGTGTAGCCGTCCACGTCATGAGTCAAACACAGTGTAACTACCTAACTTATGTCGTCAGCTGAGATACCAAAGAGAAAAGTCAAACATATATATATGTACAGATAAATATATTTGATTAACTACCTGTGGCCTATTCTTCAGGCGTTCTCCTCTCCTCTCCTCTATGTTAACTAATAATCAGTATCTGAAATACTTTTTGTGTGTTTTTGTTGCTATTCTCTGAGCTCTTAATTTGTGTAATGTGTTTCTTTTGAAGAGCATCTCCTCATTCTGTTAATCTTAAACCAGTCAGTGTTTTGTGTTTTTTTTATCTCTTCAGGCTGCAAATACAGCTCACTCCCATTCAAGCGGGCCATGTCAAGCTTTGTGCCTACTTCCATCTGACTCATTACTGCCTGTTTGGCTGATTGGACCCAAATTATTATTTATTTGTGGAGATTCTTAGGAAAACCTAACCTCACTGGTGGACATTTTAAACATTTTAAACTGCACTTGTATGTTCTCTCCTTTTTTGGGGGGGGTTCTCTGTCCTGTTATGCATAGTGTATGCACTGATTCCTTTACACAGATTAAGTTCCTAAAGAATAAATAGCTAAATGGATGATTTAATATTCCAGAGCTCTGTTCAAACCAAATCTAACATTGTGACATCATTATTGTTAACACAACAAAAACAAACAACAAATCTGACTCTTCAAATGTTCTTTTATTTTTTTTCAAGGAAAGTTCATTAAAAAACTCAAAAAATCAAACATTTTTATTAGCTGTAATTTCATTATCGGGAAAATTCATAATAATGCACATTTCCTATAATGCAGTGCTCATTAATACCAGTAAGATGTTTTGCATTTTTCCTGTCAGCACAAAGCAGGTTCGCTTATGGTTATTTGTATTTTAAATCAATTTGTTTATTTTGATTTTCTGAAATCCCCTTAAAAAGGAGTTTTTATGCACAAAGAAATAGAATAGAATTAACTTATTTGTATTACATATACTGAACAGTCATACAGTTGAACACATTGTCCTCTGGATTTAACCCTCCCTAAGTATGAGAAGCAGTAGGCAGCCACTGTACAGCGCCAGGGGACCAACTCCGTCTAAGCCCCAACATCACCCCAGCGTCCACCTGTAGGCTCTGGCTGGGGGTTTAAGGTATTTGCTCATCACTCCCCAATATCTCTATGTAAACATATCTGCGGGGAATGACGAGGTCGGAGCCTAGACGCCAAAATCTAAATATGCTATACTGCTGTAATAAACATTTTAAATGTGAGTTGTCTGACTGAAATACATTTTTTGTTTAAAAAAGCACATTGCGTGGACGTTGAAGATGGTTACTTAAAGTTGGCCAAAGCAATTATTGCAGCTGAGAGCAGCAGGATCTTCAGACCACAGAGACCTGCCATATCCAGGACTTATGGTGTGTACAGCTACATATGTATGAAGTTGTACTTTACTTTGGTGACAGGAAGCTTCATTTCCACTATGTCACTGCAACGAGGAAATCATTATTATCTAAATCTGAAATCTGACTATCAAGACGGTTTTGTTGAGTTTTATTTTGTTTTTTTGATGCAGAAGATACCCTTTAGCATCTGTTTGAGATGCCTTTTTAATTCATTGTTAATGCCAAACAATCACAGTTCGGTTAGGTTCTCAAGTGACTCAAGCCACTTATGTAACATTATGTAACTTAAAACTTGTAATGATGTCGAGGGGCATGACAAAACCTCGGTATTTGACGACATGGGAATAAAAGTTGGTTGGTTTCTTACATATTATAATGTGCACATCAAAGCGACAGACACGCTATAACTAAAACAAACACAAGCATAATATTGGAGCTATTAGCTGATAACAAAAAAAACCCTACAATTTAGAGTAAATTCTAAGATGTCAAAAAGACCTACTACATGCTGAACAACACAAGCAGAAGGAGTAAATGATGATTTGGTAGGCAGCTCCATTACACCTTCTTCATCAGCGAGCTTTTCTATGACGCCATCCTGGAGGTTGTACATTGACATAAACTACAACAACAAACAAAAAGGAAATATTACAACATGATGTTTGTTACTCCTCAGCAAAGAGATTGTTGATAACATATTATTCAAAAGTGCTCTTCCTGCTGCACTCTTCCTAATTGGTAACAGGAAGAGTTACCCCTTTAACGACAAGAGTATCGTATTTGATACATGAGTTTTTTAGACCTGTGTGATATTATTTTTTCCTGAAAAACCTGATGTATGCAATCAGACACACACAGTGCATGCATAATCAACCAGGGATCAATAATTCATGCACCAGAGGGCTTTCAGTTGTGACATCCAAAATGGCTGCCATCAATCAGTGACCAATTTTGAAAAAGTTAAGGTAATAAAAACATGTAATGTAAATCCATCTTGCCTGAACAAGGACATACACTGTTTTCAGGCCTACCACAATGCAAGATAAAGAGGCTGTGAACCAAAAAATTAACCAAACTAAGTGAGAACCACTGGTTGGTTTGTCATTGCTGTGTGATAGCTTCATTTGTTGTGCAAAATGGAAAAAAAATATTTTGTATGTTTGAAATTACTTGAGGAAAATTTTAAAGGAAACTGAAAGCTTAATGGGTTAAAACGTTGTGTTTTTTATTTTTTATTTTCTTATTTTTTAAAGTTATTTTTTTTGGACTTTTATTGCCTTTATTTAATAGATACAGCTGAAGATCGACAGGAATGGTTGGCAGAGAGAGAGGGGATTGCATGCAGCAAAGGGCCGCAGGTCGAATTCGAACCCTGGGCTGCTGCAGCAAGGACTCAGCCTCGTTACATGGGTCGCCAGCTCTACCAACTGAGCTAACTGGGTGCCCTAAAATGTTGTGTTTTATATATTTTTGTTTGTTTAAGATAAACTGTGAGCAATAAATTGCACAAAAATACCGGATGTAGCAAAAATAATACAAATTAAAACTCATATATCCAAATTGATATTTAATAAATCTTTTAATAATTAGTCAGTAGTTCAACACTCTAGTTTTAAAAAATAATACATTCATTATTATTAATTATTATTAATTATTTCATGGTTCAGGCATTACAGTTTTAACCTAACTGCTAAAATATGAAAGTAATTTGTCGCTGCTGAATGTGACTGCTGTTTTGTTACCTACTCAAAGACAACTGTAGTAAAACCAAGAAAGCTTAAATGTACTCACTGACTGTTGATTTAAGCATCATGTCATCATTTATATCACTGTGGAGAAAAGAGAGAATAAAAGTATATTGGGAGTAATATAGAATAATTTATGATGGGCTACACAGTGTAAACTGTGGATGCGTCCAAAAGTACTTCTTAATCAATATATTGCTCTACATTTACTGTCTGACAGTTATATTTCATTGTCACAATTCTGAAATGTATGTACTTTATATACATGGCCCTCAAATTGTCACAGCACAGCGAAAAAACTAGTATTCACTGTTTTCTGCTAATAATCGCAGTAATGCGACGGTACATCTGTTAGTGATGGTGCAAAATGATGTTGGTAAAGAGTAAGTAAGTAAAACTCATGTACGACATGTTTCTTTAGCTGTAATGTCATTACTGTAAAGCAAAGCAGACAATGAGACAATCAACTGATGCAGCAGATCAGATGCAAAGTGATCCTTACTGGGACTTTCTGCGCTTGTTATAGTCAGTAGTTTTCTCCTCCTTGGTTTCCCTGTCTCCCTCTGTGTGTGTGTGTGCGTGTGTGTGTGTGTGTGTGTGTGTGTGTGTGTGTGTGTGTGTGTGTGTGTGTGTGTGTGTTTGGACTCCTCCCACTCTCCCTGATTACCTGCTCACCTGTCTGACTGCTCAAACCTGCCAGCCATCAACTCATCAGCCCTGCAGTATATAAACCCCGGTTCTCTAGCCACACAGATTGTTGTATCTACAAGCCTGGTAGTGACTTTCTTGACTAAGTTAGAGAACTTAAGAGAAGTGCTTTTGCTACGAACGTTAACCTTGTTTTTTCCCGTGTCTCAGGATCATACCCTTCACTACAGCTACCTGCCCGCTCCTTCCTGTCTGCCACGCTGCCTCTATCTTCAAGTTCCACTCTGCCTGGGTCTAAGCCATATCCTCTCACCATTTCATCCCCTGGTTCTCAATAAAAAATGTCTTTGGAAATCATACCAGATGAATTTGTGGTCTGCTTGTGGGTTCCTCTGTTTAACATAACAGCACTTCCGAATGAATATCTTGTAGAAAAGCAGAGCCACAGACATGAGGATGATGAGGAAGACCAGAGACCCAATCAGAGCTTTGTCATTATCTGTAAAATGATGGGAGAAAAATATCAATGTGGTAGCATTTATGTTAAAGATACAATGTATAGAAAATGTTCTGTATGTCAATCTGAACAATATGAGACAATTTGTGGTATTAATTAGAACTGCACATACATGAAGTGTCAATGACCTTCATCACTGGATTGCTCTCCCTTCTTCCATTGAAAACAGTCACCTGCAAAGACAGAAAATCTGTTTATCAGGAAGTTTAGCATTTAAAGAAATAGGACGACTTAAGTTGGAATAATGTAGAAACCAAAAATTAGGATTATACAAACTTTCACTTTGTAGGTCGTTAAGTAGCTTAGATCTTTGAATTCAAATTCACATTTATTCTTTTCTTGTTTAAGGTTCTTGTCATGACAATCATTAAGACATGCAATGTATTTCTCCTCAGGTCCATTTAAATCTTTTACACGTTGGCAGGTTACTTTAATCACATTATGCTCCACAAGATCCACCCTCAGGTTAGTAACTTCTCTTGGTACTGTAAGAGAGTGAAGAAAAACAACATATTTTCTGTTTGATACAACGCTGTATTTTACTTATCGTTAAAGTGATATTTGAGTTTCTGATAGCAGCAGTTTTAACACCGATTAGTGTGTTTCTCTATTGGTTGTGCTAGTTGTCAGTAGTAATACAAATACAAAATGTGCAAAGAAAGAAAACAATTCATTATAAAGTCAAAGTATTCTGTATTCCTTTATGGCTTTAAATGACAAATACCTTTTTAAAAACAGTTTAAAACCAGTTAAACAAAATGGTATTTAAAGTAAATTTCTAGATTCCACTTTAAAGTAAATGTTTTACAAATGCCTTCCTGAAAGTGAAAGAAATAAAAATGTATTCATCCATTTAAATTAGTTTTATAAATGTAATTTATTTATTACAATTTAACACTGACAAAGTCTATAATATTATAATACTCTGGTACCACACTGCAGACTTTAACAAACTGATCAGAACAGACTGAATGAACTGACCTGATAAATTACACCATTTATATAAATACATATGAATATATATAAGTATATGATATAAATACAGAAAACTGCATTTAGAATTAAAATTACTATAATTAGCTCAAATAACAACCAAATAATTAATTATAAATGATGTTCCAAATTCATTTAGTAATCATATTTCTTGTACAAGAGTCAGTTCTCTCCCCAAATTCTTCCAGAACAGTTTCAACTCTGTAAGGTCTTAGAAAGTGTTTCAGAAAGTATTTACTTTTACTGCCACATATCATATCATATTCATATTCAACTATATATGAAATACACAACCTTAATAAATAAGTAGTCAGGATATAGTCTGTTTGTATTATTCAGGTGTGACTGTAATTTTCACCAAAAGATCTATTTTGTACACTTACCTCCAACGTCAATTTTCTGTCTAATTTCAGTTGATTGGCCAACGTCCTTGTTGTTGTAGGTGGGTTGGACTTTACAGGTATAGTCGGTGAATGGTTTCAGTCCAGTAAAAGAACATGTTCCTCCTTGTTTGTTAACTGTAGCTTGTCGTTGGTCTGTTGTGTTTGATTGAATAACAAGGCAACAAAGACACAATTAAGGGAAAATATAACAGCAGATTGTTTTGTTGGTTAAGTTACCTATTAAGTGATAACAAACTGGATATCAATCAATCAAACTATCTCTCTATATATATGTTCCATGGATGATTCAAATGTCCACAGTATATTTCACTATTTAGGTAAACTGACCAGTAAAATAATCTTCAAATGCTTAATAATCAAAGAGTGAATCTAAATCATTTTACTTACCACTGTGTTTCGTCCCACAACTGCAGTGATAAGAAAGCTTCGGAAGATTGGGAAGATCTTTACAGTTCTCACTGGTTGTGGTCCAACTCAGATCAATGGAGGTATTGGTTGCTGTCGTACTTCGGTCGGTTATTTTAATATCTGTTAGAACACATTAGAAATCAGTAACACTGAGTATCTGGTGTTGTCCTTTTGTCCATAGTTATCTTATTGTTCTTATGATTGCACTGAGGTAAAGTGAATATCACATACCACACTCAATGTTGAACTTGATAGCAGGTGTGTTTGTTATGATGACATCACTGATGTTCTTGATCTGACCAGTACAGCTGTAGTCTGTGAACGGCTCCAGCTCCGACAATTGCTTGGTGTTGTCGGGATTTTCATTTTCTGAGGAGACACAAGGATGACAACGTTTCTTCAGCAACTGGTATTTGTACCTCAGTGCCTCTGAACTGTGATCTTAGTACAGTGAGAGCATCTAATGGTGCATATTGCCTCTATTACCATATAAATCCATTCATAATGTTTTTGACAGACTTCTCTCCACTTACCCTGACAGGTGTAATCAACAGTGAGATTACAGTTTGGAGGTAATGTTGGTTTTATTTCCGCAGGAAGTCCAGTTGGAGCCATCTGATTTATTTCACTTGGATTTAAAAAATCTGTCAAAGAAAAAAACGGCACATACATTAAAGATTATTAAGTAAGGTCGGCACCAAATATAATTCAAAATACAGGAGGACTCTACTGTACATACCAACACTGATGCTTTTGGTTTTGATAAAGGAAGAGTCTTTCACACAGTTTCCTGATGTGAAGATTGTCGTCAAATCGGAGCAAATGTCATTGTAACCAGGTTTGATGCAGATTGTGTTCCTGTCACTTTGGCATGGCACAGCTAGAATAGTATTTGGTGTTGAAAATGAAGACCTGATGTTCCATTCACTCCGGTAACAAACATATCCAGGGATGCAGCTGACATCATCAATGTCCGTTTCCTCTGAAATATACAAGTGATGCACAAATGTCTTCCTGTTTTACAAACAGTCTAATTTTTTATGAATGAAAAGAAAATAAGATGCAATTCAACAGTATCAATTATTTTTACTCACTCATTCCAGGTGTTGTTGTAGTTTCATTTCCAGTGCTGTTACAGGTTGTTTGCTCTCCGGTACTATCAATAAATGCCACACTGTGCTCATATGCAGTACAGGGCTTCAGGTGTTTGATGTCATGTGATGAGGTTTCCTTGGAGAGCTGACGGTTGATTGTCATTTCTTTCTCTAGCCTGCCTTCTTTTACCTTTATGATGTAGTTACCAGCAGTAGATCCTGTAGTCAATGTAATCTTGAGGCCAAACTTGATCGGTACAACAGTGTAATCACCTGTACATAAAACCAACAGAATTATAAAATCTTTTAGTTAATATAAACCACCTGATGACATTTTATATGTGCTTGTTTATATAGATGTTGAACATGCTCCTGAGCTGAAACTAAGTAAAATCCAAACACTCTGCACTCATTACATACATACATGTATATTCTACTTTAATTACATTTCAGTAGCCAACTCACGTTTGAAATGTTTATTAAGCAGTATAGCATATTTAGTTTTTGACGTCTAGGCTCCGACCTCATCACTCCCCACAGATATGTTTACGTAGAGATATTGGGGAGTGATGTGCAAATCACCTTAACCCCCAGTCGGAGCCTACAGGTGGATGCTGGGGTGGTGGTGGGGCTTACAGAGCAGCAGTAGCAATACAGATGCAGGGCAACAGCGACATTGACAGAGCAGAGGGAGAGCTGGGAAATTGTGCAGTTTAAATAGACCGCCAGATTGTTAAGGGTGCGCTTGGTTAGTGATTATGGAATAAGGCATGTCATGTGTGTATATCAGCGCAGCTCGAGTTGACTGCCTGAACTAGCTCAGAGGCTTCGCTCCATTAATTGCAAAGTAAAACAGTAATGCTGGAGAGAAATATTGATACTCACACTGTGGAGGTGGAGGGGCTGGTGTGCTGGCTGAAGAACACATTCAATTGACATTAGTAAAGGAAACAACATAATATTAACATATGATTATAAAACTTTAAAAATACTCTTTCAGAGCTACTTCAAGTGAAGCAAGTGTCTGTATTTTAACTTCCATACTTCTATGAACCATAGTCAGTGCTTGTGTTAGTAGCTGTTGTCTACACTTACATATAGAATAGAAGATTTACTTTCTTGATCCTGAATAGGGAAATTATTTTTCACTCAATGTTTTACACACATCGTCCCAAAATACAATAATGTACACACAGGGCTTATAGACATGCAAATGTGTAGTGATGGTAAAGTGATGGCTGCCACATAGCAGCGCTTTGGGAGCAGTAAGGGGTTTTGTGCTTTGCTCAATGGCACCTCGGCAGTGCCCAGGAGGTGGAACTGGCACCTGTCCAGCTGGTTTTGAGAGTCTGTTTTCTTGCTGGTTGAAATATCTACTTGAAGTCTTACCTGACACAATGGCACTACTAGTTCAGGATAATATGCTGAATGCAACCTGAATGTTCCCAGTAAAACTGTAAACGGAGGCTGAATACATTACCAGACGTGATGTTTGAACTGAGTGTCTGAATTGAGGACTTTGAGGTGGGGGTGAGATGAGTGGAGGTGTGTGGGCAGTTGTTTGGGTGACTGAAGGCATGAGAGTAGCTGTCATTGTTTTTTCCTAAAGGTTGCCACCCAAACAGGATTTTGTCAACAATGTTACACTGTTGGTATAACTCTGCAAAAACAGCTATGTATCAAGCTCATTCATTTAGTAAACAATAAGAAATACATTTTTGTTTTTTCACAACAATTATATGTTACATATTCAGTCATTTGTGTATGGCTACACATGTGTCATTTTGACCTGGAATTACAAAAGAGAAAACAAGTGTAAATCATTGCAGTTTTTAAAGAAGCAATTCAACAGTATTTATTATTTTTAGTTACTAATTTTAGTTTTACTTTTGTTTCCAGTGCGGTTACATGGTATCACTTTGCCAGTAATATCAATAAATGCAACAAAGTACAGGGCAACCAATATTCATAAATGTGAATCAATACAGCTGTTTACAGAGATAATTCACTTCACTGGTTTGCGATTGGACTGTGAGTGCTGCCTAAAAGCCTCTAGTGCACAGCAGTACTGTGGCTGAACCGGGTAACGTGACGGAAGCTGCTGCTTTTGCTATGCGGCCGGTATAGATTACACCAAAAGACACCATTTACAGTGGGTACGGAAAGTATTCAGACCTCTTTAAAATTTTCACTCTTTGTTTCATTGCAGCCATTTGCTTAAATCAAAAAAGTTCATTTTATTTCTCATTAATGTACACTCAGCACCCCATCTTGACAGAAAAAAACAGAAATGTAGAGATTTTTGCAAATTAATTAAAAAAGGAAAAGTGAAATATCACATGGTCATAAGTATTCAGACCCTTTGCTGTGACACTCATATTTAACTCACATGCTGTCCATTTCTTCTGATCCTCCTTGAGATGGTCCTGCTCCTTCATTGGAGTCTAGCTGTGTTTAATTAAACTGATTGGACTTGATTAGGAAAGGCACACACCTGTCTATATAAGACCTTACAGCTCACAGTGCATGTCAGAGCAAATGAGAATCTCTCTGTGACCATTCTTGACTGGCCCAGCCAGAGCCCTAAACCCAATTGAGCATCTCTGGAGAGATCTGAAAATGGCTGTCTACCAACGTTCACCATCCAACATGACAGAACTGGAGAGGATCTGCATGGAAGAATGGCAGAGGATCCCCAAATCCAGGTGTGAAAAACTTGTTGCATCATTCCCAAGAAGACTCATGGCTGTAGTTGCTCAAAAGGGTGCTTCTACTCAATACTGAGCAAAGGGTCTGAATACTTATGACCATGTGATATTTCAGTTTTTCTTTAATAGATTTGCAAAAATTTCTACATTTCTGTTTTTTTTTCTGTCAAGATGGGGTGCTGAGTGTACATTAATAAGAAATAAAATGAACTTTTTTGATTTTAGCAAATGGCTGCAATGAAACAAAGAGTGAAAAATTTAAAAGGGTCTGAATACTTTCCGTACCCACTGTATATGTCACAGGTGTTCTTGGTGAGGCTAAAGGAAAAGTAAAGGTTGTAAATGCACATAGATTCTCTTAGCACAAATAAGTTTAACTTTCTAAACTGTGTTCAGTCTTCAACAGGAAACAGTAAAGTTACCACGCTTTGATCTGTCTGAGTTTTTCTGTTTCCCTCCTACGGTACTAAGCCTCGGTTTATTTGATATACAGGAAATATTAACTGTGGTCAGAGATGAAACTCATCTCACTACTGCTGGTACGAGTGCTGAATCTGACACTTTGTGAAAGAACAAAAGACCAACGTCTACAAGTTGCGTATGAAACAAATGAACTATTCATTTGGTTTATGTGACCACAGTAAAAAATAATATGAAGAATAACTTAGGTAATTTAGGTGCTGATGTTCCCATGGATATGCTTCTTACGGCTGATTTATCTTCTAGCTGGTGGCTTGTGGCAATTTTGGACCTAAATCCTCTGCATCCAGCAATGGTCAGACCCGAGTAAATAATATATACAGTGCTACTGAAAACTTTCAGTCAGCCTTACAGTGGACCAGTGGAAGTCATTTTTTTTTTTTTTTTTTTTTTTTTTTTTTAGATTTATAGTATAGCATTCCTCAGACAAATGTGCTGTTACCCTCTTCCCGAGGAGGAAGATAATATTGTGATTATTTGTGCAACACTACTCTCAGCATGATTGACCTATATGCGTTCACTTTGGTAAAACTAACCTGGTTTGACCTGTTTCGAGTCTGTCATTTCATTGGTTAATTTAGCCAACAATTCTGTGCCACATGATTGAAATATAAAAATATACAATAATAAAAAAAAAAGTCTTTTCACTACACAATTGATTTCCTCAAAAAAGTATATGGAATTGATAAACATACACCTGTTATTTCATATAAAAAGAGTAATGCTAATCAATAGAAACTCCAAAATGCTCCGGAGGTTGACACACTTTCAAGCAACACTGTATATAGCCTAAGGTATGGCCACGGTTGTGAGTTGGACATGAAACATTCTGCGCACAGTTAAGTCGATAGTTCCCAATTTTTAGCATTGTATTTAATTTCCACATGAAAATTTAAATCCCCCGAGATTAAAATTGTCAAAATAAGTGGTGAGCTCTGGTAGCTGAGAAACAGCAAATCTAGCAGGGTTCATTTAGAATAAAAGTGTGTTTTTTTTTTTTTTTTTTTTTTTTTTCAGGAAATACTTTACATACAAGGTGCTATATAAAGCACGTTGTGTTTTGAAAGAAAATCCTGTCTCTAACCTCTACATCATTCATGTAAAATTAAGTGTTCGTTTTGAAGATCAGAAAATGTTTCCGACAAAGTAGGACGCAAAAAGGTGAATACGTTTCATTGTGTGGTAAAACAATGAATCACTACTGTATATAATTTAATAAATATTATAAACACTGGAGTATTTTCCTTCTTTCCCATTATTTAAGAAAATACGTAAAAATTTAATTTCAACCTGTTCTTTTGTGTTAATGTCTCATTACTTCCTGCATTGGAATTAAATGTGAATATAAATTGCAGTTTGTAGTTTCACATGGTCTTGAAGATCAGAAAATGTTCAAATGAGGCGAGACACAACAGGAAATCATACATGGGCCTTAAAATGTTAAATGTTGAATAAATATGGTATACATTAGATTTTTTTGTACAGTGCTTATTAATACCTTTTATGATTTCCATTTTTCCTGTCAGCATATGACATCACAAAACCTTTTTATTTCCATAATCCCTTTTATTAAAAAAGCCCATTACGTTGATATTGAAGATGCTTACTTACAGTCGGCCGAACCGATGATTCCAGCCCAAAGCAGCAGGATCTTCAGACACCAGAGACCTGCCATATCCAGGCGGTAGGGTGCATGCAAGTCAAGTGGGGACCAAGAGAAGATGTTCACACAAAGAAGGTGTCCTTCCTGTTTTGTGATTAACGGTATTAGTAAATGTCTGTCATGTCTCACATTTGCTGTAAGTGTGGTACATGCGGTGTTTGAAAACATCATTTCCTGTCTTTTGGCTTGACACATGCTCAGTGCACAGCTGGTTTGAAACTCTAATTTAATTCTTGTTCTTCATACCTATTGGATAAAGGACACCCTATTCTTTGTAAAATTAGAAAAAAATGTTACACTTGCTTTGTGGCTCTACCAAAGCATTTCCCAAAATGTGGCTACCCTGGTGCCACCATGTATGAAAGAATGCAGAAAAATCTCTCTGTTGTTAGATAAGCCACAATAAAGTGCCCTCTAGGGTCCCCTTCCACTGTTTAAAACGTCATGTGGTGCCCTTTAGGATGGTAACCCTAAGTCTGACTAAACTGTTTCACCATAAATGCATCACAACTTTTAGATTAGAGAGATAATGTTTTTTTTTGTCAGATGGACCTCCCATTCCTTAGACCCTAATATGTTACAGCACTGAAAGTCAATGTATTGTAACTCAGTGATGTGTTTGTATGGCTTTAAAACGCATGTCCTGTCTTTGTGGTGAAGTAAAGCCGTTCTTCAGCAGATGCTATTTAAAGCAGATATACTGGAAAATTGTAAACTTAAAAAAAAGCCTGTTACTTAACCTCAAAACAGGTAATCAACGCAAATATACTTAAAAATGACCTGTTGCGTACCATGAGACATGTGGTCACTACACAGCACAAAAAAGAATTTTCCAATTAGTGGCATTAGTGATCATGTCTGATCATGGAGAGGGTAGAAAACATGGGCAAATGTCTCCACAACGCTTTGAATGTAAGTCATTTTGGCACTTTTGTATTGTCTTTGAAAACATTCAGAATGTCTCTTTTTTTGACAACCTAGAAGGAGTTGTAGATGCTGTAACAAAAGCAGTTTTAAGTCTGCTGTTTACCTTAGTCACTGACACCAAAAACATTTTCTCCTTGGTTCAACTTAAACAAGGTATTACTGATTTTGCTGCTAAAACCATGAAAAAAAGTCAAAACCTAGTTCTCATTATGGTCCAGTGGATGCATTTGACCCACCAGAAAGACATTCTGTCGACAAAATGTTGTGATTGTAACTGTTGCTGTGTAAGTTTGCGGTGTAGTTGTATTGGCATAGCAACAGCTTATTTGAGGATTTTCAGTCAGGATTTAGAGGATTCATCACAGAACAGAGACAGCACTGGTTAAAGTTAATAACGGCCTTTTAATTGCTTCCGACAATGGATTTGTCTCTGTACTTGTATTGTTAGATATTAGTGCTGCAATTGATACCATTGACCATTAATATTACTTTGGCCTCCAGCACCACTGTCAGGAATCTTGGCGTTATCTTTGATCAGGATATGTCCTTTATGCACATATTAAGCAAACTAGGACTGCCTTTTTTAATTTACCTAACATTATCAAAATTAGACACGTCCTGTCACACATCCTGTTAATTCAGAATGCTGCAGCACAGGTACTGACAGGAACTTAGAAAAGCGTTCAAATTTCCCCTGTATAAAGTTGCTCAGGTGAGTCTGGAACCATCCCTTAGTTATGCTGCTAAAGGCCTAGACTGTTGGGGGATTTCCCATTATGCACTGAGCTCCTCTCATCCTCTCTCTTTCTGCACACATTAATGTCCCATTAATACATGTGACTAACTTCACTTCTTCCCCAGAGTTCTTGTGCTTCCTCATCTCGCAGGTTCTCATGGATCCTGGGGGAGCATCCTGCCATGGTCCTGCTTAACTCCCACTGCTAATATTACTGATATTATTGTTATTATAATTATTATTATTATTATTATTACTACTACAGTAACTATTATTACTATAATCATGGCTCATTGTCGTGTAGTGAGTCAAACACAGCGTAACTACCTAACTTATGTCCTCAGCTGAGATACCAAAGAGAAAAGTCAAACATCTATATATGTACAGATAAATAAATTTGATCAACTACCTGTGGCCTATTCTTCAGCCGTTCTCCTCTCCTCTCCTCTCCTCTATGTTAACTAATAATCATTATCTGAAATACTTTTTGTGTGTTTTTGTTGCTATTCTCTAAGATCTGAATTTGTGTTATATGTGTTTCATTTGAAGAGCATCCCCTAATTTTTTAAATCTTAAACCAGTCAGTGTTTGTGAAGCTTTGTGTCTACTTCCATCAGACTCATTACTGCCTGTTTGGGTGCTTGGACCCAATTTATTATTTATTTATGAACATTCTTAGGAAACCCTAACCTCACTGGTGGACATTTTAAACATTTTAAACTGCACTTGTATGTTTTCTACTCTTTTTTTTTTTTTTTTGGTTGTCTGTCCTGTTATGCGTATTGTATGCACTGATTCCTTTACACAGATTAGGTTTCTAAAGAATAAATAGCTAAAATGGATGATTTAATATTCCAGAGCTCTGTTCAAACCAAATCTAACATTGTGACATCATTATTATTAACAAAAAAAAATACCAATTCTGACTCTTCAAATGCTCTTTAATTTTTTCAAAGAAAGTTCATTAAAAAAACTCAAAAAAATCCAAAAAATTTATTAGCTGTAATTTCATTATCGGGAAAATTGATAATAATGCACATTTCCTATCATGCAGTGCTCATTAATACCAGTAAGATGTTTTGCATTTTTCCTGTCAGCACAAAGCAGGTTCGCTTATGGTTATTTGTATTTTAAATCAATTTGTTTATTTTGATTTTCTGAAATCCCCTTCAAATGTGTTTAAAAGAAAAGAAAATCTAATTTGTTAAATAGAATAGAACTTATTTTTATTACAAATACTGTACAGTCATACAGTTCAACACATCATCCTCTGCATTTAACCCTCCCTAAGTACAATGAGCAGTGGGCTGCCGCTGTACAGTGCCAGGGGACCAACTCCATCTAAGCAAGTACCTTGATCAAAGGCACTGACTTGAGAATTAAGCTAACGTGCATGTTTTTAATGGTGGGGGAAACCGTAGTTGAGGGGCATGACAAAACTTGGTATTTGATGACATGGGAATAAAAGCAGGCTGGTTTCTTACATATTACAATGTGCACATCAACGCGACAGACACGCTATAACTAAAACAAACACAAGCATAATATTGGAGCTATTAGCTGATAACAAAAGATAATTACATTTTAGAGTAATTTCTAAGATGTCAAAAAGACCTACTACATGCTGAACAACACAAGCAGAAGGAGTAAATGATGATTTGGTAGGCAGCTCCATTAAACCTTCTTCATCAGCGAGCTTCTCTATGACGCCATCCTGGAGGTCGTGCATTGACATAAACTACAACAACAAACAAAAAGGAAATATTACAACATGATGTTTGTTACTCCTCAGCAAAGAGATTGTTGATAACATATTATTCAAAAGTGCTCTTCCTGCTGCACTCTTCCTAATTGGTAACATATAATTTAACCCTGTAATGACAAGTGTATCATATTTGATACATGAGTTTTTGAGACCTAAACAGTGTGATATTTTTTTCCTGAAAAACCTGATGTATGCAATCAGACACATACAGTGAATGCATAATATGTATGACGTTGTTGTGAAAAATGGAAAAAAATTGTTTTGTATGTTTGAAATTACTTGAGGAAAATTTTAAAGGAAAGTGAAAGCTTAATGGGTTAAAATGTTGTGTTTTATATGTTTTTGTTTGTTTAAGATAAACAAACTGTGAGCAATAAATTGCACAAAAATACCGGATGTAGCAAAAATAACAAATTAAAACTCATATATCCAAATTGATATTTAATTTATTTTTTAATAATTAGTCAGTAGTTCAATAAACACTCCAGTTTCAAATTTTTTTAATTTCCTGGCAATTATTTCATGGTTGAGGCATTACAGTTTTAACCTAACTGCTAAAATATGAAAGTAATTTGTCGCTGCTGAATGTGACTGCTGTTTTGTTACCTACTCAAAGACAACTGTAATTAAACCAAGAAAGCTTAAATGTACTCACTGGCTTCTGAGTCAAGCATCATGTCGTCGTTCACATCACTGTGGAGAAAAGAGAGAATAAAAGTGTATTGGAAATAATATAGAATATTTTATGATGGGCTACACACTGTAAACTGTGGATGCGTCCAAAAGTACTTCTTAATTAATACATTGCTCTACATTTACTGTCTGAAATGTATTATGTATATATACATGGCCCTCAAATTGTCACGGCACAGCCAAAAAACTAGTATTCACTGTTTTCTGCCAATAATCGCAGTAATGCGACGGTACATCTGTCATTGATGGTGCAGAATGATCGAGTCGAGTAAAACTCATGTACGACATATTTCTTCAGCTGTAAAGTCATTACTGTAAAGCAAAGCAGAAGCAATGAGACAATTGATGCAGCAGATCAGATGCAGAGTGATCCTTACTGGGACTTTCTGCACTTCCGAATGTAAATCTTGTAGAAAAGCAGAGCCACAGGTATGAGGATGATGAGGAAGACCAGAGACCCAATCAGAGCTTTGTCATTATCTGTAAAATGATGGGAGAAAAATATTAATGTGGTAGCATTTATGTTAAAGATACAATGTATAGAAAATGTTCTATATGTCAATCTGAACAATATGAGACAATTTGTGGTATTAATTAGAACTGCACATACATGAAGTGTCAATGACCTTCATCACTGGTTTGCTCTCCCTTCTTCCATTGAAACCAGTCACCTGGAAAGACAGAAAATCTGTTTATCAGGAAGTTTAGCATTTAAAGAAATATAAGCAATAAAGTTGGAATAATGTAGAAACCAAAAAATAGGATTATACAAACCTTCACTTTGTAGGTTGTTAAGTAGCTTAGATCTTTGAATTCAAATTCACATTTATTCTTTTCTTGTTTAAGGTTCTTGTCATGACAATCATTAAGACATGCAATGTATATCTTCTTAGGTCCATTAAAATTGTTTACAGTATGGCAGGTTACTTTAATCACATTATGCTCCACAAGATCCACCTTCAGGTTAGTAACTTCTGTTGGTACTGTAAGACAGTGAAGAAAAACAACATATTTTCTGTTAGATACAACCATAAGAACAGTTTAAAACCAGTTAAACAAAATGGTACTCAAAGTAAATTTCTTGATTCCATTTTAAAGTTATTATTTTACAAATTAATTCCTAAAAGCAAAAGAAAAGAGAATAGTTATTTGGAAAATGTTATGTTTTATTTTTAACATAAACATAATTTTATGTTTTATGTTTAATTGTTTTCATTTAGTAACAGTTTTTTAATTCAGCATTTATAGTGAATGTAAAATTAATTAATCCATTTAAATGAGTTTCATAAATGTAATGTATTCATTACAATTTAACACTAACAAAGTCTATAATATTATAATACTCTGTTACCACACTGCAGACTTTATTCACCACAGTACCTGTGATAAATAAACTGATCAGAACTGACTGAACCTGATTGATTTCTAGAGCAACACTGACAATAATCACTATTATTGGAATTTAAAATCTACTGTGCATTCCTGGTACATCTTGTGTCCATGGCCTCTTCTTCACTAATGACTGGAGCTACAATGTAATGTTCATTATAATGTCTTCAAGTGAGATCTTCTTATACCGTAAACCGAGAGAATATTGGCAAAAATAGATAAATTACACCATTTATATAAATACATATGGGTGCATATAAATATATAATATGAATACAAAAAATGCACTTAGAATTAAAATGACTATAATTATCTAAAATAATACAACATAATTAATTATAAATGATGTTCCAAATTCATTTATTATCTATATTTCTTGTACAAGAGTCAGTTTTCTGCAAAAATTCTTCCAAAACAGTTTCAACTCTGTATGGTCTTAGAAAATTTACTTTTACTGCCACACAGTTGTTTTAACTGGATATTCAACTATATATGAAATACACAACCTTAATAAATAAGTAGTCAGGATATAGTCTATAGTTTGTATTATTCAGGTGCTGACTGTAATTTTCACCAAAAGATCAATTTTGTACACTTACCTCCAATGTCAGTTTTCGGTCTAATTTCAGTTGATCGGCCAACGTCCTTGTTGTTGTAGGTGGGTTGGACTTTACAGGTATAGACGGTGAATGCTTCCAGTCCAGTAAAAGTACATGTTCCTCCTTGTTTGTTAACTGTAGCTTGTCGTTGGCCTGTTGTGTTTGATTGAATAACAAGGCAACAAAGACATAATTAAGGGAAAATACAACAGCAGATTGTTTTGTTGGTTAAGTTACCTATTAAGTGATAACAAACTGGATATCAATCAATCAAACTCTCTCTATATATATGTTCCATGGATGATTCAAATGTCCACAGTATATTTCACTATTTAGGTAAACTGACAAGTAAAATTATCTTGAAATGCTTAATAATCAAAGAGTGAATCTAAATCATTTTACTTACCACTGTGTTTCGTCCCACAACTGCAGTGATAAGAAAGCTTCGGAAGATTGGGAAGATCTTTACAGTTCTCACTGGTTGTGGTCCAACTCAGATTAAAGGAGGTATCGGTTGGTTTCATACTTCGGTCAGTTATTATTTCAATATCTGTTAGAACACATTAGAAATCAGTAACACTGAGTATCTGGTGTTGTCCTTTTATCCATAGTTATGTTATTGTTCTTATGATTGCACTGAGGTAAAGTGAATATCACATACCACACTCAATGCTGAACTTGATAGCAGGTGTGTTTGTTATGATGACATCAATGATGTTCTTGATCTGACCAGTACAGCTGTAGTCTGTGAACGGCTCCAGCTCCGACAATTGCTTGGTGTTGTTGGGATTTCCATTTTCTGAGGAGACACAAGGATGACAATGTTTCTTCATCAACTGGTATTTGTACCTCGGTGCCTCTGAACTGTTATCTTAGTACAGTGAGAGCATCTAATGGTGCATATTGCCTCTATTACCATATAAATCCATTCATAATGTTTTTGACAGACTTCTCTCCACTTACCCTGACAGGTGTAATCAACAGTGAGATAACAGTTTGGAGGTAATGTTGGTTTTATTTCCACAGGAAGTCCAGTTGGAGCCACCTGATTTATTTCACTTGCATTTAAAAAATCTGTCAAAGAAAAAAACGGCACATACATTAAAGATTATTAAGTAAGGTCGGCACCAAATATAATTCAAAATACAGGAGGACTCTACTGTACATACCAACACTGATGCTTTTGGTTTTGATAAAGGAAGAGTTCACACAGTTTCCTGATGTGAAGATTGTCGTCAAATCGGAGCAAATGTCATTGTAACCAGGTTTGATGCAGATTGCGTTCCTGTCACTTTGGCATGGCACAGCTAGAATAGTATTTGGTGTTGAAAATGAAGACCTGATGTTCCATTCACTCCGGTAACAAACATATCCAGGGATGCAGCTGACATCATCAATGTCCGTTTCCTCTGAAATATACAAGTAATGCACAAATGTCTTCCTGTTTTACAAACAGTCTCATTTTTTATGAATGAAAAGAAAATAAGATGCAATTCAACAGTATCAATTATTTTTACTCACTCATTCCAGGTGTTGTTATAGTTTCATTTCCAGTGCTGTTACAGGTTGTTTGCTCTCCAGCACTATCAATAAATGCCACACTGTGCTCATATGCAGTACAGGGCTTCAGGTGTTTGATGTTATGTGATGAGGTTTCCTTGGAGTCCTGATGGATGATTGTCGTTTCTTTCTCTAGTCTGCCTTCTTTTACCTTTATGATGTAGCTACCAGCAGTAGATCCTGTAGTCAATGTAATCTCGAGGCCAAACTTGATCGGTACAACAGTGTAATCACCTGCACATAAAACCAACAGAATTATGAAATCTCTTAGTTAATACAAACCACCTGATGACATTTTTTAATCTCAGACAGTTACTTGGTCAGTTGATTAGAATCACTTTTGGACGAGCAGGGATGTTTGATTGATATGAGACTGTGGCACCGTCAAGTTAGCAACAACACATTTATTTACCCACGTCCAGGTGGACTGAATTAGGATAATAATTAAGCAACGTGCGGTTACACTTTCAAAATAAAGCCAGAAGAAAAAATTCAAAATAAAATTCATATTTTATGAACAATCGTAATACTATTTACTAATACTTATCACGAAGAGTACATAAGTTAACTTATGTACTTATGACAACAACAGTGGAAACGGGATTCTCTTTCGCGGGCAAGTTTTCAATGTTTCACCCCAGAGCTAAAAGGCACTCGGGTGAAACACTGGGGCGGAACAAATAATTAATTCCGTCTAGCTGTATGTTTACAGCTAAATTTATCAATTATTTGTTCGGCCCGAGTGTTTCGGGTGAAACTTTGAAACTTTGAAAACCTGCCCCACTGTTGTTGTCATAATTACGTAAGTTAACTTATGTAGTCTTCGTGATAAGCAGCAATGAGGTTTGTTGGCTGTTTATCTGCTGTGAAGGTGTAATTGGTTATTGTGTCATTTTCGGTTTATTCAATCAAACTGTAAAGTGTCTAGCTGTATATATGCTTGGTTATTACACAAGATGTATGAGACATGCATACAGCATTATTTTTGTTAATGTATTTTCTATGTCTTTAACCCAGTTCTCACGGGTTGACCAGCAATAAAGCCCTGTATTTTAATCAGGACCTCTTGCTAATGCCTGTCACTGGAGGAGCTACATGTGTTGCTGCTAATTTCACAGTGCCGATGTCTAATTGTGCAGCTAACTAACTAACTTCACTTTATACTTTTTTATCCTAATAATGTGGCAACATGATTTGTATTCATGAGATAGGAAGAAACCACTAGTGTCTTTAGTGTCAGCATTATGATTGTTCATAAAATATGAAACGTTTCTCTTCTGGCTTTATTTTATAAGTGTAACCGGACGTTGCTTATTCATTATCCTAATTCAGTCCACCTGGACGTGGGTAAATGTGTTGTTGCTAACTTGACGGTGCCACGGTCTCCTATCAATCAAACATCTCTGCACGTCCAAAAGTGACGCTAGAAGTGTACCTACAGCATCACTTCCTGAAGTGTAGGGCCACTGACCAAGCTGCAGTTTTTGACACGTTGGGAATGAGAACAGATGTTGAACATGTTCCTGAGTTGAAACTAAGTAAAATCCAAACACTCTGCACTCATTACATACATACATGTACAAATCTACTTTAATTACATTCATTGCAAAGTGAAACTGTAATACTGGAGAGAAATATTGATACTCACACTGTGGAGGTGGAGGGGCTGGTGTGCTGGCTGAAGAACACATTCAATTGACATTAGAAAAGGAAACAACAAAATATTGATATAATATTATAAAACTCTGAAATACTCGAGCAGAGTATACAGAGCTACTTCAAGTGAAGCATGTGTCTGTATTTTATGTACTTGTATAAACCGTATCCTATACTAGTGTTAGTAGCTGTTGTCTATGAATAACACAGTTTAAACACAATCTAATATAAGAAGAAATAGAGTTGGGTTGTAAATTAGAACATTCCAACCTGGGATGGTTGTAATGACTGGCGTGTTGGGCGCAGTGGTTGGAGGCGAGGTCGCGTTGTGAGTTTGGTTTGTGTGAGAGTCTGGTTCCCTGCTGGTTGAAGTGTCTTATTGAAGTCTTATCTGATACAATGGCACTACTAGTTCAGGATAACATGCTGAATGCAACGCAAATTCTCCCAGTGGAACTGTAAACGGAGGCTGAATACATTACCAGAAGTGGTGTGTGAGAGTCACATGATATTACTTTGCCAGTACTATCAATAAATGCAACAAAGTACAGGGCAACCAATATTCTTAAATGTGAATCAATACAGCTGTTTACAGAGATAATTCACTTCACTGGTTCGCTATTGGACTGTGAGTGCTGCCTAAAAGCCTCTAGTACACAGCAGTACTGTGGCTGAACAGGGTAAGGTGACGGAAGCTGCTGCTGCTGTGCTTCGTTTGTTACCACACTTTGATCTGTCTCTGAGTTTGTCTGTTTCCCTCCTACGGTACTAAGCCTCAGTTTATTTGATATACAGGAAATATTAACTGTGGTCAGAGATGAAACTCATCTCACTACTGCTGGTACGAGTGCTGAATCTGACACTTTGTGAAAGAACAAAAGACCAACGTCGACAAGTTGCGCATGAAACAAATGAACTATTCATTCGGTTTATGTGACCATAGTAAAAAATTATATGAAAAATGACTTTAGGTGGATGGATATGCTTCTTATGGCTGATTTATCTTCTAGTTGGTGGCTTGTGGCAATTTTGGACCTAAATCCTCTGCATCAAGCAATGGTCAGACCACGAGTAAATAATATATACAGTGCTGCTGAAAACTTTCAGTCAGCCTTACAGTGGACCAGTGGAAGTCATTTTTTTAGATTTATATTATAGCATTCCTCAGACAAATGTGCTGTTACCCTCTTCCCGAGAAGGAAGATAATATTGTGATTATTTGTGCAACACTACTCTCAGCATGATTGACCTGTATGCGTTCACTTTGGTAAAACTAACCTGGTTTGACCTGTTTCGAGTCTGTCATTTCATTGGTTAATTTAGCAAACAATTCTGTGCCACATGATTGAAATATAAAAATATACAAATATAAAAATACAGTCCTTTTACTACACAAGTGATTTCCTCAAAAACGTATATGGAATTGATAAACATACACCTGTTATTTCATATAAAAAGAGTAATGCCAAAACAATAGAAACTCCAAAATGCTCCGGAGGTTGACACACTTTCAAGCAACACTGTATATAGCCTAAGGTATGGCCACGGTTGTGAGTTGGACATGAAACATTGTGCGCACAGTTAAGTCGATAGTTCCCAATTTTTAGCATTGTGTTTAATTTCCACATGAAAATTTAAATCCCCGAGATTAAAATTTTGTCAAAGTTCAAAATAAGTGGTGAGCTCTGGTTGCTGAGAAACAGCAAATCTAGCAAGGTTCACTTAGAATAAAAGTATGTTTTTCAGGAAATACTTTGCATACAAGGTGCTATATAAAGCATGTTGTGTTTTGAAAGAAAATCCTGTGTCTCTAACCTCTACATCATTCATGTAAAATTAAGTGTTCGTTTTGAAGATCAGAAAATGTTTCCGACAAAGTAGGAAGCAAAAAGGTGAATACGTTTCATTGTGTGGTAAAACAACGAATCACTACTGTATATAACTTAATAAATATTATAAACACTGGAGTATTTTCCTTTTTTCCCATTATTTAAGAAAATACGTAAAAATTAAATTTCAACCTGTTCTTTTGCGTTAATGTCTCATTACTTCCTGCATTGGAATTAAATGTGAATATAAATTGCAGTTTGTAGTTTCACATGGTTTTGAAGATCAGAAAATGTTCAAATGAGGCGAGACATAAAAGGTAATCATACATGGGCCTTAAAATGTTAAATGTTAAATAAATATGGTATACATTTGATTTTGTTGTACAGTGCTTATTAATACCTTTATGATGGTTTCCATTTTTCCTGTCAGCATATGACATCACAAAACCTTTTTATTTCCATAATCCCTTTTATTAAAAAAGCCCATTACGTTGATATTGAAGATGCTTACTTACAGTCGGCCAAACCGATGATTCCAGCCCAAAGCAGCAGGATCTTCAGACACCAGAGACCTGCCATATCCAGGCGGTAGGGTGCATGCAAGTCAAGTGGGGACCAAGAGAAGATGTTCACACAAAGAAGGTGTCCTTCCTGTTTTGTGATTAACGGTATTAGTAAATGTCTGTCATGTCTCACATTTGCTGTAAGTGTGGTACATGTGGTGTTTGAAAACATCATTTCCTGTCTTTTGGCTTGACACATGCTCAGTGCACAGCTGGTTTGAAACTCTAATTTAATTCTTGTCCTTCATACCTATTGGATAAAGGACACCCTATTCTTTGTAAAATTAGAAAAAAATGTAACACTTGCTTTGTGGCTCTACCAAAGCATTTCCCAAAATGTGGCTACCCTGGTGCCACCATGTATGAAAGAATGCAGAAAAATCTCTCTGTTGTTAGATAAGCCACAATAAAGTGCCCTCTAGGGTGCCCTTCCACTGTTTAAAACGTCATGTGGTGCCCTTTAGGATGGTAACCCTAAGTCTGACTAAACTGTTTCACCATAAATGCATCACAACTTTTAGATTAGAGAGATAATGTTTTTTTTGTCAGATGGACCTCCCATTCCTTAGACCCTAATAATGTTACAGCACTGAAAGTCGATGTATTGTAACTCAGTGATGTGTTTGTATGGCTTTAAAACGCATGTCCTCTGTCTTTGTGGTGAAGTAAAGCCGTTCTTCAGCAGATGCTATTTAAAGCAGATATACTGGAAAATTGTAAACTTAAAAAAAAGCCTGTTACTTAACCTCAAAACAGGTAATCAACGCAAATATCCTTAAAAATGACCTGTTGCGTACCATGAGACATGTGGTCACTACACAGCACAAAAAAGACTTTGAGAACAATGGTAAAATTGGAATGAAGAATTTTCCAATTAGTGGCATTAGTGATCATGTCTGATCATGGAGAGGGTAGAAAACATGGGCAAATGTCTCCACAATGCTTTGAATGTAAGTCATTTTGGCACTTTTGTTTTGTCTTTGAAAACATTCAGAATGTCTCTTTTTTTGACAACCTAGAAGGAGTTGTAGATGCTGTAACAAAAGCAGTTTTAAGTCTGCTGTTTACCTTAGTCACTGACACCAAAAACATTTTCTCCTTGGTTCAACTTAAACAAGGTATTACTGATTTTGCTGGTAAAACCATGAAAAAAAGTCAAAACCTAGTTCTCATTATGGTCCAGTGGATACATTTGACCCACCAGAAAGACATTCTGTGTCGACAAAATGTTGTGATTGTAACCGTTGCTGTGTAAGTTTGCGGTGTAGTTGTATTGGCATAGCAACAGCTTATTTGAGGATTTTCAGTCAGGATTTAGAGGATTCATCACAGAACAGAGACAGCACTGGTTAAAGTTAATAACGGCCTTTTAATTGCTTCCGACAATGGATTTGTCTCTGTACTTGTATTGTTAGATATTAGTGCTGCAATTGATACCATTGACCATTAATATTACTTTGGCCTCCAGCACCACTGTCAGGAATCTTGGCGTTATCTTTGATCAGGATATGTCCTTTATGCACATATTAAGCAAACTAGGACTGCCTTTTTTAATTTACCTAACATTATCAAAATTAGACACGTCCTGTCACACATCCTGTTAATTCAGAATGCTGCAGCACAGGTACTGACAGGAACTTAGAAAAGCGTTCAAATTTCCCCTGTATAAAGTTGCTCAGGTGAGTCTGGAACCATCCCTTAGTTATGCTGCTAAAGGCCTAGACTGTTGGGGGATTTCCCATTATGCACTGAGCTCCTCTCATCCTCTCTCTTTCTGCACACATTAATGTCCCATTAATACATGTTACTAACTTCACTTCTTCCCCAGAGTTCTTGTGCTTCCTCATCTCGCAGGTTCTCATGGATCCTGGTGGAGCATCCTGCCATGGTCCTGCTTAACTCCCACTGCTAATATTACTGATATTATTGTTATTATAATTATTATTATTATTGCTATTATTATTATTACTACTACTAGTGTTACTATTATTACTATAATCACGGCTCATTGTCGTGTAGTGAGTCAAACACAGCGTAACTACCTAACTTATGTCCTCAGCTGAGATACCAAAGAGAAAAGTCAAACATATATATGTACAGATAAATAAATTTGATCAACTACCTGTGGCCTATTCTTCAGCCGTTCTCCTCTCCTCTCCTCTATGTTAACTAATAATCATTATCTGAAATACTTTTTGTGTGTTTTTGTTGCTATTCTCTAAGATCTTAATTTGTGTTATATGTGTTTCATTTGAAGAGCATCCCCTAATTTTTTAAATCTTAAACCAGTCAGTGTTTGTGAAGCTTTGTGTCTACTTCCATCAGACTCATTACTGCCTGTTTGGGTGCTTGGACCCAATTTATTATTTATTTATGAACATTCTTAGGAAACCCTAACCTCACTGGTGGACATTTTAAACATTTTAAACTGCACTTGTATGTTTTCTACTTTTTTTTTTTTTTTTGGTTGTCTGTCCTGTTATGCGTATTGTATGCACTGATTCCTTTACACAGATTAGGTTTCTAAAGAATAAATAGCTAAAATGGATGATTTAATATTCCAGAGCTCTGTTCAAACCAAATCTAACATTGTGACATCATTATTATTAACAAAAAAAAATACCAATTCTGACTCTTCAAATGCTCTTTAATTTTTTCAAAGAAAGTTCATTAAAAAAACTCAAAAAAATCAAAAAAATTTATTAGCTGTAATTTCATTATCGGGAAAATTGATAATAATGCACATTTCCTATCATGCAGTGCTCATTAATACCAGTAAGATGTTTTGCATTTTTCCTGTCAGCACAAAGCAGGTTCGCTTATGGTTATTTGTATTTTAAATCAATTTGTTTATTTTGATTTTCTGAAATCCCCTTCAAATGTGTTTAAAAGAAAAGAAAATCTAATTTGTTAAATAGAATAGAACTTATTTTTATTACAAATACTGTACAGTCATACAGTTCAACACATCATCCTCTGCATTTAACCCTCCCTAAGTACAATGAGCAGTGGGCTGCCGCTGTACAGTGCCAGGGGACCAACTCCATCTAAGCAAGTACCTTGATCAAAGGCACTGACTTGAGAATTAAGCTAACGTGCATGTTTTTAATGGTGGGGGAAACCGTAGTTGAGGGGCATGACAAAACTTGGTATTTGATGACATGGGAATAAAAGCAGGCTGGTTTCTTACATATTACAATGTGCACATCAACGCGACAGACACGCTATAACTAAAACAAACACAAGCATAATATTGGAGCTATTAGCTGATAACAAAAGATAATTACATTTTAGAGTAATTTCTAAGATGTCAAAAAGACCTACTACATGCTGAACAACACAAGCAGAAGGAGTAAATGATGATTTGGTAGGCAGCTCCATTAGACCTTCTTCATCAGCGAGCTTCTCTATGACGCCATCCTGGAGGTCGTGCATTGACATAAACTACAACAACAAACAAAAAGGAAATATTACAACATGATGTTTGTTACTCCTCAGCAAAGAGATTGTTGATAACATATTATTCAAAAGTGCTCTTCCTGCTGCACTCTTCCTAATTGGTAACACATAATTTAACCCTGTAATGACAAGTGTATCATATTTGATACATGAGTTTTTGAGACCTAAACAGTGTGATATTTTTTTTCTGAAAAACCTGATGTATGCAATCAGACACATACAGTGAATGCATAATATGTATGACGTTGTTGTGAAAAATGGAAAAAAAAATGTTTTGTATGTTTGAAATTACTTGAGGAAAATTTTAAAGGAAAGTGAAAGCTTAATGGGTTAAAATGTTGTGTTTTATATGTTTTTGTTTGTTTAAGATAAACAAACTGTGAGCAATAAATTGCACAAAAATACCGGATGTAGCAAAAATAACAAATTAAAACTCATATATCCAAATTGATATTTAATTTATTTTTTAACAATTAGTCAGTAGTTCAATAAACACTCCAGTTTCAAAATTTTTAATTTCCTGGCAATTATTTCATGGTTCAGGCATTACAGTTTTAACCTAACTGCTAAAATATGAAAGTAATTTGTCACTGCTGAATGTGACTGCTGTTTTGTTACCTACCCAAAGACAACTGTAGTAAAACCGAGAAAGCTTAAATGTACTCACTGGCTTCTGAGTCAAGCATCATGTCGTCGTTCACATCACTGTGGAGAAAAGAGAGAATAAAAGTTTATTGGAAATAATATAGAATATTTTATGATGGGCTACACACTGTAAACTGTGGATGCGTCCAAAAGTACTTCTTAATTAATATATTGCTCTACATTTACTGTCTGAAATGTATTATGTATATATACATGGCCCTCAAATTGTCACGGCACAGCCAAAAAACTAGTATTCACTGTTTTCTGGCAATAATCGCAGTAATGCGACGGTACATCTGTCATTGATGGTGCAGAATGATCGAGTCGAGTAAAACTCATGTACGACATATTTCTTCAGCTGTAAAGTCATTACTGTAAAGCAAAGCAGAAGCAATGAGACAATTGATGCAGCAGATCAGATGCAGAGTGATCCTTACGGGGACTTTCTGCACTTCCAAATGTAAATCTTGTTGAAAAGCAGAGCCACAGGTATGAGGATGATGAGGAAGACCAGAGACCCAATCAGAGCTTTGTCATTATCTGTAAAATGATGGGAGAAAAATATTAATGTGGTAGCATTTATGTTAAAGATACAATGTATAGAAAATGTTCTATATGTCAATCTGAACAATATGAGACAATTTGTGGTATTAATTAGAACTGCACATACATGAAGTGTCAATGACCTTCATCACTGGTTTGCTCTCCCTTCTTCCATTGAAAATAGTCACCTGGAAAGACAGAAAATCTGTTTATCAGGAAGTTTAGCATTTAAAGAAATATAAGCAATAAAGTTGGAATAATGTAGAAACCAAAAAATAGGATTATACAAACCTTCACTTTGTAGGTTGTTAAGTAGCTTAGATCTTTGAATTCAAATTCACATTTATTCTTTTCTTGTTTAAGGTTCTTGTCATGACAATCATTAAGACATGCAATGTATTTCTCCTCAGGTCCATTTAAATCTTTTACACGATGGCAGGTTACTTTAATCACATTATGCTCCACAAGATCCACCTTCAGGTTAGTAACTTCTGTTGGTACTGTAAGAGAGTGAAGAAAAACAACATATTTTCTGTTAGATACAACCATAAGAACAGTTTAAAACCAGTTAAACAAAATGGTACTCAAAGTAAATTTCTTGATTCCATTTTAAAGTAATTATTTTACAAATTAATTCCTAAAAGCAAAAGAAAAGAGAATAGTTATTTGGAAAATGTTATGTTTTATTTTTAACATAAACATAATTTTATGTTTTATGTTTAATTGTTTTAATTTAGTAACAGTTTTTTAATTCAGCATTTATAGTGAATGTAAAATTAATTAATCCATTTAAATGAGTTTCATAAATGTAATGTATTCATTACAATTTAACACTAACAAAGTCTATAATATTATAATACTCTGTTACCACACTGCAGACTTTATTCACCACAGTACCTGTGATAAATAAACTGATCAGAACTGACTGAACCTGATTGATTTCTAGAGCAACACTGAGAATAATCACTATTATTGGAATTTAAAGTCTACTGTGCATTCCTGGTACATCTTGTGTCCATGGCCTCTTCTTCACTAATGACTGGAGCTACAATGTAATGTTCATTATAATGTCTTCAAGTGAGATCTTCTTATACCGTAAACCGACAGAATATTGGCATAAATAGATAAATTACACCATTTATATAAATACATATGGGTGTATATAAATATATAATATGAATACAAAAAATGCATTTAGAATTAAAACGACTATAATTATCTAAAATAATACAAACATAATTAATTATAAATGATGTTCCAAATTCATTTAGTATCTATATTTCTTGTACAAGAGTCAGTTTTCTGCCAAAATTCTTCCAAAACAGTTTCAACTCTGTATGGTCTTAGAAAGTGTTTCAGAAAGTATTTACTTTTACTGCCACACAGTTGTTTTAACTGGATATTCAACTATATATGAAATACACAACCTTAATAAATAAGTAGTCAGGATATAGTCTGTTTGTATTATTCAGGTGCTGACTGTAATTTTCACCAAAAGATCAATTTTGTACACTTACCTCCAATGTCAGTTTTCTGTCTAATTTCAGTTGATGGGCCAACGTCCTTGTTGTTGTAGGTGGGTTGGACTTTACAGGTATAGACGGTGAATGGTTTCAGATCAGTAAAAGAACATGTTCCTCCTTGTTTGTTAACTGTAGCTTGTCGTTTGCCTGTTGTGTTTGATTGAATAACAAGGCAACAAAGACACAATTAAGGGAAAATACAACAGCAGATTGTTTTGTTGGTTAAGTTACCTATTAAGTGATAACAAACTGGATATCAATCAATCAAACAATCTCTCTATATATATGTTCCATGGATGATTCAAATGTCCACAGTATATTTCACTATTTAGGTAAACTGACAAGTAAAATTATCTTGAAATGCTTAATAATCAAAGAGTGAATCTAAATCATTTTACTTACCACTGTGTTTCGTCCCACAACTGCAGTGATAAGAAAGCTTCGGAAGATTGGTAAGATCTTTACAGTTCCTACTGGTTGTGGTCCAACTCAGATTAATGGAGGTATCGTTTGCTGTCGTAATCCGGTCGGTTATTTCAATATCTGTTAGAACACATTATAAATCAGTAACACTGAGTATCTGGTGTTGTCCTTTTATCCATAGTTATCTTATTGTTCTTAAGATTGCACTGAGGTAAAGTGAATATCACATACCACACTTAATGTTGAACTTGATAGCAGGTGTGTTTGTTATGATGACATCACTGATCAGGTTCTTGATCTGACCAGTACAGCTGTAGTCTGTGAACGGCTCCAGCTCCGACAATTGCTTGGTGTTGTTGGGATTTCCATTTTCTGAGGAGACACAAGGATGACAACGTTTCTTCAGCAACTGGTATTTGTACCTCAGTGCCTCTGAACTGTGATCTTAGTACAGTGAGAGCATCTAATGGTGCATATTGCCTCTATTACCATATAAATCCATTCATAATGTTTTTGGCAGACTTCTCTCCACTTACCCTGACAGGTGTAATCAACAGTGAGATCACAGTTTGGAGGTAATGTTGGTTTTATTTCCGCAGGAAGTCCAGTTGGAGCCATCTGATTTATTTCACTTGGATTTAAAAAATCTGTCAAAGAAAAAAACGGCACATACATTAAAGATTATTGAGTAAGGTCGGCACCAAATATAATTCAAAATACAGGAGGACTCTACTGTACATACCAACAATGATGCTTTTGGTTTTGATAAAGGAAGAGTTCACACAGTTTCTCTGATGTGAAGTTTGTCGTCAAATCGGAGCAAATGTCATTGTAACCAGGTTTGATGCAGATTGCGTTCCTGTCACTTTGGCATGGCACAGCTAGAATAGTATTTGGTGTTGAAAATGAAGACCTGATGTTCCATTCACTCCGGTAACAAACATATCCAGGGATGCAGCTGACATCATCAATGTCCGTTTCCTCTGAAATATACAAGTGATGCACAAATGTCTTCCTGTTTTACAAACAGTCTCATTTTTTATGAATGAAAAGAAAATAAGATGCAATTCAACAGTATCAATTATTTTTACTCACTCATTCCAGGTGTTGTTATAGTTTCATTTCCAGTGCTGTTACAGGTTGTTTGCTCTCCAGTACTATCAATAAATGCCACACTGTGCTCATATGCAGTACAGGGCTTCAGGTGTTTGATGTTATGTGATGAGGTTTGATTGGAGTCCTGATGGATGATTGTCGTTTCTTTCTCTAGTCTGCCTTCTTTTACCTTTATGATGTAGTTACCAGCAGTAGATCCTTTGGTCAATGTAATCTCGAGGCCAAACTTGATCGGTACAACAGTGTAATCACCTGCACACAAAACCAACAGAATTATGAAATCTCTTAGTTAATACAAACCACCTGATGACATTTTTTAATCTCAGACAGTTACTTGGTCAGTTGATTAGAATCACTTTTGGACGACCAGGGATGTTTGATTGATATGAGACTGTGGCACCTTCAAGTTAGCAACAACACATTTATTTACCCACGTCCAGGTGGACTGAATTAGAATAATAAATAAGCAACGTCCGGTTACACTTTCAAAATAAAGCCAGAAGAAAAAATTCAAAATAAAATTCATATTTTATAAACAATCGTAATACTATTTACTAATACTTATCACGAAGAGTACATAAGTTAACTTATGTACTTATGACAACAACAGTCGAAACGGGATTCTCTTTCGCGGGCAAGTTTTCAATGTTTCACCCCAGAGCTAAAAGGCACTCGGGTGAAACACTGGGGCGGAACAAATAATTAATTCCGTCTAGCTGTATGTTTACAGCTAAATTTATCAATTATTTGTTCGGCCCGAGTGTTTTGGGTGAAACACTTTGAAACTTTGAAAACCTGCCCCACTGTTGTTGTCATAATTACGTAAGTTAACTTATGTAGTCTTCGTGATAAGCAGCAATGAGGTTTGTTGGCTGTTTATCTGCTGTGAAGGTGTAATTGATTATTGTGTCATTTTCGGTTTATTCAATCAAACTGTAAAGTGTCTAGCTGTATATATGCTTGGTTATAACACAAGATGTATGAGACATGCATACAGCATTATTTTTGTTAATGTATTTTCTATGTCTTTAACCCAGTTCTCACGGGTTGACCAGCAATAAAGCCCTGTATTTTAATCAGGACCTCTTGCTAATGCCTGTCACTGGAGGAGCTACATGTGTTGCTGCCAATTTCACAGTGCCGATGTCTAATTGTGCAGCTAACATAACTAAATAGGTAAGTAAAATGCAAACACTCTCTAAAACTGTAATCCTGGAGAGAAATATTGATACTCACACTGTGGAGGTGGAGGGGCTGGTGTGCTGGCTGAAGAACACATTCAATTGACATTAGAAAAGGAAACAACAAAATATTGATACATTATTATAAAACTTTGAAATACTCGAGCAGAGTATACAGAGCTACTTCAAGTGAAGCATGTGTCTGTATTTTATGTACTTGTATAAACCGTATCCTATACTAGTGTTAGTAGCTGTTGTCTAAACACAATCTAATATAAGAAGAAATAGAGTTGGGTTGTTAATTGTTCCAACCTGGGATGGTTGTAATGACTGTGGTGTTGGGCGCAGTGGTTGGAGGCGAGGTCGCATTGTGAGTTTGGTTTGTTTGAGAGTCTGGTTCCCTGCTGGTTGAAGTGTCTGTGGGTGAGGATGAGGTGTTTGCAGGAAGAGGAGAGGCTGTAGGAAGGAGAGCATGCTGGAGGTCACCTTCAAGTAGAAATACTTTACTGCCAATAGTCTTACCTCACACAATGGCACTACTGGTTCAGGATAATATGCTGAATGCAACGCTAATGTTCCCAGTAACACTGTTAACGGAGGCTGAATACATTACCAGACGTGGTGTTTGAACTGAGTGTCTGACTTGAGGACTCTGAGGTGAGGGTCTGCGTGGTGAGTGGAGGTATGTGGGCAGTTGTTTGGGTGACTGAAGACACGACAGGAGCTTCTGTCATGGTGGGTGGAGTTGAGGCAGATAGGGTGGTTACTGAAGGTGAAGTGGAATAGGTGCGTGGAGGTGAGAGAGTTGAATTATCTGCATTCTAAGAGAACAAAAATCAGGCCAAACTCAATGCCACAATGGCAGTTTCAACAACATTAAAAAGTGCCTCATGTGGTAGGTGGTGAAGGTAAGAGAAAAGGACAAGAGATGATTAAAAAAATCATAGCACTGAGTGCCTGTTAGACCCGACGGACCCGGTACAGGGTCCGGCGAGCGCTACAATGCTTTACTGCCTGTAAAAAGTTAATAAAACGCTGTGGTGTTTTTTTTTCTTCAAATGTTTCCAAAAGACGAGGCTTCAACTCTACCAAAACAGCAGTCCAAGTGTATTTTTCTCAAACACAGTTTGTTTGGCAATAATTTAAACAATTAACTAAAAAAGTAATATAATGTGAATATAAGGGACAGTCGAAATGAAACGCAGCAGTACACATATATCCGCTCGCTCGACTCAGTCATGTTAGGTGTCAAATTAAACTAGATAAGCTCATGTTTCTGCTGATACCAAGCAAAACATAATCCGACCTAACCAGCTCATGTCAGCCGCGATGCAAAGATGCAGCAAAATTTAGCATTTTATCGTCAAAATGTGAAATTCTGTGTTTATGTCTCAATATTCCATCAAATAACAAAGCAATTGTCATCAACAGCGACAAATATTGTTTCCTTACCCTTTCTTGGTCATTTTGAGTGTATCCATACAGTTATCCGATCAAAAAAGACGCCATAGTGGCCTAGATTGCAGAGACAGCGTCCTCACTGCTCGATTTCAAACACGGTCTTTTGCTTCCACCTACTGGTCGTGTGTTGGTATTTCAGATTTAATGACACTGCAGTGATATTCTACGTATCGCGAGCTTTCCAACGAGATGTCACACTCCTATGAGACTATAAGTAACCCAGGTAACTTCGCGCAATCTTTCCATGCGTAACGATTGTCGATACAAGCGGTCTTTACGCATTACGCGCGAGCACTTTCAAGTATTGTAGTTTTAGGTAGTTTAGGTAGTTTTACGATGGCGGAGAAGCAAAAACAAAAAAGATTCACAATACTGGAGGCCTTGGACGAAATCCGGAGAAGAAGTGATGTCGAGGTTACAGACGCATCTGATAGCAGCAGCGCTGAATATGATGAAGACGATGACACCTATTTTCTGCTGAGCAGGGATCCAGTTTATGAGTTAGTTATTGTGTTTCTTATACATTTTGAACAACTTTGCAGTACGTGTTGGCAATTTTGCCGACAATAGCGACTTTTTTGGTTTCATTTCACCTTTTCAAACAATAGCGCCAGCCAGTAAAGGGACGAGCCACGAAATTGTGGCGCCTACTTCTGTAACATTAGTTTTGTTTTCTGTTGTACTTGCGTTTTGTCGGCATGTTTTTCACAAAATCTGATATTTTACTTATTTATTTCATGTTAGTGATTCTGTTACTATTATCAGATAGCCTGAAAACATTATTTTTTTATTTCACCTACACTCTCACTTTGATCAGCTGATCTTTTGTAAAGGGACGATCGACAAGATGGCGGGTTTTTTTTCCCGAACCTGACCTTTCACCAAATCTGATATTTTACTGTTTCATTTCATGTTAGTGATTTTTTTTTTTTTTACTATTATCACATAGCCTGAAAACCTTTACAACCTGGCATTAGTCCTGCATGTGCAGACATTTGATAATACCTAAAAGTGGGACTTATAATTTTATGTTTTTGATTTCATTTCACCAACCTGCTTGTATGATAGGCCTGTGGGACAATTGTTTTTTTTTTTTCATTATTTATGCTGTGTTACTCAATCACTATTTGTACATAGTAGCTCAAGATTTATCTCTTTTGGCTAAACACGTTATTATGAATTGGGCAGATGTATTGTTCTGTGGAATGATTCTCATCATTTGTCTCCATTTGTCTCCAAAGCCAAGAGGATGACCAACTGGATGAGGCCCCAGGTCCATCTGGCACCAGCAACACTGCAGCCCTCCAGCCCTCCAGCTGAAGCTACGTCTCCTCTTTCTAGTGAGGATGAGGATGATGAAGATGAGGAGTTTTGCCACCGGCAAGGAAGACGAGGCGCAGTTCTGCTTCTTCGAGATACATGACGCGCAGATCACAGGGAGACTCTGCATCTACAACAAGAGTGTCACCCTCCCCAGCCCCCTCCCCTGCCCCAGCCCCAGCTCCATCACAGTCAAAGAGGGGTCAGCAGAGACGACGTGGACCTGCCAGTAAGCGGCCAAAGCAGGCTACCTCTGGACGTGGTGATGGTGATGATGACCAAGAGTGGTGGTGTAATCCAGAAGAGCCAGATGTGGAGCCACCACTGCCAAAGTTTGAACCAAAGCATCCATCAGGGCCCAGGATTGACAGGACAGCAGCGTGGTCACCACTGAGCTTGTTCAAGCTTTTCTTCAGCTCCAGCACCATTCACACAATTCTCAACAACACAAATGACAATGCAGCCAGAAGAAAAGCATCAGGTATGCATTTCAAATGGTCTCCCTTTACAGTTGAGAACTTCTACATATTTTTGGCTGTAATACTGTATTCTGGGATGGTCCACGTGCATTCAAGGACAGACATGTGGAGAAGAGAGTGGCAACACCAGTGTACTGCAGCAAGTGTGATGTTGCTCTGTGTTTCACCTCAAGCCGGAACTGCTTCAAAGACTATCATCTGAGGATGTGAAAACTTTGAAATCGCAGCACTCAACTAGTGCATCCCTCAGGAACATTCCTGTTATTGTGTTTTTATTTTTATTTTTTGTGTGCTTTTTCACTTTCGCCTCAGTGATGTCATTATACATTACACAGTTCATTGTTTTATTCTTTATTATTCATTATTCTTATTCTTTTTATTATGATTATTGTTGTTCTTATTATATATTTGTTTTTATATTTGTACATAGTTTACAGGATTGATTAGTTTTTTTATATTTGTACATAGTTTACAGTAAACTATGTACAAATATAAAAAACTAATATATAATAAGAACAACAATAATCATAATAAAAAAGAATAAGAATAATGAATTTTGGTTCCAAACTGTGCCAAATGGTACCAAATGAATGTCCGCCTGGTCCTATCCTTACTAAAACCTTTGTGGAGGCTTTGCCCTTTGCTGAAATTCTATCAAATTTGGTACATTTGTAGTCAAGGAGTTGCTGAAGGTGATCAGTGGCATCTGTGTGCATGGAATTATTGTTAGCATGGTGTTATCCTCTCTCAAATAGGGGGAAAAAATAGGCGAGGATAGAAATTTCACATTTCCCCTTTGCTTTATTCCAATTTACTCAGGTATAATAACAGACACACTATTTCTGACAGTGGGAATACATTCCCTGAGGTCCCTAGATGTCCCCAGATACCAAGGAAATGCATATGAACCCTTATAATTGTGAAGCAATTCTTCATTTACTTTGGGTATGTCTTTTTAGGCGTTTTTTCTGAAAATGTGGCTAGGGCTTAACAGGTTAATTAATATTTAGAGGGAGAAAGTAGTTGTAGTACTTTACAGCTAGAACAGCAGAAATAGAATCCGGTTGAGCATTTATTGTTTTGAGTTCAAATGCTTCCTGTTTTTGTCCGGTTCCTATTGCAAAATCTATCAAGGTTTTCTAAATGGTTTCCAACCTTCATACAATTGTGTCAACAGTGGTACAGTGTTGATATAATGCTACACTAATAGCTACGTAGCTTAGCTTCTGCATAGAGTAAATCTAAGTCAATATATTAACTAATTGACTAAACAATAAAGATATATTGTATATAAATATATAAAGTAACTATTATTAAACCAGAGTTAACAAAGACTGATTTGAAGTTTTTATAGATTTCTCACTGTGGGATAAACTCTCACAGTTTATTTCTATCAAGCCAGGATCAGTAGATAAGAAGGAAACAAGTTTACCAAATTTTCCAGATAATATCATGTTCAAACTGCACCCACTATCAGGAAATATTAGGTTTCGGTGACTTACTTGTTCCTTTGATGAAAAGTTGCATTTGTAACACACTGAGCCCCTTGCAAAAACACTTTACACAGAAGGACTTTTTTCTAATCCTAAAATAACTTTTATACTATAAATTCTCCAGACTCAATTTGTCAGAGTTAGCAGTTTCCCAAAATGAGATTAAACACATCTAAATATCATTACAACAGATCTCAGATACAGCGTAACTACAAATGAAAAGAGGTTAGGAAATGAGCAATCACAACATTAGTTTGAGACATTTCAGACAAATTAGACAGGAAGCAGAGACGTGAAAAACATTTCATTGTGCAGGAAATCAATGCACCACTACTGTAGCCTATATAACTTAATACATTTTATAAACACTATGTATCCTCACTGGAATAGGGTAACATGATGTGAGGATCCTTAAATTGTGGTAAAGATGATGCATTAAGTTATTGTTACGGTAGTTATTCTTAAATTCAGCTTAAAAGCAAGCCAGTTAAGAAATTCATCCATTCACTATATGAATGTCACAGTAGCTGCTTACTATATCAACATAAGCATTTCATGCTGCTTGGGAAAAGCAAAATTTTCTGAAATGAGCACACATGACATTTACATATTTTGTACTTAAATAACTGTGTGTAGATAAGAAAATAAATGCAATATGCGGGCAACATTTTTTGTTTATCATGTTGCTAACTGTTAGGTTTCTGCATGTAGTTTGCAATTAAAACTTGGGTGAGACAGGTCATTAAAATGGAGGCCAATGTTAACCCAACTACTGAATAAATATACTTCTGTCACTCATTGTGCATATGTGAGAGGACATTATTTACATTTGAGGATCATACTCATTTCATGAAATTTAGCTGGCTTCGGTGCCGCTGTGGCCGTGAAGAGATGCGACAGCGTGAGCTAGTGGGAAGCTGCAGCCGGTAGCATAATTAGCATGAAAAATTGTATTCATTATAATAACAATTAAATGTTGTATAGAAGGTAACTTGTGTTTTACCACCCACCTTCAGTGTTTTGACCTGGAATTACAAAAGAGAAAAGAGATCAGCTTTGTTTTTTTGTCAAACTGCACAGTATACAGAAAAAAGATACAAACAAAAAAAACATCAACAAATGTGTTCTATATGTTAAGTTTTATTAAAGTGTCCACTTCCATCTGACCAATAAAAGTCTTTCAGCAGGGCCAAACCTTTATCAAAAAGAGGAAAAATTGACTATTTTTTATCTGAAGTTCTGCGTGAGGCAGCGCTGTACAACCTGGTTGCTATGACACTGCGGCAAAGAGCAACACTTGCTATTCCAGGCAGCAAACCGCTATTTCCTGCTTTGCACTGAAAGCCAGATCCTCCACACACATATATAATTTGTTTCAGTTTGGACAGATCACTAGCTCATAGTAAAGCGCCAATGGGCTCTGATGATGGACCTTCCCTTGTTATATCCTCATTCTTAGTCATTCGAAATCACAGCGTAAACCAATGTTGTTTAAAATAATATTTATGCTCAATATAAACCAAAAATAATCTATATCAAACTCTGTATTTGGATATTACAATACTTCTTTTTTTCTAATAACATAACAAAAAAAAAAGGCTCTTAGCTGTTTTGTCCATTTGTTCTTTATAATAATAGCAATGAGGTGGTAGAGGACAGTCAAACAGTGTGTGTCAGGATGTGGTTGGCGTGTTCTTGTTTCACTACATCTAGCAGAGATGCAAGAGGCTGTAGGAAGGAGAGCATGCTGGAGGTCACCTTCAAGTAGAAATACTTTACTGCCAATAGTCTTAGCTCACACAATGGCACTACTGGTTCAGGATAATATGCTGAATGCAACGCTAATGTTCCCAGTAACACTGTTAACGGAGGCTGAATACATTACCAGACGTGGTGTTTGAACTGAGTGTCTGATTTGAGGACTCTGAGGTGAGGGTCTGCGAGGTGAGTGGAGGTATGTGGGCAGTTGTTTGGGTGGTTGAAGACACGACAGGAGCTACTGTCATTGTGCGTGGAGTTGAGGCAGATAGGGTGGTTACTGAAGGTGAAGTGGAATTGGTGCGTGGAGGTGAGAGAGTTGAACTAGAAAATTCCTAAAGAAATTTTGATTATGCCTTGCTCTGGCCTGTGACTCTGGCCCATACATTACTGACACTGCCGAGTAGTTTACAGTACAATGAGGGGAGACACCTGTGTTTAATTCGGCGTACGCATGATCCACTAACAACAACATGTATTTTAATGACAAATCTTGTTTTTTCCATCTATTCTTACGGCCTTCTCCCACTGAAATAGTGAGGCTGGTAACGAGTTGATGCGACAAAGTCGGCCAAAAAGTTTGTATTTCTGTATTATATTGATGCCGAATTGACAAGAAGACTGTTGAGATATGATGAGTTTTTTTTCTTGTGTTTCTACAGTTATGTGCTAGCTAGCCTTCTAATACCTTCTAATTATCTTTAGCTAGCTAACTAGACCACAGCACTTGAGACTCTTGAGAGAGACAGAAACATTTAAAGTGAATCCCCTCGAACCCATGGCCAGGAACGACCGAAATGAAAACCGAAAAGACCGTGAGCGTCGTCATCTTGTTGACTATAGGACTGCCGAGTTTCAGTGGCTAAAGTAAAAAAATGTGACCTCGGTAGATTGAGAGAGGAGAGGTTCAACGAGCTCCTTTAAACATTTCTCCTCTACATTTTAACATGGGAGTAGATGGGGCCGTGAGAGGGTGTTGCTGGCGCATCAGTGCGTCTCCCGCCAAAACTATTTGTCTGACAGCTTCAGCAGTGGTATCACTACGACACCAACAGATTTACCTAAGTTTCTATCTATAAATTATTTCTGTAGAGTGACATTTGTGGCCTTGAGAGCAGTTTACAAATTTATTCTTTGTCAAATGTTTCACTCTCCCCACACTCTAGCGATGATGTCACGCACTCTGGCAGCTGAACATTCTCGCAATACACACCCATTCATTTTTTGGACGGGTTTTTGGCGATTTATCGGCAAACTGTTTGGCGAAACGCTTAGAAAAGTCATAGCACTAATGTCCTCACCAAGCCGCACGTTTTGATACCTTTTTTGTGTACGTGCGACCAAGAAAAAGTATGGGGAAGAGTAGTATTGTGCTTTTCAAGGCACAATAATAAGTATGGGGAAGAGTAGTATTATGCTTTTCATTGACAAATGACATTGCGGCATTGAGTTTGGCCTGATTTTTGTTCTCTTGGAATGCAGATAATTATTGTGCCTTGAAAAGCACAATACTACTCTTCCCCATACTTATTATTGTGCTTTTCAAGGCACAATAATAAGTATGGGGAAGAGTAGTATTGTGCTGTTGAAGAGTTCAGTTATAAATGGGCAACATAACATAATAGAGTAACTAGTGGTGGGACAGCAGGGATTTTAAAAAGGTTTTTAAAAATGTATATATCTAACAACACTCTAAATGGGGTATCAGTATATGAAATAGGAAATACTTTGCATATAGATATATAGATGCTAACTTCTTCATTTATGTAAAATGAAATGTTCCTTTTGTAGAACAGAAAATGTTCAAATGAGGTGATACATGACAGGAGATCCTTTCTTAAGTCATACTTTTGTTGTATCTTTGTATGATTTCATTTTGCTCCCCCTCAATCTGTTCAATTTTAATCCAGTCAGAGTTTTTAGGGTTATTTTACTAGGAAGATAGTATACTGATTTTACATACTGTAAAGAAGTTAAAGACTTCTGGGAAGTCATAATACACGGAAGTCCGTTGTATTCAAAATGACATAGGCTATATGGGGCTTAAAATTTTCAGGAATTAATAAAGTATGAATGTATTTTTTTGTATATGTGTATTTATGTATATTTTGCAATGTTTCTGTGAGCTCAATTCTGTGACACAAAAGATGATTATTATGTTGTTTGTATTTTAAATCAATTGTAACTTAATTTATTTTCATTCTCTTCTTTTTTGATAATGGAAAGTAGGCCACTGAACTACGACGGAGTATTAGGGCCATACTTTTTTTTAATATGAGAATAAAGTCGTAACATTACGAGAATTAAGCTGACTACTTACTTCACCACTAATATTATGAGAATAAAGTAGTAATTTTATGAGAACTGTTAGCCTGTTGGCTCAGCCAGCAAAACTGTTTAACGACGAAATTATCAATATGTTAGTTTACCTGTTGACTGTACGGTACGACTGAGACAAACAGCGGCTGCTGGACTCAGGCTGAGGCTGCTGTTTGGTTGAGCTGGTCACATCAGATCTTGATAACTCAATCAAAGCTTTTTTTCTCATTAAAAACGATTTAATTATTCTCGTATTATTACGACTTTATTCACTTAATCCCCCCCAAAAAAAAGTGGCCCTAATACTCCGTCGTACTGAACATTGTTACTGATGAGTTAAATAGCTGTTGACATGTAGACTTGAGGTATTATATTAGACATGTGTTGCCTTCAAAACACAGAATTATCACAATCTATAAAAAATTTCGCAAATGTATCATATAATTTTCTATGCACAAAAATCATATTTGGCCCACTTACGTACGTAGGCAATTTAAAGTTGGAGGATAGATGTGGGTTTATTTTGATATGATACAGTCTCAGTGGGTAAGATGATATCTTATCCATTGAGACTGTTAGAGCTTAATAATATTGAAATTATATTTTTACATTTTCAATATACAGAAACATCATATAAACCATAACTCGCTTAATATGATTTATTTTAAAAATAAGATGCAAGCAACATGATTTCACACAATGAAGATGGTTACTTACAGTCGGCCAAACCGATGACTCCAGCCCAGAGCAGCAGGATCTTCAGACCCCAGAGACCTGCCATATCCAGGAGTGAGGGTGCATATGGAAGTCCGAGTGGGGACCAAGAGAAGATGTTCACACAAAGAAGGCGTATTTCCTCTTTTGTGATTACATACATTGCTACATTTCAAGATCCAGCTTCCCTACAAATATTCTGAAATCATATCTAAATCTTACATCAGCTTTAAGTGTAAAAACCACGCTACTTAAAAAACATCACTTCCTGTTTTTTGCTTTTAGACACATGCTCAGTGCACCAATGGTTCCCACGTTCTTTGTGGCTCTAACCAAACACAACGGCACCCCCATGTTCAGAAAAACTTTTTATGGTAGATAAACACAATCAAGTGCTCTCTTGAGTGTTTTTCCAGTGGAAAAAACCAGATAACCCTAACCCTGATGAAGCTGTTTAACCATAAATGCATCACAACTTTCCGCACTTTCTGAGTTTCTCATGTTGAGGCCTCCATAAGGAACTTCATGCTTCTTGTACGGAAAGTTTTGATGTAAGACCAGTTTGCTCTGGGACTGAATAACTTCACAATTTCACCGGAACTCCTGGTTTTAGCCATGGACATAGAGCAAACAAACAGCATAGATCAAATATTTTACTGTTCTCTTGCTCTTTCACACTCCTTCCTGCTCTAGGCTTACAGACCAACAATATCATAGCCTGGCAAACAATTCAAAAACACCCGAGTAACTACTTTTTATACGTGCACAAGAAAGATGCTGTCTGTTCTCCCAGTCTAAAGAAAGAAAACATTCTGCCATTTGCTCCAGGAGTGAATGTCTTCATTTGTGCTGTTCCATTAATTTCTGCTGTGTTGTTAGTGTGTTTGAGGTCATTAGCTTAGTGTTTATGCTCTCCTTCCTTCTTGCCTCCCTTGAGTACCCCCCCTCCCGCCCCCACCACACCTTCACTCCATTCTGTAGGGTCCCTCCACTCCACCCACAAAACTTAACCCATCCCTCTGGGTCCTTCCAAATCCCTCTTGGCCAGGGAGCAGGGGGGGGTGGGCACTGGCTCTCTCCCTGTAATGAACTCCACAGGGACTGCTGTTCAGTTTCATCACAGCAAAAATTGCTCCCATGGAGCCCTGAACACAGTGAAAACAAACAAAAGTAAATATCTGGAATTAATACACAAGTTGTTTGGCTATAGCCCCACCCTCATGGCCTTCTCTGCTTCAGAGTATAGAGATGTTTATGTATTGTGAGAAACTGGCTCTTCATTTTGGGTTTAATGATGAAAAACATTTTTTGAAAAAGTTAGGGAGCGTGAAGTTATTTTGTGCCGTTTCCCATACATCTCAAATCCATGCATCCCTAAGTCCATCTAGTGGTGAAAAGTCTGCACTGCAGTTTGCTTTTACTGGTAATTCCTTATAAAATGTATTAAAATGCTCTGCAGCAGAATGGAGCTTTGTTAAATGTATACTCAAATAATATGGCCAAAAGTGCTTATGCAGTTGAGTTTTAGAAGCTTACAATTAATAAAACATTATCTGAATATATTCTGTTGATGAGATAATTTCATGTGCCATCACATACTTCATATAGAAAAAAAAAAATTTCCAGCCTTAACCTTTAATTTTTAGATTTATGTTGTCATTTTGACGCAAAAACTAAACTAAGTACGAAAAATAATATGGGACAAACGCATGGGAAAATGCATCTACAAGACTATGCACAGATCATTTATTTAACCAACTAATATTCTCACAAGATCAAATGTGAAATCTAATTCTGCTGCATAAAGTGTCTCTCTGTCTGAGAACCTGCAACCAGTCAAAGTTTTTTGAGAATAAGAGTACTAAGAAAGAGGAAGGCCTGCACTCACCCACATACTTTAAATAGGGTTTGATTATAAGGTACTTTATAAGCATGGTGTATGTGTACGTGTAGATTAAAGAAAGAGCATGGAAGAAATAGCAAAATAATCTCTCAGCTCATCATTTGTCCCAGGTGATCTCTGAGTGTTCTGAGGCAGAAAAATGGGGCCGTTCCAGAGGACATTGACTTGGATTTTTTTTTTCTTTTTCGTTTGTTTGTTTTGTTTTTAGAAGCCTGGAATATCAATATTTTTTGCACATTTGAAATAGCTTGTGGCGCATGCTTGGCAATGGCAGCCTGAGCTTCAAACATATTAGTTTGCTGGGAGAGAAGAATCACCAGGGACAGTCTCCAAACACAAGCGGGAACAGCAGCACAGTCCTGTTCATCATTTGAAAGCTGCTATTGTTTGAACTTGAGTAACTTTAAACAGGTTAAACTCATATTTAGAATGAAACGGTTGTCTTGTAGGCCTGCTCGGTTCTCAGGTTAGAATAATTGTCAGCAGCCCCTCTCCAGGGAAAATATTGTGAGCTTCAGGTAAAGAAAGACAGTCCCTGCAGTCATTTATCAGTTGGAAGCTACTGTACACCCAGCAGGCCGCAACTGGCGTCACTCATCAGCACTGTTCCTGACACACTAACATATGTGAAGGCAGGCGCAAACACACACACACACACACACACACACACACACACACACACAATAAACACAACACATAATAAGCATGTGTACGCTGGTGTAATGAGTGACTCTTGCTCTGCATGTCCTTAATCTGCAACCACCAGGCCAGCACAGAGGGGGCACAGTAAAGTACAAGCAGCCTGCAGTGAGCTGAGCCAAAATAAAAAGCCAAGTGGCTCACTAAACCCTGTCAGGGGCTCTTAAAAGGCACGCACTGCTTCTCCCTCGTCCGTCCTGCAGCCCTACAGGAGGTTTATAAAACGCCGCCCTGCAAAACTAAACTCGGAAGCATCGGTCCAGCCTTCCGGAACGGGCGTTTTCACAAACTGTAAACTATTGGAAACAAATGCCGTCTTAAACGTGTTCAAAAGAAACCTGATCCTCAGAGACACTTTACAGGTGGCCGGGGGTGTGTCAGATGTAGACAGCCCTCCTCAACACACACGCACACAACGGCTGGTCTTTGCTTCCTATTTGCAACTTCAGGCACCCCACCCCCCTCCCCTCTGTGTTGACCAGACTGCTGCCTGTAAAAAGAGAAAGATGTCAGGTCTCGTCTGTGTGTGTGTGTGTGTGTGTGTGTGTGTGTGTGTGTGTGTGTGTGTGTGTGTGTGTGTCTAAGATCATAAAGATAACAGAGGTTTAAGATTTTATATGACTTAATATCAATAAATAGCTTTTGTTGTTCTAAAAAAATATCACTGCATTGGTAACAGCACTCAGCTCCACTAAATCCCACTAAATTAATTAAGGCATTAACACTGTGCTCGAGGGATTCATTTGCATAATGCAAATTTGATCATCTAAACATTCAAGAACAAGTGCAAATCAAATACTTAGATCCTGCTGACAACATGCGGAATTAAAACCAGGTTTTATTTTTACGTGAATGCTGTTTCAGTCAAACTTTATCATCTCGTGTTCTTGGACAAAACTCCCTGAGATTCTTTTTGGTGATAAACATTTTGGGTTTTATGTCCTCTTAAGTCTCCTATATTTCAACCGTATGCCAGACTTCCGAAAGGATTTCCCTCACTGTCACAAGCACATGTGCTCGGCTCTAGTAAAATAAGCACTCTGGCCATAAACTTGCCAATGAGCTGTCCCCAAATAACCACATCTGTCAGCTCAACTTAAACAGGCCCTAAAGAGTCACTTTTAAAGATGAAGGGACCTCGCCGACTGTCAGTGAAACTTCTTATCTCTGCCACGAAATAAAGGAAAGTAGATACCATGAGAAACGTTAAAAATAAAACAATGTTCCTTAGGTCTTAACCTAGCAATGCTTTCTAAATCAATCTGTCATATTTTAATTGTTAAACCATATACTCATGCAACATTATGTAATACTGCAGTCTCTAATTACCGTGCTACTAGAACTGACTCTGTTTTTATTACTGGCCAAGTTAAATTTAAACCATCACACACTTGCACACAACTTGAGCTCATAGGCAGTTCTGCATCTCACCTCATAACAGTAAAGCCTGGGACAATAAACTGATTGCTGGTCTCAAATTTAGGCCGTACAGTTTCTCAAGAGTGATTTAAACACAGTTGCCATGAGATTAGCTGAGACTGTGTACGCAGGGGAGAGGAGTTTGTATGAGTGTGTGACTTTTTGGAAGTTAAGAGGTGGGGGGTTGTTGTACCTGGCCATGCTGTTTTTCCTTGTTCCCACGGTCCTCTCTGTGCTGCAGCCAACCCCTCCACTCCCTGTACCCGATCCCCTGTGCCTCCTCTGAAATTGTGGAAACAAAATGTCCCCCTAAAATGAAGGTTTAAAGGTTGCTGAGGAGGGAGGAGAGGATGGATGAAAGAGCTGTCAGAATATCCTAGATAAGTTTTGGATGTCAACTTTAAGATGTAGCTTAAAAACGAGGCTTAAGATGAGGCATTGTCTGGTAAAATAACGCTAGTCAGTGTATTACTAGCTGCACCTGAAAGACAGGCGAGGAGCCAGACACACTTTTTCATGGTTCAAAAAAAAGAGGATAAAATAAAAACTTGGATCATCGTGAAATGCCGTCTGTTCTGGATATAATCAATAGCTAAAGAAGAATCCAGTTCAGGGTTGTCTCTCATATTTCAATCCCTGCTCTTCTGTGATCAATAAAAGTGAGCTGAAATCAAAGCGGGCCCTCTTTACTATTGTCTATTCAACGTTAGCAGACAAAGACTGAGGAGCCTTTGATCGCCCTGTCTGCAGGGCCCACAGCTAAACACAGACCCCATCCTCCCACTCCCACCCACCACCTCCAGGTGAGCAGTGTGTGTGTGTGTGTGTGTGTGTGTGTGTGTGTGTGTGTGTGTGTGTGTGTGTGTAGTGAGAGAGAGAGAGAGAGAGAGAGAGAGAGAGAGAGAGAGCTAACCAAAATGTTTTTCGCACACGTACAGTACATGAGCACACACACAAAACAAAAGCACTTTTTATAGGAATCACAGAGTGGGAAGCTAAAGGGTTGTGTTGTCAGCTGGCAGGTCATCACATGAGTTGCTGGCCAGAGCTACTGTGAATGTGTTACTGTGTCTGTGTGTTACTATGTGTTACTGTGTCTAACGGTGTTTCTGTCTGTTACTGTGTGTTACTGTCTGTTACTGTCTGTTACTGTGTGTTACTGTCTGTTACTGTGTGTTACTGTGTGTTACTGTCTGTTACTGTGTGTTACTGTCTGTCACTGTATGTTACTGTGTGTTACTGTATGTTACTGTGTGTTACTGTGAATGTGTTAGTGTCTTAACTGTGTGTTACTGTGTGTAACTGTGTTACTGTGTGTTACTGTGTGTTACTGTGTGTTACTGTATGTTACTGTGTGTTATTGTCTGTTACTGTGTGTTGCTGTGTTACTGTGTGTTAATGTATGTTACTGTTTGTTACTGTTTGTTACTGTATGTTATTGTCTGTTACTGTGTTACTGTATGTTACTGTTTGTTACTGTTTGTTACTGTGTTACTGTATGTTACTGTTTGTTACTGTTTGTTACTGTGTGTTACTGTATGTTACTGTATGTTATTGTCTGTTACTGTGTTACTGTCTGTTACTGTTTGTTACTGTGTGTTACTGTATGTTACTGTATGTTATTGTCTGTTACTGTGTTACTGTCTGTTACTGTGTGCTACTGTATGATACTGTGTTACTGTGTTACTGTATGTTACTGTGTTACTGGGTTACTGTTTGTTACTGTGTGTTACTGTATGTTACTGTGTTAATGTTTGTTACTGTATGTTACTGTATGTTATTGTCTGTTACTGTGTGTTGCTGTGTTACTGTGTGTTAATGTATGTTACTGTATGTTACTGTTTGTTACTGTTTGTTACTGTGTGTTACTGTATGTTACTGTATGTTATTGTCTGTTACTGTGTGTTACTGTATGTTACTGTGTGTTGATCTGTTCTGTACTTTACTGTGTGTGGTTTTGTTGTGCAGTTCATGACTGAACTGTTGTTGTATTTGCTGTGTTAAGTTTGATTGTAGTGTATTCAGTGGACAGTTGTCTCCTCTTCTCTCATCTTCCTCTAGCTTTGTCTACTTGCCCACTGCCCCCTCTGTTTTGTCTTCTTCAAATCTGTCTTCTCCTGTCTTGAATAGTTCTATTTTGTCACTTGCTGTCTTCTTCTCTTCTGCCCATTTCTGATTTATTTTGTCTGTCCTAATTTTGTTCTTTCCTCTTTCAATTTGACTTCTTTTTTCCTGTCCTGACTTCTTCTAGTTACTCTTCTGTCCTCTTCTTCTTGTCTTCTTTCTTGGTATCCTGTCCTTTTTTGTTTGTCTCCTGATAACTTCTGTCCTGTTTTTGTTAGATTTTTCTTCTTTCTTCTTTGATGCCCAATTCTGTGTTACCTTCTCTCCTGTTTACTTTAGATTTGTCTTTTTCTGTCCTGTCTTGTTATGTTGTGTCCACTCCTGACTTTTTTTGTTCACTCACCTTGTTCATGTTATGTTCTCCTCTGTTTTGACCTGTTTTGTCCTGTCCCCTACTGATTTGTCTCGCTCTGTCCTGTCTAGTCCAGTGTGCTGAAATTTTTCATGATTTGTAGACATAATAATTTTAAATTAATGTGCAGATTAAACAACAGTGAAATTATGATTAGTTGTAGCCCTAGTTCTATTCTTGTTCAGTCTTCTTGCTCCTCTGTTTTGTTTTTCTTATGCCCTCTAAGGATTTAATGTATTTTGTTCTATACTGTCCTATTCTGATTTAATGCCTGTCCTTCTCTCCCGTCCTGTTCTCTTCTATTCATCCTCTTCTTTCTTGTTTCCTATGTTTTGTCTCCTTGTCCCTGTCATTTCCTTATGTTTTTTTTCTGCTATTTTTTGTCCCTTCCTCTTCTGATGTGTCTCATCCTGTCTTGTCATGTCCTCTTCCATCTTTTACTGTCTTGTCCTCATCTCTTCTCTGCTGCTCTACTGTGTTGCATGTTCTCTGACAGCTCAGAGGAGACACCAAAGCAGCAGGACCCTTCGACTCTCAACATGCACCTTGTTTACTAGTCCTAAACGACAGACAGCCCCGCTGGAGCCTTCAGTGTCAGAGGAGGGGAGCGGAGGATCTGCTTGGGTTGAACACAAACACAATCTTATGATGACAGCCCACATGAGCACACTCAAGATGAGCTTATTATATCAAGGCGCACCAGTGCACGCAGGTGCAGATTAAAACTGAACTGCTCTCTCCGTCTGGCCACACAAGTGCATCCTCACAGAGTAAAGGCATGCTGTACGTGTTGACACAAACACACAATCTGAGTGATTAAGAGCCCACTGGCTGCAGTGTGTTCATTTAAGCTGCCTTCACATGATAAGAGATTTCCTCTTTTGCTCACCGCAAATTGCATTCTTCCTTTACAAAGACAAATTATGCTCTATGTAACATGATGAGTCACTAAGCCAACGTTTTCTTGTCATCGACTGTTTATATAGCTACGGATGTGATACAAAGCATAATCCCCATCACTGTTTATGCAGCTAAGCAAACATTAGCATTGGTTTTAGCAAGCTACATTTAAAAAAAAAAAAACTGGTAGTCATCTGCACAATGACTGCTGACATTTCGCCACGCATTTCTTTCCTGGTAGTTTTTAATGTGTTGTATGTATGTGTCGCAACTACACTACGTCACATACAGCTGTTATCTCACTGGTTGCGCTTTGAAAGGTCAGCAGCAACCAAGGTGAGAACAGAAGTATTATCAGCTAACTGTACTTACCAAATCAAAAGTAAAAGTATGAATCCTGCAGTGTGACTGATATTATTATTATGACATTATTAGTTTGTTAATACGGACGCAGAAAGAGCCTTTTACTGTTGTAACTGGTTGATATGCAGCTAGTTTTAACTACTTTATATACTGTTAGTATTTTAGTTCAGTGGAGCCTAACTTAGGGGTAAGGCCCCCTCTAAAGGATCATAAGATAAGTCTGTTGGTGGTCTTGGTAATGGGAGAGGAAAACAGGATAAATTAATTTCTGCTACACAGATTTGTATTACTTTTTTGGACTTTTCTTTCTTATTTGTGCAATATTACAGAATTATATCTCCATGGGCTTCAAACAATTATTTTAAAGAATCCAAGAGGTCTAGAGGGGGGATCTCTATTTGGTGGACCTGCTGAAAACTCAACAACTGAGGCGCCCTAACCAGACATTTTTTTTTTTTTGGGGGGGGTGTGCAAGAGGGCTAAAGGTAAAAAGATCAGGAGCCATTGATTTAATCTTAAATAATGTGTTGGTTTTTATAAGCTTATCATATGTTTTCTATGTAAAGAAAGTTTTTTTGCATTCTTGTGTGCCACATAACATTCATTTACCCAAAACTCTTAATTAACACCCATGTCTCTGCTCTGTCACCATCACCAGAAAAGGTAACTCTGCCACGTCTCACCAGCCTTTTCTCACCAGTCTGCCTGCTTGTTTGCTACTTGTTCTCCAACTTGCTCATCTGCCACCTTCCTCTGTGTGTGTGTGTGTGTGTGGGAACCCACAGTGCATGTGCTGGTGTTTGCTCGTTCTGTATGCTTGTTAAATGTGCTGTCACTGAGGAGTTGAGAACACAAATGGACAGAAAGCCAAATTAAAATTGTGCACATTTCCTTTCACAGCGTGTTTAGAAAAGGCGGACTCCAGTGACGTTTTTATCAAAGAAAGTTTAAAACAGAAATGTTTAGAAAGTCACGTTCACAAAGCGAGAGGGGACTATTTTATTCATTATTTATGAAGCGTGCCACCAGGTCTAATAAACACTGAGATGTTATTCAGATGCCTCAAAATTAATAGACGTCGTGAACTTTATAACATTCCTCTGTCGCGCTGTTGTGTAAGTCAGAGTAGATGTTCGGCACAGAATAAGAATCATATGCATTTATGCAAGTGAACAAACATGGGGCTGGAAGTGTGTTTTGTGAATTTGTTTAAAGGCCAATATTAGCATACAACGACAGACAGGAGTCCTGACTTCCATTCAAAATCCTTGGTCCACCCTGAATTCTCTAGTGCCAGTCAATCAACCCACACCTCTGAAATTGAAGGCAGACATGAAGTGCACCTTTCAAACTTGGGTTAAAGGTTATAACCTTTTAGCCAGTTGCTCTTCCTGTATTGTAGCAGTGGCATGGCCTTGGTGAGCAAAAAAAAGGGAAATTAGAAGATAAGAAAAGTTAGAAAGTCAGAGCAAGTTTTCCTCTCTCTATACGCCTAACCTTTAAGCCGAGTGCCCCCTGTGACTCCTGGATTCCTGATTAGTTTACAGTATACTCCCAAATCAGCATAATAAAGCGTGTGATGAGGCTGATGAGATCTAACAGTCTGCTCTTGTTTACCCCGCCGCAGCACCAGCTCCTTCTCTGCATGTGTGTGTGTCTGACCCCGAGGCACCGAGTCACTTGATGCGTCTTGCATCTCTCTGCAACACACATATACACGCACACACATACACACATACATACACACACACCCACACAACCCCCCCACTGGTAGAAATCCTAGTTGTGCTGCCGGATCTCAGTGGAGGCCGGGAATCCACATCCCCTTTAGGCTAGTCCTGGGGTGCATTTACTCCACACGCACACACAGAAACAAACACAAGCCCATAAATACATGCATGTGCACGTACACAGACACACGCTTGTATCTTAATGAGAGAAGGAGATGGTACTATGAAGGCGACAGCAGAATGAAACCTACTCACCAAGGACTGACCTGTGGTTCAGGGGCGGCAGCAGCTCGGCAGGGAGCTCCTCTCCCAGCGCTGATCAGAGGGCTGCACCGCCGAGGCTGCTCACGCTGACGGCGCTGGAAAAACCAACTGATTAAACGCCACTGTCGCCTCAGCTCAGCTGCTATATGGAAAGAAAGCTTCCTCTCTTTTATACATTTTTTTTTCACTCACTGTTTGTTTGTCAGTCTCCTTTGTTTTCTTTGTCCTCTGCCGAGACAGCGGTGCCGGTGGATTGGAGCTGTGAGCGTGAGGGATTTGTGCGTAATTAGCTGAAACGCTCACCCAAGCAAGCACAAAAAGTTAAATTTTAAACTTTTTGAACTGTACTCTTTTTTTTTAACGGTATTTCACTGACACTCTGCTTCACTTCCAAGATCAAAACCTTGCTTCATGGTAGAAATATATTTTATTTGAGTCTTTGGAGTACGCGGACAGCAAAACAGCGCTGCCAACTTGCAAGTCCCATTAACAAGTTGTGCAAACTTAAAACTGTGCAAAGGCTGTGCATGAAAAAAGTGTGAGAATATATATATATATATATATATATATATATGAAATGTTAACAAAGTGACGGACAGAGTAACTGGATCTACTGACCATACTTTTAATATTGTATAATCCCACCCTGTCCATTATTTATAATATTACCATTATTTTGGCTGTTGGTGAGTCCACTGAAACAAAATGTTCAAATGTGTGTCTGTATTTGTGAAGAGTTAGGGCCACATCAAGGCTTTAGGGATACTGTTTCACTTAGTTAGGCTTCAAAAACAAAATTTGCAAAGCGATACTTTCTTTTAAAAAAAACTGCTGATGTTACTTGAAAATTGTTGAATTTATTGGAACTTCCAGAAGCTGACCAATAGAATGAGCCAGTTTATAATTTAAAAAAAGCTGAAATGAAAGGATCATTGGATATGAGTGAACCATGAGAGGCGGGCCAAATGAGATATAGAAGACAATAAAGGTTTGGGTCAGAGGTTGAGGGCGGCCTGGCCTGCCTGCTTACCACACCCCTCCATCAGTAGCCAATTCACAGCTCTCTGGACCACAGAATAGTGATTCTCTGTCTATGTTTGACCATATAAGGTGTGGCTGAAACATTGTTGAATGTGGAGACATTCTGGCACAAATGAAGGGTTAGACGACTCTGCCCATTATCTGTGCCCTCTGGCCTAGTTGGGTGAGTCATCCAAGGATGGGCAGCGACTCTGCCAGCCCGGGGCCAGACTTTGCTGACTGCCAGCCCCCTCGTGCCACATGTACAATGTCAGCAAGCCTTCATTGGTTGGTCTCAACAAAGCTGTGCAATAAAGTGCAAAACAATTTAGCTTTTTTTGCGACAGAAACATACAATAAATCATTATCATCAACTAATCTGAAAAAATAGCATGAAATATTGGAATGTGCCTTGAGTACAATGATTTGCTGAGGCCAGTGTTCAGTCAGCTGCCCTCCACCCTACTGTACCTCTCGCCCTTGACTGCCACAGTTTGGCCGGGGGCTTCTCTGGCCAGAGTCGACAGATCATGGAAGGGCTGGAAGAAAGACAAGACAGAGGCAAACAAAGGAGGAAGCTCACTGCTATGCCCTTGAATGAGAGCTGTGCTAACAGGCAAACAATAGCCACCTTGCATATTCAGCCAAATCAACTTTTCACTTATCTTCGCCAGTTTTCACAGTTTTTTTTATAATTTGAAAGTTAGCCTTTTCTATTTCAAAGTCATTGTCCACCCTTTGCCCCCGCTGTGACAGCTAGGAGAGAAGCGAATATCTCAAGGCAAGATAGAAAGAAAAGACTGAGCATTATCCCGTTCGGACCCAGCAGCAGCAGAAGGAAGGAAAGGAAGAAAAGGAAGGAAAGGGGAAGGTATAAAAAAAAAAAAACCTGACTGGGCAGGGGCAGCTTCAGCAGGGTAGGGAAGCAATGGCTGGCAGCACAAAGAATGGTTCTCCTTCTGTTTTTCAGCTCCATTAATATCTGAGCTCCAGCCTGCATATATCCTCATTCATTATTCATGAAGCGACCAGGAAAGAACGCAAGCGGAGAGGAAGGTGGGAAAGCAAAGGCCAGAGATAGTTCCAATCAGTCCTGGTTTAAATGACACTGAGTGACAGAGCCTGGGGTTTTATGGCTCGCTGTTCAAATGAGACACTGCGCAATGATAAAAGGTCTGCATTGTCCCACCCTTAATGACCAGCCGGACTTATTAGAGGCTGCACCTCTTGTAACGCTAGCTACTGCACTTGGTAGCAAATATGCCCAAACTAACTTGTAATGGTTCTGCACCACAGCACTGTGGGAACACTACCACATACCTTACAAACCTGAACATGACCTGAGTTAAAGAGCAACTGGATACATTTTGAAAGCTTGCAGAACCCAAGGGGTCTTTCATTTAGGCTATTTGAAAATAGGTTTGCATAAATTTTTTTTTTTACAACCGACCTACTGTACGTGACTCTCACCTGAACTTCATATCACACTGTTGCAGTTAAAGAATAAGTCTGGTCACATTCTTTTTTCCTCTGTACCATAAACCTCAATTATTGTACAAAAACTATTAAAACCACAGAAATTAGTCACACTGTTGCACAGGGTGACATTTTTTTCTTTTATAGACACTCGCGTGCTGAGGAAACGCAATTTTTGTGTTTAAACCCCCAACCACTTGATAGCAGTGTTGTAAACAAACCGAGGCCTGTGCTGTTGGATGTTTCAGGCACTGTGATAAATACAAATGCAGATTCCACTGTTCTGGTTGCATGAAAAAGTAAACTTTTTTTACTCAGATTTCATGCATATGATGGTGTGTTCTTTATAGTATAAAGGTGTGGTCTTTATCATATGCATTAGATCGCAATATGTTGAATTGTAACCCATCTATTGTGATATGTATCTTATCACCAGAATCTTGCCAATACACAGCCCTAGTATTTATGCACCGCAGGAAATAGTTCTCAACAAATGCTGTATTTGGATGAGCACCATTTACTTAAAACTCCAGCTACACACTACCCAGCTGTTTTACTAAAATATTTAACTTTAAGAAAAGAAAAAGCTATATATTTATGACCTATTTTTAAAGATCTATGAGGAATTAATGTATAGTTGTTTAGGGAAAAAAATACTTTGATGGTGCTGTCTTTTTATTTGATTTGGACTAACAAAAATATAGAATATCACAGATTTAGCCTTTAATATTCATGTTGGGCTGTAAGTCCCCAAATTATCCCTAAACTACATTATTAAAACAACCTTTCAGTAGTACAAAATGAATTGTTTTATTCTTTGGGAAGAAGTGTAGCCATGTGAAACACTCCTCTGTCAGCTGTGTTCCAGTATTCTGTATTAAACCTTAAATCTTTTTTGTGATTATGTATTTCAGGCAGTTAATATTAATACAGTTCGTTTTCCCCTTGTGTGCTTAAACATTCTTGAATTGAACTGAATTTGATGCTTAGTCAGATCAGTGAAACCACTGTCCCTCAGGCACTGATGTCACTTTAAAAATGCCACATGCCTACCACGATCATTGTTCAGAGATTAGTGAACAAAAATGAAAACAAGCTTTCAATGAATTTGTTACTGTAAAAGAGAATTTTTAAGCAGAATGTATAGTAAGCATTTTGCAAAAGACTCAAAAATATTTTATCATCTCATGGGGCATCTAGTGAGTATGCCTTCACTGTCGTGTGTGTGTGTGTGTGTGTGTGTGTGTGTGTGTGTGTGTGTGTGTGTGTGTGTGTATGTGTTTTCCTGAAGTCTCAGAAATGGTAATGCCCTTAACCCCAATGCAGGGAAGACTTAACAGTTGGTATTGACTTTGTGAACATTTACCATTGAGGATTCAGACTATTCAATTCTATTTCAACTGAGGGCTGCAGACGGAGAGGGAGGAAGTCCCTAGGCTCCATGTTGCTCACACACAAACACACACACGCTCACATACACAAGCACACAGCCGCGCACACACTCAGACTGCGTGTTGAATGTGTTATTCTCCAGTGATATCGACTCAATCGGATTTTAACCCCTCTCTGCTGGAGCCGTACAGAGACAAACGCTCTCAACATAACAAAGGCTGTGTGTGTGTGTGTGTGTGTGTGTGTGGGAGAGAGTGTGCGCACTCTTCCCGAATGTGTGTACTTTTTTGATTGTTGTTTCAGATGTGTAGCCCTTTGAATAGCCGCCACACATGGGAGTACAAATGTGCCACTTCCGTCAATGTAAATCAAAACAAAATCATCTACATTTTTACATCTTGAAATCCACTCTGGCCTTAAAGGAATTGTCCAATATTTTTGGATATACACTTTTTTTCACACTGTTTTTTGTGTGAAGATTAATACCACTCTTATATCCGTCTGTTAAATATATGGCTACAGCCAGCAGAGGCTTAGCTTAGCCTAACACAAAGACTAGAAACAGGGGAAACAGCCAGCCTCAGTCTGCTGGACTTGCACTTCCTGGAGTCTCTCCTGGCTGCCTTGTAATTTGTCTTGGCCAAGAAATAGTCCCGCACATAATCCGCTGTAAAACTGTTGTCATTTTTGCTCTTTGTGGGTCGGCCTACACTACTGTGTTTTAATGTCAGTCGTGGTGGAGAATCTAATATTTTCTGTGTTGGTATGTGGTGTAAAGTTTGAAAAACACTATGCTAAGCTAAGCTAACAGGCTGCAGCCTTATATTTATCGCACAAATATAAGAGTGGTCTATCTTCTCATGTGGCTAACGCTCCTCCAGAAAGCAAGTATGTGTAATTCCCAAAATGTCGAACTATTCCTTTAATATTCGACTCATTTCACAATGCTGCCTTACCAATCTTTGTTTATTTATTTACTCCTCAGAGTAGATTCTTCAGATTTTTCAGTGTCTGGCCTATTCTTAAATGCTACCCATGCTCTCTGAGGATTGATTCCACACAGCCACACTTCCAACCAGGACACCCCCCTTCAACTACCCACCCACCCACATCATTTATACATGTGAGCAT